GCCTTTTGGTTCCATGTTTTAGCGTAGTTGTATAGATTGACAGCGAAAGTGATACATGCATGGTGTCTTGGTGGCCAACGAATGACCTCGACCCTAACCCTGGAGGCGCTATGCAAGGAGCACTATTCCCAGGACTCTAACAATGCTTCACTTTCCAACATGGATGACTGTTTTGCCGAGTTGCAAACATCAAGCAAAAAGGGTGCAGTCATGATTCCAGAGGCCGAATCAAATTTTCATTTTCTCATTGCCGAAATTCTGGACCTTTTGTCTCATTGACAATGATTAAAGAATACAATGCCTTGATGTGCTGAGCTCGGGCTTGATGAGAAAACATGATGCTCGCTGCTACTGCCCGTGATGCAGTACTTGCCCGAAATGCCCAGATCATGACCTGTCATGCGAGGTTTGAGCCCCAATCGTCAAGGCCCTTGGCAGCAAGAATGACAATACTACGCTTGCTTCCTTTTATTGAAAAAATTAGCGTATCATGCGATGGAGACGTGGCGGGGTTTTCAGCGTTCCTCAAGCACCCAACCTACGACAGCCGGGAATTGTGCAAATTACCATATTACCGCCATCGTACTAGTGTAATCCGAGAACTGCCGAAGGAAATGGATCAATCGAGCATCATTCACCATGAGGCCAGTTTTGCGTCACTTTGTCTCTAGGCAATCAATGATCGACTTTCGCCGAAGGCTTCGGCCAATCATAGCTACCGGAGTTTTCACCCCGCACCTTGCTAGTGGTTGGGCTGACCTGTTCTCTCGACAAGACTGAACTGATATTGACGTCTAAATAATGAGCTCCTACACTAACTAACTAGCACAACTTCCTAGCGTTGAACCATCCGCAACGCCCGTCCCATTACAATGCAAAAACGCTACCGAACTATTCAACCGTCTTCATTGCAGCCTGAGCATACGGAACATCCTGGTGATACAGTGCCAGGCTCTGTCAACGATGGTGCTGCGGAAACGCAGCCTGGCAAAAGGCGGCGTGTAAACGGCATCGCCTGCGACAATTGCCGCGCGAGAAAGGTAGCTGTAAGTTTTCCCTCTATCATGATGCAAAAGTAGACATGCCGCTGCTGACATAGACCTACTCACAGTGCAACCGCGCACGTCCAGTGTGTGCCCGCTGCACCAGACTCAACGTCGAGTGCGAGTATGCGTCCACGAGCCCAGAGGAGACGAGGAGCATGGCGCTCAAACGCCGAATCGATGAGCTGCAGCAGCAACTGTCCGAACATGCCGATATCCTCCAACATCTTCGAACCTTGCCGGAGACGGACGCAATGTCGGTAGTACGACGCCTAAGGCTGACCCCAAACGCCTCCAGAGTTCTTTCCTCTCTTCGCGGTGGTGCACACACTGGGGCGAGACTGTCGGAGCGAAGGACCTCGCGTGGCATTTCGCCACCCACGGAATCGGATGCAGAGTTTGAATTGAGCGTGCTTCATACCTCAGTCTATCCAGCCTTGTTGCCGTTGGATATTGCCTCTGTCGACATTGACAGCGTCTTTCCATCGGCTGACCCAGTGGCATCGCCAAGATCTAGGCTCCCCTCTAAAACACCTTCGTTGGAGGGAGTGCTGCCTGTTACCCCCCAAATCGCCCCGGCACCTCCATCGCCATTGCGAGGAAGTAGCCAGCGGCGAAATCGCCTAATCGCAGGGCCGCCACCAGATCGCCGGTACTGCGATGCAAGACTCAAGCGCTTAAACATCGCTTACTGGACGTCTATTCCAGTCAGCGATGAATTTGCAGCATGTGTCTTGTCTCACTATCTTGTTTCCGATCATCCTATATATGCATGCGTTGACGCTGATTTATTTCTCAATGATCTGGTGGACCGAAAACTGGATTATTGTTCGCCGTTTCTCGTCAGCGCTCTGCTTTCCTTTGCATGCGTATGTACGCTTTTCCATTGTCTCTATACCAACCTAACATCTTGCCGCAGCAATCATACACACAATTCGATGCCCGATCCTCCGCTTTCAGTGTCGCCTTCCTGGACGAAGCACAACGACTTTGCCGCTCGGAGCAGCGCTCGCAGACCACCAATCACCTAGCTGCCTTGACGTATCTGGCTTTGTCGACTGGTGCAAGCGGACGAGATGAGATTGGGAGCTCTATTGCCATAGAATGTCGTCAACTAGCCGAAAAGATGAATTTGATGGGAGTCAAACCAACCAAAGAACTAGTCTCGCAACTACATTCACTTCCGCTCAAAGAGATGAAGAGTTCGGCATTTGCTGCCTGGGGCGCATACGCCTGGTTAACGTTAGAAGCCATTTTTCTTTCTCTTGAACCCGTACTAACCTTGATAGATATCGGCGTATGTACTATCCAATTGAGGCTTTTATTGAACCGCCTCTTCTTCCCATTCCCGGTGATGCCCACAGGCGGACTGATCATGGAACACCCCTTCTATGGCCGCCTCATCCACTGCCTTTGTACATGGGGCAGACATATCAGACGCTGTCCAAACTGTGGGTCATAATTCAAGAAATAAATACCATGTACACCCTCGAGGATGACAGACCAATCGACTCAAGAGTCCCCCTCTCTTATGCCGAGAGCAAGTATCAAAGTTTACTCGAATCGTCGCATTCAATGTTACCCGAAATGCGCCAGGGTGATGACAGCCCTACTCATGTGCTTTTCTTTCAGTGAGTCGTTTTTTGTGCTTTTACTTTGTACGCCTTCCAAGTATCTAATCATCTCGTAGTGCTCTGTTTCATCATACGGTTCTCACCCTCTTTCAGCCGTTTCAAGGCAACGTCGAACAACTTGGCCTTCGCTCCTTCACCTCGCCCGACGCTACGCCTTCAGCCATCTACAATGCTTCACTAAAGCAGCTGAAACGGCTCATCTACACGCACCACAACCGAAAAGCGCAATCACCCATAATATGCTTCTTCAACACCGCCGTTATGAAAGTAAGCATCGAGGTCCTCAAATGCGCGGACTATGATCCAGATTGGTACTTTTACTTTCGGCTTTGCTTTCAGTTCTGGAAAGATACCTTTGTCTGCTACCGCCCGTTTCAGCTTATTGCCCAGGCTAACCTGGCCGCTGCACTTGACTGTGGCGCACTGAGTAGCAATACCGCAAACGCAATGATGCAAGAGATTCGAGCCGTCGGGAAACATCACATGGCATCGGACGAGGCAGTGGTACGAGGTCTGCTGGACTTTGATCTGGCGACAAGAAGCCTGCAGGAGGCACAGATTGTTGCCATGGCCCAGCGGTTTGACGAGCTTCTCCTTTTCAACGACTTGACTACGGGCGATCTGTAGCCTGCTTGAACTTTGACGCTATAGCAACAAACCTGTCGCCAGAAGTGAACGGTCACTCAGTCAGTGACGAACTGATGCTACTTGGCGAGAGTGACTCTCGTTTCAGCAACCACGTGATGTAACGACTGACGTGAACAAGGCATTCAACGACTGATTCTGCCCTATGGTTGTTTCTGAATATTCAACTATACTCAGCCACTAGAGTGGTTTAAACCCTGCTTGCTCTAATGCCCCCACATCGAGTGGCAGATGCTGCTCCTGCAGCCAGAATAGATGGGATATCGAAGCCTCCATGTTGCTTTGTGCCCCTTTAGCACCATGATCCTCGACCGAGTCTGCGTTTTCATGCCACTTGTGAGTGATGTTTTCCGCCTCCCTTGGCGGCGAGAAACGGAATGAGCTACTGTCGCCCTGTTGTTCTGGATCGCTATAGCCATACACCGGTGGCATGCCGCCATCTACATCTAATCCCCACCCATCCGCCAGGCGCTGCAGATAGAACAGAGCCTGGCTGGCAAAAGGATGATGTGGCGCAATCTCGATGAAGCTTTCAATATTTTGTCTGAGTGCTTCGCGCGCTCGACAGTCGGCGATGGCTGGCGCGTCAAGAACACTTTCGCCCAGGTCAACGTGAAGGCGTGCCGCGGCGATGGCAATGAGTGTGGTAGTTGCGGTGAACATGATGTACGGCAGAAAGGAGGCGGTTCTTCGAAGGGTATAGAGTTTTGAGTAGGACATGACGAGGTTTTGGATTGCATCGGCAGACTGTGAGCAAACCTGCCAGGGCAGTGTTTCAGATCCGATGACGCGTATTTTGATGAAGCGACGAAAGAGCAAGAGGATGGCAAAGTGATAGTAAAGACTGTTTTAAATTAGGAGAAATATGACTTTGAAAAGGTGTATACATACTGTGTAAATAGGACCGCAGGCGTCGAGTTATAGCCTAGCCGCAAAGCCTCTGGTAGCTGATCGTACCAATCCAGGTATTGGTGATAGTTTTGTAGCAGCGTCGTAGCCGTCAAGGTTTCTTCGGGGCAAAAAAGAAGATATAGAGACTGGTGGACAAGTTCGCTAAGATCGCCAAAGCATCGGTATATGGATCGAACATTTGATAGCTGAATAAAGGGTAGCAGATGCGCATCTATTCATCATCTGTCAATGTCTGGCTTCATAACAGCTTGAATGTGTCTGCACCTATTCACTTACTGCCATCTACATACGGTATCCAGGGCGGTGTTTCGACGTCGGTATTATTTGCTGGCTTGGGAGGCAGCTTTATATGCCTTGTACACTGTGGTACAGTACCAGTCATTAGGGACCACGTCCTGAGCCCGAGTGTGTCAGCGGCTAACAGTGACTGACTGATGATGACACAACTTACTGATGGAGGGTAAATGCTCCCCAAAACGTCTTCAAAAGTACGACACGCTCTTCATCATCCCTCTCCACCGCCACGATATGCAAACCCATCTCAATGGCCAGCCTGATGGCCAGCTTTGCGTAGTGCTGGCTCTGCACGGCCCGACCGCAGCGGGCTTCCCGTATCGACATGATGACGAGCGCCTGAATGGTGGGCAGGAACTGGTGGCCGCGGCCCGGCGGCGCAGACGCAAGAAAGAGGCGCTGCGACTCGGCAAAGAAGGCGTCGCCGTGCAGGTTGGGACGCTCCGAGAGGTGGCAGCCGAGGGCGAGCAGGGCGTTGACGAGCATGGGCGAGCAGTAGCGGTGGCGGCGGTGGCTAAAGTCGTGGAGAAAGTGTTCTTTGCTGAGGGGCGCGAAGCTGGGGTACTCCCAGCAAAAGTAGAGGGCGAGCAGGTGATGGGTGAGGACGACATTGTCGGTTACGCAGGACCATGTCGAGGATGATGATTCGAGTTGGTTGGGAGGAGGAGGAGGAGGTGACGAAGAAGACGACGACACGTGCAAGTTTGGTGAAAGTAGAGTGCCTCCAGGAGGTTGATGAGCTGTGCGGGGAGATGGAAGAGGGGGGTCAGAGGTTGAACTATGTGTAGTAGTTGCGACAGAGTGGCGTGTCTCCAATGCCTCTGGGCGGCCATGATGCTCATCTTGGACTCCCGGGGTCGTCGGGTTGGAGCAGCCCGGCGGCACCGGCGTACGCTGTTTGTTCTGGCGCGCTAAGCCGTCTCTAATCAAGGCGAGAATCTTTTCTGCACTAGGTTCGTTTCTCGTACTGTCAATGATGCGAATCGCATCCGACGAGGGCATCCGTCCCAGCATGTGAACCACCTTGACCACGGTCTCTCTGGCATCCTTGGACACGCACAGCTCATCGCGATATGCGCAGTCGACTCCCCTCTTTGCACAGTTGGAGCATATTGGACGTCGGCCTTCACACTAGAAACTCGTTGGGCCACATTAGAAATGTTTCTTACAAGATTTCATTCTTTCTTTCTTTCTTTCTTTCTTTTTTTTTTTTCAACAAAAAAAAAAGAAAAAGAGGAGCAGCTTTAGAGAGAGAAAGAAAGAATAAAAATAAAAATAAAAAATAAAAAATAAAACTACTACCTTGATCCTCTTGAGTCGGCACTCTTGGCAAGCAACCGACGCAGCATGACGCTTTGTAACAACGGGATACAGCGGGGCAGGCCGTTGAGGAGCGCCGTCTCTAGGCTGTAGTGCTCGGTAATTGTGCTCCATATTAGATGTAGGTAGTATTTTTTGTGCTCAACTGAAACGTTGTTACCGATGGATTGGGCTATCCCTGACCTGGTGACTCGTCATTTAGGGTTCTTGTTTTGTGAACATGGTCTAGTCGACTTCCCCCCTTGTGTGTGTGTGTGTGTATGTGTATGTGGTGATGTATTTAAAGAAAGATCAACGAGTGTTTCAATAAAAAAAGTTGGGGCCTGCCATACGTCACCAATGGCAAGCTCCAACCGCACGGGATTTTCTCCGTGTCTGAATGTGCCAATCACAGCTCGGTATTTGCCTCGGAGGTTTTTTTCCTTTGGAGAAGGACAGCGTTGGACCCCTTGGCCTGAACCCTTGCCGCCCCCAACTTACCCCCCCAGTAATGCAACTATTATTAGTTAGTAATCTACGGATGTTTGGTATGCCGACAAGTGAAATCAAGATTCCTGCGCAGGTCTGGAGAAGACGGAACTGCTAGCTGCCGTCTGATGTGGAAAGCGCGCTCACTCTCACAAGAAGCAAACGCAACAGTTGAAATGAAGTTGTTTAGATGATAATAGATTTCTGCCTTGACAAAATTGGTTCTCTTCTACAGTATTTATTGCGGCTAATCCATTATCCACGCCAAAAAAAAAAAAAGCGCAGTCTCTTTTTGGTAAAAACTAAATAATAATGGTTTAAATGGCCTTCACCAAGTCGGTGGGGTAAGATGCTAAACTAGTACAATATGTAGGCTGTACTAGGCTCATCAGAAGACGGGGTTGGATGGGGGCTTCACAGAGGAAAACATGGAAACTAAACTTTTTATAATGGGTGTGGCTTGGCCGCTTGCTACCTAGGTAAACACCATGATTGACAAGCGTGATACTTGTTAATGTGGCCCTATAGCAAAAAAGCACCAAGCCTCTTGCAAAACGTTAAACCACCTCACCGCAAGAGACGACGGGTCAAAATGTGATGCATAAAACATTTTATATAAGAGATGCGCAAGGATGTTTGCGGTTCTAAAAGGCTGCATTGACTTGATCTTGTCCTCTTTCATTGATCACGCAATCTTTTTTTGGGCCTACCAGTAGCCGCTTTCAGCCTACTTGCCCTCATCTCGTCCCCGTCGAGTCCCTCAATAACCTCTGCTCGAAATGGCGTGCAGACGCAGTCGCCGAGCTTGTTTCTTTACCCGCGCCAATCGTTTGCGTTGAAAAGGACCAGCAATGGTTCATCTCACGTCTTTTTATGTCAACTCGATCAAGATGCTGCGCTGTTTGCTGACGATGCTTGAAGAGGCAAAAGAAAAAAAAAAAGAAAAAAAAAGAAAGAAAAAAAAGAAGAAGAAGAAAACCGACACTTTGTTTGATGCCCGAACGAGCGATAACAACACAAAGCCCTCCGAATCGCGCAAGGTATACTTGCTAGGTCCTCTCCATTAGTCACGGAAACATTGACGGCGGGCGCGCCAAGTTTGGTATGACATGTGCAAGAAAAAAAAAGTTAATTCATGAGCCCGGCGATTATCTTGCATCAACATGGTTATTTAGCGCGTTTGAGCCTCATCTTTCATTGGCCAGGTTAACAACAACGCCAGGATCTGGGGGCTATAAAAGTCGACATTGCAAAGCGTGACCGAGACTTCTCGCACACAAATTAAGAAAAAGGGTTTCTTCATCTTTCCAAACAAAATCAAAAGTATGGGCTCAAAGAAGGACAGGACCGAGTACAGTGACGCAGCACTTGGCCAGGTGATGGTGGTGGAGGGACTGGACGACCCTGATATACTTCATGATGAAGTCTTTGGTACAATCACCGATCAAGGACCCAATTATCGCAACGTACGCACATCTACCCCATACAACATGGGTAGTTTGATACTAAAAAAACAGCTCAGGTCGGTTGGCTTGGATCCGCCGCTCTCATGATGAAGTCCCAAATCGGCCTCGGTGTGCTTTCCATACCCGGCGCCTTTGACACTCTGGGTCTCATCCCTGGCGTACTCTGTCTACTTGCAGTGGCCGTCATCACGACGTGGTCCAACCACATTGTTGGTGTCTTCAAGCTCAACCACCCCGAGATATACGGAGTGGCTGATGTAGGAGGCATGATTAGCGGCAGGCTGGGCCGCGAGATTCTGGGTGCGGGATTTGCCCTCTGTGAGTGAATCGACAACGATTACCATCTCTCACTCTTGCAAGTCTAACAGGTGTTTTTCCTTGCAGACTTGACGTTTGGTGCTGGCTCTGGCATGCTTGGAGCCTCGATTGGCCTAAACGCCGTGTCTACCCATGGCACATGCACAGCCGTCTTTGTTGCAATGACTGCCATTGCCGTCATTTGCTTGTCCAGCATCCGCACTCTAGGCCGCCTGAGCCTTCTTGCTTGGGGAGGTCTGGTATCGCTTCTTGTTGCTGGTAAGGATTTTCGTCCAAAAGTCAAAGCATCTTCTAGATCTCTCAAGGTTGCGCCGCTGCTTTTAACCGCTCTATCCCAGTTCATTCCATTGTCTGCAAAAGAACCGCACCTGCTAACCGTCACAGTGACTATTGTGACAATCGCCGTTGGCGTACAGGAACGGCCTGATACAGCTCCACAGCAAGGTAGTTGGACTTCCGACTACAAGTTGTTTGGAAGTCCGAGCTTCACCGAGGCAATTTCTGCCATTACAACCTTTATATTCGCATACGCTGGCACTCCATTGTTCTTTTCGATTGTGTCCGAGATGCGAGATCCTCGTCTCTATGCCAAAGCATTGACGATTTGCCAGATTGTCGTGACAATCACATACGTGACTGTGGGCATGGTCGTGTACTATTTCTGCGGCTCATATGTAGCCTCGCCGGCGCTTGGATCTGCGGGGAAAATAGTCAAGCAAATCAGTTATGGGATAGCTCTCCCTGGACTGGTAGTCGGAGCCACTCTTTCTACCCACGTGAGTAATCTTTTCCTTTGTTTTTCATTTTTTTTTCCTTTTTTTTCTTCTTTTTTTCCCACTCGGAATCTGGGCTGTGCCAGGTCTGATATCAGTGTCTAACACAAAACATCTAGATGGCGAGCAAGTACGTATTTGTGCGGATTTTGGCAGGCTCGCGACACCTTGCGGCCAACACCATGGTACACTGGGGCACATGGCTGGGCTGTACCTTTTCGGTCGGTACAGTCGCGTACATTGTGGCTAGTGGTATCCCTGCCTTTGGCAGACTGGTCTCTCTTATCGGAGCCCTTTTGGGAACACTGCAATGCTTTCAGCCGATGGGATGCATGTGGCTGTATGACAACTGGAGCAAGGGAAAGATGCAGGAGCACAGATCACGCAAATGGATATTCATGGTAGCTTGGAGCGTATTTGTGATTGTTATAGGTAATTTCTTGATGGTTGCTGGTACCTATGGCTCAGTGGTTGGAATCATTCAATCATATGGAACAGCGGCGTCGAGCCGACCATGGTCGTGCGCTGACAATTCAAATTCCACATAATAGCTAGTGGAATACACGAGCGCTGAATACTACTGCGGACGAGAGGGCAAATTTGAACAGATTTCCGTGTCTGGCTTTGTTTTGGCGCAGACTTTTGTAATGGGTTAATCAGCGTGTGAACAAGCGTTTTGAGGATGCAATCGTCTCACTGGGGTTGCTCCAGTGAACACTTTGCTGTGATTAGTAGCATGTGCTCAGAGTTGTTGATAACCCTAACCCTTAACCTACGACAACTTTTAAATCCAAGGACGCCGTAATCTAGTGCTCCATCCTAGTTCTGTGCCAATAATTTCGCGGCTTTTCGAGAAACCTTGGCAATTGAACATTTTGCTTCATCTCTATCCTAGTGATGTGAATGGATGACGATTCTCGCCAGAGACGTTGCTGTCGCGGTGGTATGTACGTGCCCGGCGATTAATAAGTCTCCGAACCCTCACGGCGATGAGACAAGGGTAGTATGCACCGACGACCAGCAAACACGTTATAAAACAAGCCATCTCCCCACGATATACGATAAACCTTTGAATAACCAACCCATCCTTGACAGCTATTCTCATTCCGGAATCCAACGGCATAAGAAAGCAATGCTGCTTCTTCTTGCGACATGTGTGCAGTTGATGCTGATGGCGGTACTCGCGGAGCCGCATTACGTCGCCGACGTGCCTGCGCAACTGCTGCCCCTGGTTTCGGAAGCCGCCGCCGTCAACGGGACAGACGGGCAAGGTTGCCATTTAGCTGTATGTTTTGATCCAAATCAAAAACCCAACTGGGAATCTCAAAATTCTGCGCTGACTGGTATCATTTTTTCACCCAGTGCGAATCGCTCGCTGCGACCACCAGCTTGGACCTCGTCGTGCACCACCACCACCGCGCCGCCATCCCTGCCCGCTTCGCGTCCAGCTTCTACGCCGTGCAGCAGCGCGAGCTCATCCCCCCTCTGCGTCGCGGAGCCTCTGACCGCCGAGGGCGTCGCCATATCTGTTCGCGCCGTCACGAGGCACAGCTGCCGGTTCGCGGTCAAGAGCGGCGGCCACAGCAACGCGCTCGGCACCAATGCGCGGCAGAGCGGCGTCGTGATTGACCTCGGGCGGCTGGACCGGATCGAGGTCAGCGGCAGCGGCAACGGCAATGGTAGTAGTACCGTGTTCATTGGGCCAGGGAACCATTGGGGCCGCGTGTATGCAGAATTGGAGCCGCGCGGGCTGGCCGTGGCCGGGAGCCGTGTCGACTGGGTCGGCGTGGGCGGCTTCACGCTCGGCGGGGGCATTTCGTTTTTGTCGCCTCGTCACGGATGGGCCGTCGACAATGTACGAAGCTTCGAGGTTAGCATAACTACCCTATTCTCCCCCCTACCAGACATCTCGTATCGTGATTGCAGTCTGCTAAACATGAGGGCCTCGGAGGGGGGTTTGCCGGTGAATGGGGCAGGTAGTTCTCCCCAACGGCACAATCACCAAATGCGAGCGTCAGCGTTAACCCAGATCTCTACTTTGCGCTGCGCGGCGGCGGAAGCAGCCTTCGGCATCGTCACGCGCTTCGAATTCGAAGCGCATTCGCTGGAGCGCACAGTTCTGGGGCGGCACCGACGTCCACCTCGTCAGCCCGCCTCGACGACAACCCTGAGACGTCTCGGCATTCACGGACCGCCGGGAGCGGTGGTGGTGGTGGTCCCTCCGCGGCGCGCACTTTGCCGGCCGTCCGATGCCTGCACCGCATGCTAGACTTTTTTCAACTACGGCACTAGCCTCCAAACTTCTCGCAGACGGCTTCATGGGGCTGGCGTCGCACCGCGCTTCTCTACCAAACGAAACTGTCGGCGCGTACGTCTACTTTGGCTACATGCCCGGTCCACGCATGTACGTCGCGGGCAGCACATATGTCGCATCATCATCATCATCGTCGTCGTCGTCGTCGTCGTCGTCATCATCATCCCGCCAACCCGCCGCCGCCGACGACGACGCAGAGGAGAAGGAGGAGGTGCCCATCTCGCTGCGGCCGCTGACGAGCCTGCCGCACGTGCACACAACAAGGCGCGGCCGCGGGCGGGCGCTGTCGGACCTCACGCGCGAGGTGACGCCCATGAACCCCTACGGATAAACGGTAGTACTGGCGGACGAGCAACGTTTCGGGCCGACGCGGCGCTGCTTGTGCGGTTCTGGGAGTTGTTTATGCAGGAGAGCGGCTGCGCTCCGGTACGACGTTCCCGACGCGCCTGCAGAGCACAAACGAGCAGCTCGTGACGGCGCACGAGATTGCGCTGGGGCAAGAGAATGGCGGCAATGCGTTTGGTCTATGTGCCGAGGACGGGCCTCTTTTCTGTGCGTCCTATTCTTTTTTCTTTTTTTTTTTTTTTCTTCTTTTGGCCATGGCTTACTCGTCGATGAGGGCGTTTGAAAGCTCCCTTCTATGGTCTTTTTCTTACTTGCTTCTCCTCTCCTTACACTCGTAAAATGTCTCCCCCCCCCCCGCGCCAGCTTTTGTTCAACTTTTTTTCTTGTACAGTGTTTGTCACGACAACGGCGTATGCGCACGCTCAAGACGACGAGGCCGTCTCCGCCGCCGCCGAGCGCATCCACGCGCGCCTTGGGATTGCTCGGCAGGGCGAAGGGTCTGGACCACTACCCCTTCATCTACCCCAACTACGCCGCCGCGCCCGGGCAGGACGTGTTTGCCGGGTACGCGCCGGAGCGTCTGGAGAGGCTGCTGGGAAATTCAGTCGCGGTACGATCCGGAGAGAATCTTTGCGAATTTGCAGCCAGAGCACCTGACGCTCCACGACAAGCGACGGAAACGGTAACTGTGGCACGTCACTTCTTGTTTTTTTTTTTTTTTTCAAAAGTACAGAGAGGTTTCATTCGTAGGATAGTTGGTCAGTAAAACTCGGGTTTCTTTTACTACAGTATGCAGCATATTATATGCCGCATTTTATAGGAAGGATCCTTGACTGGCGTACATGGCTTGCGTGGGGGGTTCTGCCGCAAGCCACCCATAACCCCGCGTCTGTCATGGCAGTTCCCAAACGAGTTCGTCAAACGCCGTCTCAGTCATTGATCAATTTCATACTGCAGAATACAAACACCAACCGCTTCCAACTGCCTCATCCTTGCAAAGCTTTGTCGAGCAACACTCTGTGCCGCTTCTAAACCATCCATTGCATCTACTGCTTCGTCTCCATCTGCATAAACCACCCCGCACCACCATGAGAGTGCTCATCACCGGCGCCTCTGGCTTCGTAGGCCAAATCCTCGCCAAGTCCCTCCTCTCCCAGGGCCATACCGTCATCCTCACCGACCTCCATGCCCCTCCCATCCCCGGCGGCCATTCGCACCCCCACGCCGTCTCCGTTGCCGCCGACCTCACCGTGTCGCCCTTGCCCGCCGCCGCCGCGCTCCACCTCACCCCCGATCTCGACGCCATCTACGTGCTCCACGGCGTCATGTCATCGGGCGCCGAGTCCGACCTCGATCTCGGCTACCGCGTCAACCTCTTGTCGACCATCCACCTCCTCGACGCCGTGCGGGCCACGTGCCGCATCGGCATCCGCATCATCTACGCCTCGTCCTGCGCCACCTACGGCGCGCCGCTACCACCGCCGCCGCCGCAGTGGCCTTCGGAAACCACACTACCCACGCCGCAGGGCTCCTACGGCACGCAGAAGCTCATGGTCGAGCTGCTCCTCAACGATTACACGCGTCGCGGCCTCGTCACCGCCTTTTCTGTGCGCCTGCCCAGCATCACCGTGCGCGCCGGCGCGCCGACCCGCGCCGCGAGCTCCTGGATGAGCGGCATCATCCGGGAGCCTCTCCAAGGCCAAGAGAGCACCCTCCCCGTTACAGACGACAACTTTCAGTGCTGGGTGTGCTCGCCAAAGACGCTGGTGCGGAATCTCGAGAAATGTCTCGAGCTGCCGCGGGACTGCCTGCCGCCGCACATCAGACAGGTGCTGCTGCCCGGCGTCACGGTGAGCGTGGGCGAGATGCTGCAGGCGCTGCGGGAGGTGGGCGGGGAGGAGGCGGTAGGATTGGTGCGGAGGGAGGAGCCTGATGAGGAGGCGGCGAGGTTGTTTAAGAGCTGGCCGGCCGGCTTTGATGTAGAGAGGGCGCTGGGTATCGGTTTCGAGCCGGCGGGGACGTTTCTGGAGGCGGTGAAGGAGTTTGCCGAGGGGCTAAAGATGAAAGGAGCCTAAGAAATGGATGAGGCCTGATATAGAAATTTGGGTTGTGGATTTGGTCCTGAGTTTGGTCGTTGTGAACCTGCTTGTCGTGAATATGGTCGCTGATGCCAACATGAAAATGCGTTTGTACTGATACTGAAAGACGAGCAGCGTGCAAGTGGGAAAAATGTTCAATACTATTTGCAAGATGAAAGCTCAGAATGCCCCAGCGAGGTCGGTTCGGAAAAGAACAAAGAACCAGGATGTCTTCAATATGGAAACGGTGACCACCATCTAACAAACGCCACATGATAAATACGAGTGCCCAATTGTAGTCAGTAAAAAGAGAAGGGGAAAAAAATGGGGAAAAATAATCAGACAAAACGCCCCTGCGAAAAAAAAAGCCAACCCTACCCAACCCCGTGTATGAATATTACCGTTATTCTCTTTGATCGTCGTATTCTTCAATTGTGAGTATGCCGCCATTCATCCGTAATATGTTGCAATGCGTAAAGCCATCGTATATATTCATGATGTGAGCCAAGAATCCGAGTTCGAGGACAATTCCTATTCGTCGTCAAAGTCGTTCTCGAGGTCGTCGTCATTCATGTCATCAGCACCCTCTCCCTCCAAGACGTAGCCCGGCGTGCGCTCCACCAGGCCGCGGTAGTAGGCGACAAGCACTTCGGGGTTGGGTACGATTCTCCAGTCGACGCGGTAGAGAAACTCGAGCTCTAGCATCCTCAACTCGGCAAGCCGTACGCCGCCGACGCGGGCATAGGTCGTGTTGTTCCAGAACGAGTCCGAAAGGCCCTTGGCGGCGACAGTGGCGGCGGTGATGAGGAAGCGGTGGACCGTGAGGGTGTTGATGGTAAACTCTGGGTAGAGGGCACAGAGACGGTCAATGTAGTAGACCATGGAGAGCAGCAGCGGCGGTATGAGGGTGGCATGTTTGGCTAATCGGTGCAAGTAATCGCGAACAGATATACCTGGTGCAGCCCTGCAGGTACAGAAAAAAATGGGTTAGCTATGTCACAAAGTCCAAGTTGCATATGCCGCCTACCTCGAATGAAACCGGGTGAGGCCACCGCTGGTGGTTCGAATGGCATCATTGGTAGCAATGAGTTCGTTGAGCATGTGCGCAATGAGCTCGACCATGTCGTCGACATGACAGAACTCGTAGCGGATAGGCAGAACCTTGGGGGGCTGCTCGTCGGGACGGGCGCGTTTTGCGGGTTGTGTGGACTGGTGCTGAACGGCCTCGGCCTGAGGTATTGTAGCATGTTGAATTTCTTCGCCGCGACGCTTTGAAGGAGATGGGTGTGTGAAGGCGCTACCATTGGTCGTGGCATTGGAGAGGGAACGTTGCGAGGCGGGAGGTGCAGCGGTCTGCGGCTTGGCGCCAGCGGTAGCTGGAGTGTCGTCTGCAGCAACGGCCTGAGACTTGGCGTCTGTCGCAGATGTGGCAGAGGACGGCCCAACAGCAGCATCAGGCACCGCCATGTTGACGAAGGAGTGCGCCCGGTTTCGGCTCTGCGAGGAGGTGATTGGGCGCGGGCTCGAGGCCAGAGCAGCGGTGATTGCTGACCGTGCTGGTGTAGTCGCGGCGGCAGTCGGAGGCGCAGTAGATCGGGGCGAAAGGGGAGGCGGCGACTGAGCAGGCGCATAGCGAAATGCAGTGGGCGAGTTGTTGGCTGAGGGGGGAGTCAAAACGGGAGACGGCCTCAGCATGGCTTTCGGCGCATCGTCACGCGGACCATGGGAGAGCGGATGGCGATGGGATGCGATTGGGAGCGAATTGGCGGGGGCGGCGGATTATTTCAGCGGGCGTCTGTCGCGAGCAAGCATGGGATGAGTCTCCGGGCTGGCAGGTCCTGCCTCGGCTCGAAATAAGGTTGTCGTGCTGTGCGAAGTCGTACGGGGAGCTGAAGAAGTTTTTGCGTCGGAGTTTGCAAACTTGACGGCTAGCCGCGCCACTTGTCGCAAATCCACAGAGAGCGCGGCAAGGAGGGTGTTGGTGCAGGCTTGTAAGAGAAAAGGAGAATCGCAGTTGCGCAAGGACCAATATGTAGCGAGAAGGATCGTGAGCAAGGACAAATGGTTGTCGGAGCAGGAAATGAAAATATCAAAGTGAGCTTGTAGGGTGTTTTTGCGTTTGCCGAGTGGTGGTGGTACAGATTTCTTGGGTGGTAGGTCGGTAGGGGTCTGGACTTGGATGTGGATGGACCAGTGAGCGCCCCTCGTGGCACGGTCAAAAGAGTCGCAAGGAGTTTAATTGGACGGGTTCAGCGCAATCAAAGGGAGGGGTAGTTGATTAGACAGAACAGAGACAGTGCATAGAAATAATGAAATGGCAGCGAAGAGATACGGGGAAGGCTAAATTTGATCCACGGTGGCAATTCATAGGATGGAGAAGGAACTGGTGGGCAAGTCAAGAGCAAACGGAAAAGATGTGATGAACGTGTATGATGGGAAATAAGGACAGCTCCATTAAATGTCCTAAATTAAAGGGGCAATCCTCCGTATTAAAGACGCCCAAAAGAAGTAAAAAAAAAAAAAGAAAAAAAAAAGGCCAAGCGCTGGTTACGAGTAATTAATAAACGCCGTAAAAGCCACTGTCAGTGTCAGTTGAGCCAAGACTGAGAATAAACTTGGTGCTACTACCACTGTAGAGTAGGCAATTGCTAGCGTGACGCCGGAGAAGCCCAGAATGGCATCTACCGCACAGCCAATGCATGCAGTAGCGGCACGTTGCGGCCATTCTTGGCCTGCTATACTTTGCCCTTGAACGTTTGAAGACAATGGAAAGTTGTCAGGTTGAGCATCTCGGTGCTCATGATCAAATAAATCATGCTGCGCGATTCATGATTTCACCAATAGTCTTGCCGTCAGCCGTCAGCCGTCAGCCGTCTGCCAAGACGTTCCCGTTCGTTACCACACTCCGCCCCCCGCTCCCCCCTCCTCCCCCTGTAAGAATTCCCCGGAGGCCGCGGTCGGCGCGGATATTGCTGGCAATGATATCGAGGCTGAGAGAGATTTTCTCTCGGCCATCGGCCATCGGCCATCGCCAACCCTCAACCGTCTTGGCTTTCCACCCCGTTCATCCCATTTGTTTCTCTCTACGCCCAGATACAAACCCATCCTCGACCTGCACGCGCGCCATCACAAGGACTCTAGAATAGAACGCACCACAAAACCCTGATCAAACAAGCTTTCGTAACCCCCGACACATGCAGCAAAACTTGACCTATGGTCTCGCAAGACAATGCCCACGTGCCACATTGACTCGCCAGCAAAACGCTCCTGTCAATCTCGCAGCCCGCCTGACCCCTTCCCGTATCGGTTCCTGCTCCGACAAGGTTCGCCCCACGATGTTAGTACATAGCTCGCATCGCAATCTGTCTATTTATTGTGCGAGATAAGGAGGGGGGATGATGACCCTCTTAGTAGGTCAATGCTGCCAGTACGTGTTGAACAAGACGCGAGGCCGCTCGTTGCAATGTATACGTACGAGGTGAGAAATAGATGAATCAATCGAGAAGGGGTAAGAAACCATCACTCGTTGAAAAAAGGAGGCGGCGATAGCAAAGTCGAGGAAATAGTCTTCGCGTTACCAATCACCGTCACGTCTAGAAAACATGCATCGAGAGTCGGTATTATGTCTACCAAGCACGTCATGACAACTCATCGCTACCCCATGCTCAAGCCGTATCTTTCCCTTCTCCTTTCCCTTTCTTCGTCCCCTTCTTCACTGCCAGCTGTCCGCCCTCGACGCCGTCCCCGCGCATGACTTGGGCACCGTATATCTGTGGTTCGGATCCGCCTCCCACACCACCGACCCGTCCGCCCGCACATTGACAAACTTGTACTCGATCACCTCACCCGCCGCCAGCCACACTGTTGTCTTCCACACGTGATTATCCGCCGTGTACTCGCTCGCCTCCATCGTTACCCCGCGGTGCGGGTCCCAATTACCCAGCGCCTCTACGTTGCCCACCATCTTGATTGTCTGCCCAAACTCCGTCGTCGCCGTCTCGCGAAACGTCACCGCCACCGAGGCTACCGGCGTGCACGTCGGCTGCGCGGGCGTCGTCGAGGGCGGTAGGACGCCAGTCTTGGGCGTCTGGTTCGCGGGGAACGAGGTGGCCGTCGCCGACGTGTATGTCCCTTTTACAGTTTTAGCCGAGCACGAACCGGGGACCTCGTTGGCGCCGGAGCTGGCCCACGATGGGGGGATGACGCCGGCGCGGCGGTCAATGGCTGTTAAGAGCGAAGCGTAGGACCAGGTCAGGTCGCGGGCAGACAACGGCGAGCCGTTGTTCTTGTCAAACTGCTCAGCTAGGGAGCCTCCAGACGGCGTGTACTTGGCCACAATGGCCACAAAGTCGTCTGCATACGCTGTGACAGCTTCCACAATGCTCGTAAATGTGCTCGAGTCGCTAGCATATGTGCCCACCGAAATATTGGGCACGAAATCGCTGAAAAAGGCCTGTGAAGTGCTCGTCACAGTGATAGAGCCCTTCTTGTTCCAGATGTGCAGCGCATCGTGAAGCTGCTCTGCCGCGGCCAGAGTCGCCAGATACCAGGGGTTTCCCTTGTAGTACACATCTTCCGAGTATCTGCCAATGGCGACGGCCTTGCCCTCTGCGATGCCCTTGTTGATATTGTAGAATCTGAAAGAGTCAACAACAGCTTTGTGGTTGGAAAGCGCCTTGTCGCTGCACGGCTGAAAGGTGCTGGCGTCGCAGCTGAGGGCCGCATCAAAATTGTGAATCGAAGTCAGAATCGAGTTGACGTCTTTTCCAGTGCGGCCGTTGTTTTGGTTGACTATGCGTGTTAGCACCTCGCACGGAACCAGCTGTCCTTCTTTTGGCTTACTGTTGGAGTTGATGTATCCGCCAGAGGCAACCCAAAACGTCTGCAAAAAGCACAGGATCTGGGGAGCGATCTGTCCGTACACCGAGCCGTCCTGTCCGAGCTTGGCAGCCAGGCTGCTGCCCTCAACGAGAGATCGGTGCTGGCTCGCAACGCTGAAAAAGGAGCTTCCATTGACCTCCTCCCACAGATCAAAACCAGTCGAGTTCCAGTACTGCGCCACGTAGCTCAAGTCGTTGCGGACCACGGGCCAGACAATCTCCTTGGCCGTAACCGCGTACCCATTGTCAATCAGCCAGTTAGAGTATGAAATCATCGCAATCGCCCTCAGCGCCGGCCCGTCCCGCTGAGGCCGCCCCCACGGGCCGGTAAACGCAGACAGGTCCACGTGAAACTTGGGCTCGGCCAGGCCCGCCCCATCCGACAAGGACCCCGACGGGTTCGACACGCCCTGCACCTTTGCTTGGGCGGCGATATATTCCTGGATTAGCTTCTGCAGGCTCCCATCGTACGAGTGCGTGAAGCGGTCGACGAGGCACTTGAACACCAACGCGCTGTCTCTTGTCCACGTGTACCAGTCTGCTTGAAACGTTAGTAAAAGCCGCTTCAGATGTCATACGTTGCCGTGTCTGGATGGTTAGGAGGGGGGGCTTCATACAGTCTGGGCTGCTGGTGCTGGGCGACGCGACCACGGCGCCGGCCGCCGCGGATAGAGCTTCGCAGCCGTCTGAACCAATGTTGCAGAGCAGTTTCTGCAGCGCAATGGGACCTTCAGCGGCCAGGTAGCTGTTGACGGTGCGGCGCTGGAGATGCTGGGTGCTGGGCAGGCCGAGAACCTTTTGAGCCGCCAGTGTGCCGAGCAGCAGGATGCTTCCGAGACCATGCATGATGGGCTGTGTGTATGAGATGGAAGAATTCGTCCAGAAAAATGATAACACAGCGCTGTCCATGATGACGAGGGGCAGCCTCGGCGCTTATATAGCCAAGTCGACGAGGTTGCAGTTGGAGATGGAGGTGGGTACAAGGCGGCCAAGTGGACAAGAAGACAAACACCACTGCATCTCATGTAATGCATCTTTTGCCTTATATTCATTATTCATCTCAGTCTTGTCTACTGTTCTTTTCTTTGTCCATCTTATTCTTCCCGGTTTATTTTCTCATTTTGACGTAAATCAGTTCTTCTCTACTACTCGTGCAAAAATACATCCTTTACTACCGTGGTTCAATAGTTGGTTGTCCATGTTGCTACTCTCTTGGCGGCGATTCCCCGTGGGGACGGCAGCGGAGACTGAAGCGAACGGTCCGACTCGAGCCATGCGTAGCGTCGATGTTGAGGCGCAAAAGGCCGAAACTGAAGTCGCCGTCCATCGCGCGATGCAAAGGACGGTTTGCACGGCAAACCGGAACACAAGTGGACTGTTCTACAGAGTGGACAAGGAACAGAAGCAGTGTTAATAATGGGGAAACAGCCCAGCCTGGGATGCTTGTGACCGACACAAATCACCTGTATTACCGCAAAAGACGACCGCGCAAGCTCGGCCTAAAAGAGGGCGTCTGGGGAAATGGAGCTGACTATAGTTGCGAGCTGATCACCCATGCAGGTCGGGGTTTGACAGCGCGCAGCGTTCATCACGGGCCGACAAGAATGTGGGTGGTTGCAGTGTAAGTGGCGCGCTGACAAGAGTAATCCGGGTCCACGGGAGGCAAATCGGCCTCGGCAGGTCGCCATATACTCTTAGAAGCAGGTCCCAAGCTCAATCACAAGCCAGCTGAAGAGTTGGTAAAAGCCTTCTGGTGCCGGCAAAAGCCGTGTCTTTGGTCAATCGGTCCGTCTGCCAAAGATGAGCGGAGTCTTTGCGCGGAGCAGCGACATGCGTGATGACGAGATGCGCACCACGGCGCAATTGTTTGGTTGAGGAAAAGAAACGCCAAGCAAGATTACAGTGTTCAAGTAGCAGATTGCTAACTGGGTTTGCCTGGTGTACAAAATACCAAATGGGTTTGCAATAATTGTCAGGCAATATTCATGTTGACCACTTTGAGGATAATACAGGTCCTGGGAATACGAGTATTATGAAAAGAGTCCAGTTGGGCCGAAGTTGGCTTGTGATTTGGCCGCGTCGTCATGTTGACAGCAGACTGCAAGTTGGTTCGCTGCTGTATACTGGTTTGCGAGCACGTACCAGGGCGAATCGTATCTACAATGTTTTACACTCGAGCCCAAATCTTCATTCGGTTTGCAGAGTTTTCCAAACCACACGAGACCTCAGCTGCCCGTGCACCAGACTTCGCCGACTGCCGCCTGGTATGCCATTGTCGTCCATTAAACTCGCATCGTTCGATCGAAATATGTAAGACGCCATGGTTTTCCTCAACCGCATAGGTCAACGACCTAGGAAAAAAGGTTTGAAATATAGCGCTTTGGAAGCATGGCTGTGATCACCACATCAGCCGCCACAGAGGACGACGAGCAGTGCAACCACACCCCCGATTGCTCTGGGACCTGTCGATAGGAAATTGACATCATAACAAGTTGATGGCTCCATGAGGTATCGAGCTGCACAGACGTCAACTCCGCAACAAGGCAGAGGACGACTGGCACAGATCCGGTGAAGTAGAAAAGGAAAAGAAAGAAGAAACTGAAATTTTGGCGGGCCTTTATGGGTGCGTTGGAGAATTGAGGGTCCATCACGTGCGGTGGCGGGAGAGATGCGGCTAAATAAACCTGGCCAAGACCAACTAAGATCCACTAACAAATTGCAGGCAGCGCAATCCATAGCGGCGACTTACAAGGCAATAGTGACCAGAGGACAATTTCCTTCGCACCAACTTCAAAGCTGTGCATAATCAGACGCCGCAACCATGGACGCCGCGACGATACAAGAGACAAATCGCATACGAGTGTCACTGGGCATGAAACCTCTGCCCGTTCCCGGTGCGGACTCGCCCAGTGACTCAGATTCCGAATCGGACGACGACCGCGGTAGCACGCTTGAGACCCGCGAAGCTCAGGGTGGCGACAACTATAACAGATACCTCGATGGCGAGATCAACAAGCGCATCCGCGAGAAAAAGGCCGCCGCGGCCAAGAGAGCGCGCGAAATGGCCCAGCGCAACCTAGTCCTCGAGGGCAAGGGTCTGGGCGAAGCCGAAGCAGACGATCCCAGCGATGCGCGCGCATGGCTGACAGGCCAAAAGAAGCGCCAAAAAAAGATTGACAAGGCGCGAAAACTAGAGGAGGAATTGGCTGCCGCAGAGGCGGCAGCCGCGGCGGCAGTGCAGTATACGTCCAAGGACTTAGCTGGCATCAAGGTCGGCCACGACATGTCGGCGTTTCTTGACGGCGACGAGCAAATTCTCACACTAAAGGATTCGGCGATTGATGCCAATGATGAGGACGACGAGCTGGAAAATGCGGCGATTCGTGAACAAGAGTCGCTCAAGGACAAGCTGGATCTGCTAAAGAAACGTCCGGGCTACAACCCCATGGATGGCGAAGAAGCCGGCGGCATCCTAGCACAGTACGATGAAGAGATCAGCGGAAAGAAGAGAAAACGCTTTACGCTCGATGAGACGGGCATCAATGCTGAGCTTGCAGATATCCTCAGTGCGCCGGCCGCGAATCAGAGGCAACAGAACATATCCCTGGACGACATTGTGGGTGATACTACACAGCCTACCTCTGACTACCTGGATGTGTCGGAAATCAAAATCAAGAAACCCAAAAAGAAGAAATCCAAGCAAACAAGACAAAAACAACAAGATGCGGACGACATTTTCCCGATAGAACCTGTTCCCGAAGAAAACAACGAAATGGACGTCGATAGCAAAGACGGTGTCCCCAAAAGACCAAAGACGGTATCCGACACCTTTGTGGATGACGACGACCTGCAAGCGTCGCTAGCTGCGCAAAGAAGGGCCGCGCTCAAAAAGCGCAAGAAGAGTCGTCCAGAAGACCTAGCCAAGATGCTCAAAGAACAAGAAAACGAAGAGGCCGCAGAAGCACAAGAAGATGGCGGTCTTGTCATTGGAGCTGTATCTGAGTTTGTCTCTAATCTCACCGTACCCGAGGAAGAAGAACGCAGACCAAAGCCAAGTCCGTCTCCGAAAAAGGAACCCTCACCAGAAGAAGATGGCCAAGATGCCGTCATGGAGGACTTGGAAGACGCACAGGTTTACCAAACAGAAGACGCGGAACCCCAGCCGCCGCAAGCCGAGGAAGAGGAAAAGATGGTGGGCAGCGGCATGGGTGCGGCCCTGTCGCTGCTGCGCGAGCGCGGCCTCGTCGAAGAGTCCAAGGGCGACGAAGAGTACGCCGCGTTTCGCCGTCGCCAAGACTTCCTCGCCAAGAAGAAGCAGCTCGAGGACGAGCTCGACGAGGAGACGCGACGGCAGCGCGAGCGCGATCGCGCCAGCGGCAAGCTGGACCGCATGTCGGTGCGCGAGCGCGAAGACTATGCCCGGCAGCAGAATCAGTGGCGCGACCAGCAGCAGGCGCGGCGCATGGCGGCGCTCTTTGAGGACAGCTACAAGCCCAGTGTGGCGCTCTCGTACCGCGACGAGCTCGGGCGCGACCTCGACACAAAGGATGCGTTTAAGCATCTTAGTCACCATTTCCACGGCAAGGGCAGCGGCAACATGAAGCAGGCAAAGCTGCTCAAGAAGATGGAGGACGCGAAAAGGCGAGAGGCCCAGAGCATGTTTGACGCGAGCCAGGCGGCGGGCATGAGCCGTGCCACGGCGCAGCAGCTCAAGAAGCGCAAGGAGGCGGGCGTTCGTCTAGGGTAGACTGGCTGGTTTGCGATGAGCTCTAGATATCCAACATTTAGCTTTTAACATCAACTTTATTTCAACTTCATTCCAAGTGTCCCACTTGTATTGTTTGTTCTCGTCATTTTTTAAGACTCTTTTCCTTTCTCGCATTCTCTTCGCTCTTAACTGTCCATCAATACTGCTCGTGACTCTGATTTGACACTTTGTATCTCGCATTATCAGCAGCTTTTTTTTTCCACCACCTCCTTGCCTACATGCATACACGAGTGATGGCACTAATACATGAATTCTTTACCTAAACTTCAACTTTACATAGCAGCAGCGTAACCGGCTTATACGGATATCCAGTACATGCGCGCCACACCCCCCCTTAATTACATTAGCCTCTCAGCTACTGCATCTAGCGCGAGGCGACAGGCCCGTTATGTTGTCAGGCCGCTGCGCTGTGCCCGCGGCAACAGCAGAATCGGTAGCTGGTCTTACGAGATTCGCACCGTCGTGCATTTTGATGAGCGCGTATCGACGCGGGCTGGTCCTGCTATGGCGATTCGTTGCAACTTCGCCCGTCACCGGCTCCGGCGCGCGCCGCACGAGCGTGTGCTGCCGCTGGTGGGCGTGCGCGGCCCGGTCCTGTCCGGGGCCGGGATGCGTTGTCGAAGATGGAAGGCGCGCGGCCTGTTCCTGTTCCCGTGCCGTGGTGTCTGACCCGAGCCTCGTGCGCCGCACCGCGACCAGTCGAGGAGCCGGTCGAGGATCAAATTGTACAATCACTGCTGAGATGCGGCTCGTCGCAAGCAGTCGACACTATTGCCATGACCGATCCCCATGTCGCCCTAGTTGTCGTGCTTTCACAGGGTCTCGTCGGCTTGGCGATTCGCTTACCGAAACGCGCCGTCATCGCTTGCATCGAACTCAGCGCCGCACTCAAGTATCTCGCCAGCGACCCGCCCGGCTTGGCCGCCGTTGCCTCCGCCTCCGCCGCCTGCTGACGCTGCCGCTGCCGCCGCCTGTGTTCGCGCGCCGGTCCTGTGACCTGCGCGGCACCACCACCGCCGCCACCGCTGCCGACGCCGATACCGCTACTATCGGGCACGCCGTAAAAGGTCACCTGTTTGCGATTGAGCGGCGTCTGCAATGCCGTACACACGTCGCGCTGTGGCTGCTGCTGCTGCTGCTGATGATGACAGTCTAGGTACGAGGGACGCCAGCGGCGAGTCTCGGCGGTCCGGGGTGGATACTGGTTCCAGTGCTGCGACGAGGACCGCTGTGACTTGGTGCGGGAACGCGGGCTGTCTGGTCTGAAGGGTGCGGCGGCGCCGAGGCGAGCTACTTGAAGGAGCTGCAGCTGGGTATCTCGCATGGCTTGTGGACGGGATACCAATGGGGTGAGAATGGCGAAGATGTTTGGTTTGCGATAGGCGGTTGTTTTAATTTTCTTTTACTCTGAAATCGATTCGTGTAATCGAGATTCTTCGTACAAGTGGACTTGCAAGTGGTCTTAAGAGGACTCCCGTTGGCGGGTAGACTTTTTACATCTCACAGTGCTTACCGCTCATCCTGCGAGCATCCTTTCCATCTCCAATTGCAAACGGCAAAGAAGGTATTATATAGACGGTGAATACGCGCCCGAAAGGCGGCAAGCTACGGGTCTAAAGTTCGGTGTGTAAGTGGCCGCCTTTGTGGCAGTTCTTTGTCGCACGGCAGAAATACGCGCGTGGTACAGAGCGGCTTTATGCATGCGATGCGAGCCCACGGGGTCCCAAAAGAACATCGCAGCTGATGCAGGGCCGTAATTAGTGGTGGCTTTGATTCGTAGAATAATCGTGTAGAACGCCATTCATTTGCGAATTCGTCACGGAGGCGCTTTCTCGTCGACTTTTGACTTGTCTCGCTCAACGGGGTGTTTGTTAAGGCTTTCATAGAGCTGCAAGTAGCTGCCGATTAAGAATGCCCAAGAGCCCCTACAATTGCAATCAAGACCGAAGTTAGCTCATCAATACTTATAGTGAGAAACGGGGCGGACCGAGACAAAGCTGTATAAGCGCTCAAGGGAAACTGGAAGACTGACCAAAACGTCGCCAGCGCAGCTTGGTACTGCGCTCCCGTGCTCCCATACGCCATACCCAGCGCGCCGCACAAAGTAAACCCGATGGCGCCAACAAGGTTCCAAAACGCAATATGCCACCCGAGTAGCCGCGGGGCGGGCCGCCACCAGTGATCCTGCGTTTCGAGCATGTAGAGCAGGCCGCTGACAATGAAGCCACAGCCGCCGACGACCTGCGGGATCCAGTACGCGGCGTTGAGGCGCCACTGCGGCGTGAGGTGGTCCGCGATGCCGGGCAGCGCAGTGAAGCCAGCGACGCCAAACACGGTGGCACCAAACAACTGAGCGGCGCCAGCGAGGAAACCCAGCTCGTAGAGGTAGCAGTGGCGGAGGTCGTGCCAGGACGGACGCCACCGCCAGTGTTTGGTGGGGGCGGCGGTCCCGGGGACGGGGCTGAGATGGGACTGGGGCCGTCCGACGAGATTGTGTTTGTTCTGATGATGATGGCGGCAGGCGTGGTTGCTGGCGACGAATGTTATGGCGGCTGCGCGGTGGGTGTCGGGGTCGACCAGCTCTTTGACAGCCCAGCCAAAGCAGGATGCGTCGTTGGTGTTGACGGCTTCGAGGATGAGGAGCAGAGACCCGACCTCGAAAAAGATGATGGCGCCGATAAAGGCGGTGATGCCGCCGCCGTAGTCGGTCTCGCCTTTGAACGATGTCGAGGGGCGTACGAGCGGCAACCAAGCAAAGAAACCCTTGATTTCTGTTTCAGTCAATTGTCCTCCTGTCATGTCGTGTCATGGAGAGGGCTCACATTGATAACCCAAACTACACTACCCGCGGTGAAGATGAACGCCACCAACCAGGAAATGTCCCATACCGGAAATTGCGTCAACGTGCGGATGATGCCTCTCAGCACCTCCTTGGGTTGCGACGACGGCCGGGGGGCCGCGACACTGCTCTCGTCATGGGGGCGTCTCGGCACGCGCAGCGGATGGCGTCCCTTGCGGTTATCGCGCGACCGCCACAAAAAGTGAATCCCATCGAGACTGGGCCGGCGCTTGATCGAGGCACTGTCGGCAGCCTCGCCCGCGTTCCGAAGCAAGCCCTGCGTGGGATTGAGAAAGGGAACGGGCCCGCGGGCGTGCTGCAGCAGAGGGTTGTGGTTGCGATGGCGGGAAGGAGGCGGCGGCGCGGACGAGCCGGACTCGCTGTCGCGAGGGCTCATGGCGAGCTGGCGCACGGTAGGCGGCACTGCTAGGGTTTATGAAGGTGTAGGTACGCTGATTGGGGATGCAGGCAACTAGGCAATCGAGCTTTGGAGGCTGCGTTTGTGGCATCGTTCAGAGACTGGTGTTCAGCCTCGACTGTCGTCTGATTAACTAGCGCGCGGTGCAGTGAGCGGGACCTGACAACCGTGGCGGGGTGTGCTCTGCATGTCAAATGTTTCAGTAAACACACATTGTACAAATACAAAGTGGGAGTCATGTCTCTCTTGGGAGACAATGTTGATGCGTCAAGGCTGTTGCGAGAATTAGTTAGACCAGGAATGTTGTTGTTTCTTCCTGGTTGCTACATTGCCAGCTACCAGCGTTTGTCGCGCCCGCTTTCGTAGCGGCGTCGAGGACTTTACCCCCAACCTGGCCCACACTGTTCTTATCAATACTCACAAAGTCAATTGATAGAGAGGTATGTAATGCAAAGGCAAGGGGATTTCTCATTATATCATCAGCCCTCAAATCGGAGAAATGGGCATTGTGCTCGCATCGTCGCGACCTGTACGAGGTACCACCCGGCATGGTGAAGAATCGAGCGACTATACATAGTTATGTGTGACCTCGAGCAATCATGAAATGTCTCTCCTTATACGACTTTGTTGAGGGCCGTGGTGTTTGGCTGCCGATCTGCCGAGCAAGTATCCGGAGCAGAACATTACGAATATTATCATCACTGGGCGGCAATCAGTGTTTACCGGGTGGCGTTCAAAGTCCCAACCCATCTCGATCTTCCTGAATTTCCGGTCCGTATAATATCTTTGACTTATTTAATATCTTTCCACTCTGATGACGTGTCTGGCGCGCGAGGAGGGCGGCAGGCCTGGACATTCGGACATATGACGAAGACGGGCCCAGAGTTGGGGTGGAAGGGCTTGTTGCCAGCGCAGAGTGGTGTCCTACTGGTACTGTCTGCATCTGGAATGTGAGGAGTGAGTGACTGCGCGCTCATGCATGCGAAAGCGTTGTGTGTTGATTCCAGAGTCTGGTGGCGCGGAGGTCAGATTAAGCCTCTTGGAAGCTGGCCGCATAATTCTTACCGCTCTGTGAGTCGAGACCTTCGTTGCGCTGGTTCGATGGAAGCCTAGACGTCGGCTCACACACCTGGCATTTGAGAGCGTGACGGCATGAGATCCTTGCACGACCATCTGAAGGGGGGCCGATAGCCGGTGCCTATCTAGGTTGTGCGAAAGAGGATTCTTCGTGGGACGGGGCATACTTGCAGTTTTTGGGTGATGAGACACTCAATCATGTAGGAGCGGATAGCTACCAGCTGAGCAGCAGTACGGCGCGCCGATAAGAGCACCCGGATCGGATGTTCTTGTATCGTCGCCATAGCAAGTCAATAAGCGGCATGTTTGCTGTTGCACAGCAGATGGCAAGGTGCGGAACATGACGAGAATTAGGCCGGCAAGCTGGGCAGAAGGAAAAGACAGTCTGACAGAGGTCTGACAAAGGCTTTTTATTGGCTGAATTTTGTTGAAGAAAATTTCTTCTTCTTTTTCGCACTCGAATCTAAATTCCTATCAAGGTAATAGTTGCGCTGTTGAAAGGATAATTAGCTAGTAAATCTACCGAGTAGTACATTCAACTCCTGGTGCTTCGGTGCTTCCAGTGCGGGTGCGGGTGCGGATGCAGTGTGCCAGTATTTATTAGACGAAGCTTGGCCGAAAGCAGAAGAGCTTGGCCCGCCTATGTCAATGCCCATGTCCCTGTCTTTTCCACTGTAAATTTTGGGGGTCACTGTGTGGACGATGTGTGTGTATTCAGTAAGTAAATAGACAATGATGCCAAGGACTCGGAAGGGAGAACGAATGGGAGAAAAGAGAGAATAAAGGAAATAAAAGTGCAGCTGTCGAAAGCACGATTTGCCCTGAACCTTCTAATCTCACATCTTGGTCTATTGGACCATGGTTCGCTCGGCGTTTGCTCATCTGTAGCGACCGCCCAGGCCCTGGAATCCACTAAAAAGTCGAGCCACCTGCCAAGACCTTTTTGCTGACTGGGAAGCAGCAAGGTGGGTGGTTACTACCTGTTAGTTAGGAAAAAGGTACCCGCGCCCACCATATCAAGGCGGCCGCTACTTGCATGGTTAGCAAAATATGAACATCGTTCCTCTGAAAAGTCTCAGTCATCTCGCCCTTGCCCAAAACCCGCCAGGCCTTTTTTCTCGCGCCGCGCAACGTCACGCGCTGTAATTTACCCTGTGCAACTCGTTGTGCAACCTCTCCTTGCTACATTTCTATTCAATCATTCGCTTTGCCCCCTTATCGTGTTTCTTTCTCTTTATTTCTTGCCACCACGTTGGCCATACTTTACACTATTTATTAGCCCCGTCGTTCCCCTGCTCAGCTATCCGAATGCGCCTCGTCCACTGATCGACAAGGCTGACAACATCAATCTCTGCAGACTGGGTTTTGGTTTCGATTTCTCTCTCCTCCGAGTTCAGGCAGCTTTGAACGTTGATACCGCCGGCACCACCCCCATAGAAGCCCCGAGGGGCGCAGTCGCTCCATCGTCCATCGTTGACCGCTGACCCTCGCAACATCAGCACAGTCGACGGTCTGCCCATTTGCTCTGAGCCCGTGCCCAGCGACGAGGCCATCCTCGCTCGCCCAGGGTGACGCCCTTCGTCTTGGCTGCCCTTCCAACCATGATTGATGCCATCAGTCACTCATAGACTGCCGACGCTCAATAATGCACCCTGCCGTCAAAAATTGGTCCTCGTTTCCTCTTGCCTTTAGCCCGCCATGAGGGTTGCGATCCGAGAGCAGCTGGCCGCTCTCGTCATCTTGGCCGTCTTCATATGCCTGATTGTCGTCTCCGTTCCCACCTGGAACTTTGTCTACAACTTTGTCGTCGGTGTCGAGACCTCGAGCTTGGCCCTTACAGCCTCACTCAAGGCCACCCGCATCAGTTCCGAAATCAATCTGCTCCTCATCATCTGCCAATCCGTCGCCAGCCGCATCCTTCTCCAGGAAGCCTTTGTCGACTTTTACAATGGCAACGGCACAAATCCCTTCGACTCGGCCCGCAAGGACATTACCAGTGCCATGACTAATAGTCAAGTCTCTGGTCTGCTCCAAGCCCGCCTCTTTTCAAGAAACATTACCGGCGCCGCTCATAAGGGTCTTCTCAACGTCACCGCCGCAGGCATAGGCAACAAAGATGTCAACATTGCCCTTCCCTATCTTGCCCCAGACGGCCGACGCGCAAATCTCAGCGATACACCATGGGGGTACCCCCCTTCGCTATATCCCAACATCACCTATCGACCCGTTGGAAAACTCAACCCCGCCGAGCCAGACACCATGTCCTACGTAGCAGATGCTTTCCCAAACACCAAGATTAGCGACAAGGGCGGTCTAATCCTTGGACCTCTAATCGTCAACGAGACGTATGCCCTTATGTCTCTCACAATTCCCGTGCGATCCAACAACAACGCACGCTATTTTCTAGGCTACATGACGCTTGTAGTGTCCGCCACGTCTCTTCTCGACGTCCAGACATCGCGCGAAGGCTTAGACAAGTCGGGTATGGTCTTGATAGTAGGTCCAGCTCATCCCTCCAACAAATTCATCGGTGCCATCACTCCTTCCAACGGTACCCGATCTCCCGACAAATCTGCTCTAGGCAACATCAACACTCACTTCGTCCTCCCGCCTATCACGCCTCGCGGCCAAGCCGATAGGCATGGAAATCGAGACTACCATAGCGGCAACTCCGGCACCGACTTCAAGCTCGCACAGTATCAGAGCGTTCTCAATGTATACTACAACAACGCCACCCAGCTCAACAATGCTACTGCCACATTATCCACCAAGAACGAGCAGGACGTTCCTGTAGCTGTTGGCATTGCTCGTCCGCAGTCGGAACTCGTCGATTGGGCCGTCGTGGTCGAGAAAGCGAGATCGGAAGCATACGGTCCCATTTCCAAACTCCGCGTCATTCTTCTTGCCTGCTCCTTTGGCACTGCAGGCCTCATTCTAATTCTTGTCGTTCCTTGCGCTCATCTCGGTGTGAGACCTATTCGACGCCTCAAAGAGGCCACCGAAAATTCCGTTTGCCCTCCGGGTTACGAGGAAGACGCGGATAACCTGAGCGACGGTGACGGACCAAGCTCCGGCGCAACTCGTACTACTTCATCTCGCAGAGGCGGCTTATTTGCCCCTATACGACGCAGGTTTAAGAAGCGGAAAAAGGCAATGACCCTAGCTGAGATTGATGCCCATCGACGCATATTCAAGATTCCCGGGCGTGTTACTCAAGGAAAACACTTCGTGACGGACGAGCTCACAGAGCTTACACAAACATACAACGACATGACAGACGAGCTCTTGAAGCAGTACACGCTCCTTGATGACAAGGTCGCTGAGCGCACACGAGAGCTGGAAATTAGCAAAAAGGCTGCCGAGGCTGCCAATGAAAGCAAAACGCTCTTCATCGCTAATATTTCTCACGAGCTCAAGACGCCCTTAAATGGTATCATGGGAATATGCGCTATCTGCATGGAAGATGATGACGTTCGCCGTATACGGTCGTCACTGAAGACTGTCTACAAGTCAGGTAAGTACCTGTTTGGTCGTTATCACGTGGCTCTCAACTAATACACGATAGGTGATCTCTTATTGCATCTGCTCGAGGATCTCTTGAGCTTCTCCAAGAACCAAATTAGTCAACATGTCAGACTTGAGCGGCGAGAATTCTGTCTCAACGACATAAAGACCCAAATCGATGCCATCTTCGAGAAGCAATCGAGGGAAAACAAGATCCAGCTCACTGTCGATTATATATCGTTCACTGATTCGCACGACACAACAGAAGCGCAGCGTCGCAGTATCGACGAGCGGTTACCAGCTTTAGGCCCCCCTGGGATGGGCCGTCTCAAGGAGGTCTATGTCATGAGTGATTGCCACCGTATACTCCAAGTCCTCATCAATCTCGTTGGAAACAGCGTCAAGTTCACTCCAGCGGGTGGCAAAGTGATGCTCCGCATACGCTGCCTAGGCGAGGCAGAGCAGACTAGCGGTGACGAATTGAGTAGAAACTCATCTCTCTCCCGGTCTCCTTCTGTCGCCCAAGGCCGGCGCAATCGCTTGCGGGGCCAGTCCGGCTCCATCCACTCTGGCAACTCGGTCATGGCGACGGCTGTCACGGATGGCACCGCTCTCGAGATCAATCCCATGGAGCCCAAGGTGGCTCCGTGTATCTCTCCGCGCGATCGGTCCGAGTCCCCATCGCCAGTCAGGTACAAGGCGTACACCTTTGAATTTGAGGTGGAGGACACTGGGCACGGCATCCCCGAGCACATGCAGTGCAAGATTTTCGAGCCCTTCGTTCAGGGTGACGCCGGTTTGAATAGGAAATTCGGCGGCACGGGCTTGGGTCTCAGCATCTGCGCCCAGCTCGTCAAGCTGATGGGCGGCACCATTGGTGTCAAGAGCGCGCCCGGTCAAGGGTCCATCTTTACGGTGCGTATACCGCTGGAGTACGTCAAGGACCGCACGCCGAGCCCGTCTTCAAGCATTCGATCTCGTGCAGGTAGCATGGGCTTCACCGCGGACGAGACGCAGCACACTTCCCTCACAAGCGTGCCGGGCAGCAACGACTCGGCAGAAACGAGCAGCGCCGACAGCCCCGTCAATCATCATTTGCCCAAAAACAAGCCGCGTCTCGTCGGCCTCAGTGCGCCATTCTTTACCACGAACGATGCCCCGCACACTGACAAGTGCTACAACGCGCCCGGCGCGCCCGGTCATGTTAAAGGCAGGCTCAAGGTGCTGGTCGCCGACGACAACGCGACCAACATTGAAGTGGTTAGCCGGATGCTTAAGCTTGAGGAGGTGTACGACGTGACAGTGGCAAAGGACGGACAGGAGGCATACGAGCTCGTCAAGGAGACGATGGCGACGCCGCCGCCGCACACGCCGCCGCACAAGCAGTTTGACGTCATCTTCATGGATGTGCAGATGCCCAACGTCAACGGCCTCGAGTCGACGCGCCTGATTCGCAAAATAGGCTGTGTCGCTCCGATTGTCGCCCTCACGGCGTTTTCCGAAGAGAGCAACGTCCAGGAGTGCATGGCCTCGGGCATGAATGAGTTTCTCAGCAAGCCCATCCGCAGGCCCGCCCTCAAAAAGGTCCTCTCCAAGATTTCGACCATTGAAGAGGAGGACGTCACGCCGTGCGCCATAACACCGCCATCGCAAAGCCAGAGCTCGGCGTCGCCGCGGCAGGGTCAGGGCTTGCAGGGCTCTCCGCCTCCGACGCCCCCAACAACGGGCGGCGACGAGCTGGAGAATGTGGATGAGAAGCAGACGAATGGCGTATAACAGCCTCTGTCTAGACGAATCTCGCGCACCATGTAATTTGCGCGTGGGGGGTTGGAGGGAGTTGGATCTCACAGCACAGTCGTACCGTCTTTTGGCGAGGGAAAATAATGAAAAGTTGGGATACACAGAGTAATTAGAAGCTGTACATTGTTTTTGGATCAAGCACAAAGCGAAGGCGTTTTATTTCATCGGTGTTTTGTAGCGCCTCTTTTTTTTTTTTTTGTCCTTTGGTTTTTTTTGACACCTTGCCCAAGAGCAGACATTTTCTTGCTTCTTTTGTTACTTGTTTCATTAGAGTACACATGTCTTTCTTCTACACACGTACATGTTTATACACATACACGAGCGGAGGAGCATGGTCACCTCTTTTATCTTATCTGTTCAATAGACTATTATAATGCTACTGCTTTTCACTGCTTTGAATTCGGAAAGATTGGCCAAAGTTGTCGGGTGCGGTGACGCCGAGTATAATTGTTCTGCATCTAAGGTCGTATATTCATAATCAAGATGTCTGCCTGCCGGACACGAGCCTACATGAAATGGCTCTACGGAGTTGTTGATGTAATTTCCAAGTGTTCTGTTCCTGACCAACAAGTCTAAGCAAATAAAGAACGCCATCCAAACATGAAAAAATTCGCTCGCCAAAAGAAAAGACAAGACAGTAAAGTGAGAAAAGAGATTCCATCATACGGAGAAAAACAATCAAAGTCGAACCTTGGCTCCAATACCGCGCCCTTGATACTGCACCGTCTCGATCCATTGCCCGATCCGCAGGGTAATCTGCGCCAGCGCATCTAGTCGCAGCGACCCTCCCAGGGCCTCGCGCAGTTTGCCGTAGCCCACGCTCTCAAGCGACCACTGCACGTCGAGCCGCGGCGTCTCCGACAACCCCGGTGGCACGTCAAACTCCTCGCTGTGTTCGATGCGCGCAACGGGTTCGGTGTGATTGTAGAACGCGGTGGCAGTAATGTGCTGGATGTGGATCGTGTTTTGGCGCAGTGGCGAGGCTAGCACAAAGCTCGCAGATGAGGTGAGGAGGTGAAAGATGGCATCGCGGAGGAACCCGTCGGACTTGTCGTTCTTGGGGCCGTCACCGGGGAGCTCGAGACGAGGAGCGGGAAAAGTCAAGTTGATTCTGGATAGAGCTTCGCCGAGCTCTGGCAGATTGGGTAAGCTGCCGCGATGGGAGCGTAATGTGAAACTCGTATTCTTGCCAGAAATGTAGCCCGAGATGAGTTTACGGCCGGCTTCACGGCTCGTGTCGCCACCCAGTCCTGCTGGGTTCCATGAAGCGCTGACCGCAGTGTCGGTGACATTGCCGTCGCCGACCAGCAGGTCCTTCACAGTGACGTTCCCCAAGATGTTTTCATCAGAGACGAGGTGCAGATTTACATAGGGCACAAAGACCGTGTATGGCGTGGGATTCGTAAAAGCAACAGCGCACTCCAGATTGATAGCAGTCAAGGTCGTATTTCGGATCCGAATATTCCCGATGCGCGGCTTGAAGTTGCCAATGAGCCCCCCCGAAAGCCCTGCTCTGCCGTCAGTGTCGGTTTTCGCAGTCCGGGGAGCGTCACGACCCGACTTTAATAACACGCGCAAAGAAAGGTGAACAGAGAACATCATTTCGGGCTATCAGTTGGAGGACAGACCATTGACGGGAATCTTGCCCTCTGCAGGGATGTCCTTGATGACCACAGCGCCGAGGACGGTGTCGACATTGGCATCTAGTTTGGCGCGGGCATGGACGATTATACTGTCGGAACCAAAGAGGTATTCACTTGCGAGTGAAGAAAAGACGTCGTTGTCGGTAATGTCGATTGGGGCGTTGTCGACGCGAGACGTTATCTCAATAAGGATTTCTTTAGCATCGGATTCTAGCTTGTGAGAGGCGGCCTTTTGCCACTTGCGCAGGTTGAGTTCGCCGAATTTCTTATCCTTGTAAAAGAGGTTGCCTTGTGATCTGATGCTTTGAACTCCCAGATCTACATTCATGCCCTCTGGCAAGGCTGCGACGGCGACGACGGTGCCGGACACGCGAGGCTTGCCCTGCGGCTCGAAGGGGCTCGGGAGTGAAAAGTCGACATCGGTCAAGGAAAAGTTCCGAAGCAAATTATCAAAGGAACTTCCGGGAAAGTCAATTGGGACGGTCACGCTCTCTAATAGATCGCCCAGCCACCCGGGAAGCTCAGAATCGCTGGGCTGCTTGCCCCGTACAAAGATCTGAGCATTTTCACCACCGAGGTAATGTTTGAGAAATTCATCAAGTGGAGACAGCTCCGACACAGGGCATGCTTGCGTAAGTCTCTGTGGCAACTTGCGGATCAAGCCAGAAGCCTCAACCGTGATTTCCGTTTTTGGTTTCACTTGGATAACACTGGACCTGCCAGTACCGACAGCGATTTTGGGATCGTCAGGCGAGCAGCCGGATATGAGGACCTCGAAGCCGACACGGGGCACAGTCAAGGACACGGAATATTCATTTTGCACGGCGACTGAAACATTTGCGCCAATGCCCTGACTATCTCCATGGCCCAGAGGGACTTGGTGAAAATTGAGGTGCTGAATACTGTATTCGGGGATCGAAGGAGCATCTTTGGCTGCAAAGAACAGTCAGCAAATTGAGCAAGATAGTAGAGTTATGGTATGAGAGGCATGACTGGAAAAGACTGGGATACACATAGATAAAGCAACAGAGAATAGGTATCTAGCTAATGGACTTTTCGCCAAAATACAGGGAGGAAAAGGTGTTGTAGAGAGATTGACCTTCTAAAACCATGCTTTCCACGATATCATGAGTTCCGAGGGGAATAAATCCCGACTTGAGCTGCAGGGCTGTTGCAGTCTTGACTTCCAGCTCTTTAATTTTGCCAGTGAGCCAATCGTTGACAATCTTCTTGATGCTGGCGTTATCTCCGAGCTTCATGTCGGTGACGACGTCGATAAAGGTATTTTGACCATCCACAAGATTAAGATCTAGAGGTGGCACAACGGCGGAACCGACCATAGCGTTGCCGTAGCCGGGGACGTAGAGCTTGATGTGTGTCTGCTCGGCGGCCACAGTTCTCATGATTCTCATGGCAATGCGCCCAACCCTGCGCGCCGTGTCATCCTCGACGCGCGTGGGGTCCATGCGGAAGTTGCCCTGGACACGGGCACGGATGCCGGTAAAGCTAATTGAATCGAGAGAGAGTCCGGTGGGCTCTAGGACGACGGCCTTTTCGATGTAGGTCTGTACGGCGGGCGGGACAATGAAGCCAAGGATAATGACGGTAATAAAGGTGGATCCAAGAAGCAATATGGCAATCAGAGAAGGCCATCGTCGCTTGCTCTGCTTGGGCTTGAGAGGCGGCTGTGAAGAGGCAGCATCGCTGGCGGCATCGTTTATCACCATTTGCGAGCCGTATGTGTTGTCGGCAGCGTTGGAATCGCTGGAAAGAAGGGGCTCAGACTCGGCGGCTCGCTCCTCTGAGCGATTATTTGATGCTTTCCTGGGAGGCATGATGGCGAGGGACGTGATGTATCTGGGTGAATGGCGAACGGGATGACGCCGGGGCGGGGCGTTAGATAAGGAGCGATCAAGAGCTGCCCGGCAGCTCGAGCACTTGAATCTATCGGACGGGGTCGAAAAATTCGGTTTGATGGCAGTTTAGTGATGATGCGGGCGACCTATGTGGTTGAGAGATGATGATGCTAGAGCGAAGCCTAGCCCGAGGTCGCGCCCGACGAAACCGGCCTACGATGATGATGCAAGTGGGTGTGGGGCACCCGTGACGGTTGCAACTGGATGACGAGAAAGGACGCCATTCTTTTATTCATCCGTGAAGGAGATCCATTGTCATTCTTGTAATCTGATCTTTCCAGCATTAGGATTTCCCAAGTTTCTCTTACTTCGGTTGCTTCTTTGTCTTTGTACCTGAAAGCCCGCCTGCTGTTGCTACCCACTTGTCCCGTTTGCTGGGTACGTAGCACGCAGTCGCTAGTTTGATGTCGCAGCGCATCGCAGGGCGACCTCGGCTTGGGAATTCCGGGGACATTGAACAAGTTCTCCCCTGTTTCTCATGATAAATAGACCATTGAAGCAAGCGTTCTGAGCTGTTCTAAGCGGAAACGCCTTATCCTTTTGATGGCTGAGAAGGGACAAGTAGGTCACGAGATGCACAGGGGCGTGAGGGGGTACTATCAGGTGGTGACAGACAGCCACCAGTACACACTTGTCCATGTGCCTGGCGAGGAGGTCACTGGCGTGCGCCACAGCCCCTTTTCGATCCAGTGAATCTGCATACGCAAATTAGTGAGAAATACCTGGCTTTTTCGCGTTGCACAACCGGACACACCCTAGTACGAAATTTGCTTGTTCCCTCTCAACCAACAAAAGGTGCGGATGCGCATTTTTGCTGCGACAGCAGTGCGTAAACTAAGACGTGTGAGAGGTAAAAATTGAATAGATTTAGGTGCTTCTCACGGTTGACAGATTTCTTTTCTGTCTTGCTCATTTCAATGTTGATGGGGTCTTGTTGGATTTGCCAAAGGCAGACCCTGATTCAAGCGCCCATGACAGCGACACTTGAAGATGAAAAGACTCGCAATCATAGCAAGGTACCTAGGTCCATCCCTTCTTGGTGCTTACTCCCCGAGCTCTAACCAAAGGTGGACCTTTGTAGTTGTCGGCCGAAGATATAGGGAATTGTTGGCAACTATGTGGATTGACTGTGGCTACGTTCAGTAAATGACGCTTCAAGACACTTCGAATAGGCCGCCATAATAGATCTTCGCATTCGCAACAATACTAGAATCTATACTTGTTCTAGCTGATCAGCAGAATGCAGCCAGGCGTCAAGCGTGCTCCGCGTAGCCCAACTATTTTCGTGTTTGACGCCAACGTCGCCTTTTTGTTTGACGACTTGGCCGTCTCTGTCACTCTCGTCGTCGGCTTCGTCGTCGCCGAAATTGGTACGGCAAAGAGCCTCTCGAGCTCTGCCAAAGCTGCTGCAATGCGTGCTTTGCCACCTCCTATAGTCCTATATCATTATAGTTGATTTTCTTGGCCTCATTCAGAGAAGAGAAATTTGCAAGGTCGAGACGATGCTGAGGCGATATGTTTTCCTGTATGGGGCCAGAACCAAGACTGATCAATATCCTGATGTGTAAGAGGCTTCCTAGCCGCCAATGTAAGTAGGCCATTTATGCCTGTACACGGCAGGCCGTAGATTTTTTTATTCATGTAAGAAATCCGACATCGGAGTTTCAAGCTTGATTACATTAAGCCACGCCTCACCATAGAAGTGTGTTATTTTTTAGCTCAACAATTCTTCAAATCAGGTCGATGTTCAACAACGCAGGAGAAATGTAAATCGTAAACAGGCCAAGACCGACAACAGAATCATCGATAATGCACAGGCATGTCCCAAGAGACTGGTGAGCATTGAGCATTGAGCATTGATGCAGTGGGTCGTCTAACCGACCGTCGAGGAACTAATCAAGTAATACAATCGGTAACTGATTCCGACTGCGCCTTGTCGCCTCGCGCCCCAAGCTGGCGCCCATTGGCCAAGTCGTCTCATCCTCGCCGCCCCCGTCCCGCGCGTTTTGACTTTTCCGTCCATCTCCGTACGTCTTCTTGTCGCATTCCTCGGTCGCCCTCCACAGAAACAAGCCCCCAATTGCGCGTTTCGTCTCCATAGTATTAGCCAAAAGCTTGCCCGCGCCGATCTTGACCCAGAACTTGGGGCTGTGAGGCCCAAGAGGCCGTATTCTACGCCCCGTTTCCTAGCCTTGTTTTGCGTGCTGCGCTTTTTTTCCGTCTTTTTTCGCTTGAACAACAGGAAGGGGAGGCCTGATGAGTCATGCATGCATGCGACAATAACCCATGGGGAGGTCTTTGTCTGTCTTTTGCGATTGCGATGCAGATTTCGGCCAAAAAAAAAAATCCACGTTGCGTAGATTTTGTCTCGGAGCAAAAGGTATAACCGCCGGCGACGAGAGTACAGTCGCACTGGCAATCAGCTCGAATGTGTGCTGTTAGCAAGTAGGCGAATAATAACACGAGAAGGAGCGGGGCCGGTGCCTGATCGCCCATGTCTGATGTTCTTACCGGAAATCAACCATCAGCTATTTTTTACAGTTGAGTAGTCATGCTAGGCCACGACTTCACATGTTCATGCTCCAGACTTGTCACCTGTGGCCAACTCGTTGCTGTACACGATGATGGAGTCTGAAAGTTGCCAGCGCGACTAGTAAACCTGATAGCCAAGCTTTTGCATGCCCGCGGCCTGCCACGCAACGGTCTTGGCGCCTCCAATGTTCCAAACCAATTGTGGCTCCCCCCCTCCGACAGCCGTCACTGACGACTTGTCGCTTTACGCCGGTTCGGGCCCCTGACGGCAATCTAAACCCTGCACCCGCCGTCGTTAGGGGCTCGAGAATTTCTGCAGCCACAGCAAAAGCCCATTGTCTTTTTGAGCGAGGGGCGGGCGTGCTTCAGGCTCCAACTCACAGGTCATGAGTTTCCTACCAAGCATGAACTGGTCCTTGTAAATAACCATTCAAGCATTCTCAGGCACACTGCAAAGCTGCCTCCCAAGCCGGGCGGCTAGTTCCGACCCTCAATGAAATGGGGTCGACGTTTTCAACCATACCATACAGGCCCTGCATCTGGCCCCTCATCATACGGCATCGCTCAACTGGTTAGTGTACCTGATGCGAAGTTAGTTGACTAACTAGGGCTGATACCGGGGTCCCCTCTTCCTGGCTGGTCCCTGTTTTTCTGTCCTGAGGACACTGAAGTCTGACACTGTACGAGCAGCCCACCCACCCAAAGAGAATTATTGTCACGACGAGGAAATGACCAGCGAACCAGATGTCAGCGCGTGCCGTTTTCCGCCCTATCAAGAGCCAGACATTCAGCCCGCAGCCTGGTTTTAGTCAAGACGCGCGTTGACATGTGCTTTGATAGCGCTTATTGTAATTAGTGCTCATATCACTTGCAGGAGCCCGGATCGGCAACCTCACGTCGCTTTTTTCCCTCTCTCTGCCGACGATCCACCAGGCATTGCGTGGCCCCGTCTCCAGAAAGGGACTGCTGTCCGACTCGTGAGCCCTGCCAAGATGATACCACGATGAGGCTGAGATCAAACACCCTTAACTTGGCCAAGGGCCATGTGCCACGAGAACGAACGTGACCCCTGCCTGGCCCTTTCCTCATCTTGCTGTCCCCATATGCTGCTAAACTTTTGCGCTGTTTCCATCGCAGTGGTTTCTGCTCTTCTTTCAATCCTTCTCGAACGAAACCCCGCCTCTTCATTGCATGTTTTTGTCATTCTTTTCTCGTTCTCTTTACGTTTGGTTTCAAGCAAGATATATCCTCTTGTTCTGTCTGGCCCTAGCGACGGCTCGCAGTCGCACCACATTGGCTACCCATAAGCCTCCCACACGAGTATCCTACCATGAGCCGCCGACGTCGATTACTCTACATTATTCTTCTCATCACAATCGCCGTCGCGGCAATCTACAACTCGTACGAGTCCATCGGCCGCTTCCTTCGCCTGTTTGTGCCCCATACCGGCTATCCTCTGAACCAAGACCAAGCGCTGGCGCGGTTCAAGGTGCAGAAGCAGCAGCCCAAAAATGTGCCACGAATAATTCACCAAGTTTTGCACAATTGGAGGCCGCTGGGGAACGACTCGGCTTTGCTTCCAGAATGGGAGGCGCAACGCCAGTCGTGCAGGGACAAGAATCCTGAGTGGGAGTACAAGGTGCGCAGCTACGGGTGCGAGACCCTCGGACGGCGATCGCTAACGTTGTAGCGCCGAAGTTGTGGACAGAGGACATGTCTCGAGACCTTCTTCAGGATGAATATCCCTGGTTCATGGAAACGTACGAAAACTTCAGATATCCCATTCAAAGGGAGCAGACCATTCGATATTTCATACTACGACATTACGGCGGCATATACATTGACCTCGATTTTGTAAGAACACAACCCGCATACTCTTTACTGCCATCTGTGCCTTTGGCCTTGGCTTCGAAACTCTCGTGACTTGCGTCGTGCTTCGCTTTCGAGACCCTCGATCAATATCGCACCGTCACTCATTCACAATCTAACGCGCTTCTTCTCATAGGGCTGCGTCAATAGTCTCGAAAGCCTACGGCCGTACTCAGTCTTCATTTCCGATCACCGCCGTGGGACTTTAAGCGACAAGGTCCTCGGCGGCGCGCCCAACCACCCATTCTGGGTCCAAGTCACCGAAACCATACCCCGATACTCGCACTGGTACCTGTTACCGTTTCTTACCGTGCTCTATGGCACCGGCCGCTGGTTTCTCACGGCCGTCTGGGACAGCTGGCACTGGGAAAATTGCCAGCAGACACTATTCCACTACGGCAAGCCGGCCGACTGGCTCACCCGGCTGTCGATGCCGCGGTGGCGCGGCGCCCCTAAATGGTCCATCTTCAGCAGCTACCACGGCGGCACCCCCGACACCTGGCCCATTGACATATTCGTGCTCGGCCGGAAGCATTGGATCGTGTCCATCATTAGCGGCGTCGTGGGCTGCGCCATTGGCATCTACCTTGGCGTGAAGCTGTTCCGAAAGAGGTGTGCCCGGCGACGGCGGGCTTACAGGCCGGTGTCTGATTCAGAGAGTCGCGTGTAGTGTACTACTATTTACATCATTGGCATATTAGCGATCTCGGCGTCTCAAGCGATTCAATTAACCTTTCTTGCATTATTGTGGATTCACACATCCCTTGTTAAGCAAACAATTTTGCCCAGTGTTTAAAAAGTGCCGAAGCGACGGATTCGGCATTGCCGTAGAAAAGCTTGGCTGCACAAGTCAGGATATGATATTTTGAGGCCATCCCGGCAGAACCACCTACCCCATTATCCTTGGGACGGTTGCTTATGGGATTTGTCTGATTGTGAGGATTTATGAGCGGTATCAAATTGAAGGGATGAGTATGTGTTCATGCACACGATCTATTTCCGCATTGCCATAGTCATGCGTAGGCAAAGAAATCAAGTTGTCACGATTCAAAATACTTTCAGTGCTTTCTGGCCAACTTTGTGTATGTATATATAAGTCAGAGAAGGTAGCAACTCAATCTGGACTTACAACCACCATCATAACCACGATCATAATCGTACAGTTTCATCATCGACCACACCACTCGCTTAAAAGATAAAGTGCTCAAAGTACAATGTCTTTCATTAGTGAGCGATTCAAACTTTGCTTTTTCTTCTCATGAATGGATATTAAATCTCGAACTGTCCATCACCGTCCTCTCTATAAAAGGCCGCAGGGTCCACGGTACTATGGCGGGCGATGATGTGACTCGGCTTGGATGCAGTATTTGCCTTGGTCCTACTAGGCTCACAATGCTTCATTACCCGAGTTCCTCATTTATGAATACTCCTCATCAGTAGTAGACTAGCAGGACTGAAACTGTAGGGAGACTGGTCACTGTACGGCTACTGGCTGCTGTAGTGGTCACCTCTGTAGTGGCTAGGTACCTTATACTGGCTGTTGTACTAGCCGCCGGACCGACCGTTCTGGATAACTCCGTTTTTAAATACTACCTACCTAGGTAGGTAGCCGCTTGCTACTATCTTAGGTACTGGCTTCTGTCCTGACTGCCTGCTGCTATGCTACCTAATCGTACTGGCTGCTACAATAGCCCACTGTCCTGGCTACCTACCGCGTAGGGGGTTGTTTTCTGGCATGGTACCTACAGCGTCTCCCGTTCATAATGTCTCCTTACTGTCAACTAACAATACCAAGGCGCTCATATATGTCAGAATGGATATATATTAGCCTCTACACTTGCTAGATGGCTCTAACAGCCTCACTAGACAGTAAATAATTATTTTCTACGTGATAGAGTGTTTTAGCTATGTTAAAAAACACCCCCCGCGCGCGTAGGTACTTTCTACAATGGTTACATGTAATATGGCTTAGCCAGATACCTGAACTACCCCATGCCCCTGTGGGTGAGTGTAGTAGAGAAAAGTGGGGCAATACCCATAAAAAATGCATTTAAACCGATTTAGATCATCGTCCGCTGTACGAATACTAAACATGCATTTGAGCCGATTGAGATCATCGTCCGCCGTACTACTTGGAAGCTACACTTTGAAATCAGGCCAAAAAGTGGGCAGATTGCGTTGCAGAGCGGAAGAGAAAAGGTTGCATTTCATCTGAGTTGCGCAGGATGGCGGCACAACGGGACAACTTAAGTCCCTGGCCCCTAAACTCAGCAACCACAACGTTTGGACAAAGTCGCCCCAGCATTCTCTCGATGCCTCCAAGCCCTTTCTCTATTATTGTGCGGGCTTTCCTCGAGCCCCTCGCGCGCCTCACCGGCGCCATGAGAAGGCTCTTTGCCTTCATATGGAAGCCCAAGAAAGCCGATGGTTCAGATGCTAGCAAAGCTGAAGAAGCTCTTGAGCCGGGTAAGTTGACCCCATCTATCCACAGTGGTAATAGCTTTTGTTAACCGGTATTTTTTCTCAGGTACCAAGATTTTACTACTGGGGCTCATGCGCAAAGTGGTGCTGCTCGAGCCATCAAATACAGTTGTCAAGTCTGGGAGATACTTGGATCCCGCCGAGGCAGAGGGTCTCAAAGTCGCCAACGAGGCGAACATCCCATCTCCTCGTCTGCATAATGTGATCCGCCAACCTCGCCAGCTTGAAATAAGTATGGACTATGTTCCAGGGCAGACGCTGGAAGAACTATGGCCCAACATGTCTGCTGATGAGAAGAAGAGCGCTGCCACTCAACTTCGTGAAATAATCGAGCAAATGCAAGCGATAGAGCCGCCGCCCAACTATATCGGCCGTTGCAGCGGCACTGGAGTCCGCGACACACGTGTGCGCATGACATACGATGGGCCAGTTTGCAAAGACGAAACAGAATTCAACGAATACTTGATTTCGTCACTTTTTCCACCAATACCCTCTGTACTAAAGAGCTCATTTCGTGACCACCTACGAACTGGCCATCGCATCGTTTTCACGCATGGAGATCTTGCACCAAGAAATATCATGATGCAAGATGGGAAAATCTCCGGTATTGTTGATTGGGAGGAGTCCGGGTGGTATCCAGAGTATTGGGAACTTATAAAGTTCATCGAACGTCCTGCCAAGGCCGACTGGAAGCAATACGCGGAAATTATATTCCCTAAGCAATACCCAACTGAACTGCTTGCCTACACGGCCATATCCAAGTGGCGAGCCGGTTGAATTCACTGATATGTCACCAACTAGTTGTACATAGTTAATGCTTTGTAAATGAGCTGTACGGTCCACCATTAGGACCAATTTTTGCAAAGTTGCTCTTTCGCACTAAAACACTTAATTTCGTGATTCGCAGCACATCACACCACATTACACCTAAACATAGCATCCTTAAGCGCTGACTTCTCCTTAAATGTCAAAACTACTTACATGTATTAACAGATCACTAGCGAACGTGTATTTTGATAGTCTTTATATTTAATTAAGAGGTGTATTGTCGAGAAATTATTGTTTTAAAATGCTGTATTTTGGTGTCTTGTGGCACGTTGTGGTGCCCTGTGTATTACCCACCACATCACTAACGCAGGCGCCGCTACAGGGCGTCACAGGGCGCCAAAACACGGTTATATTAAGCGCCTATTCCTCTACATACAGGACTTTAAACCGCTATCGACATATATCAATTAATAGATAATTAACTAAGATCTACATGAATATACCTTTTATTAGGTAAAAAGACATATTCGTGGAGAGTCAAGCGTTTAAAAATGCCGTACTTCAGTCCCCTGTGGCGCCCTGTGGCAGCGTTATAACGAGTAATATACGAGGCAGCAGAGGGCACCAGAATACGGTATTTTTAAACGTCAATATCTTGATGAATACATATTTTTGTCGGTAGCAAAATAAATCAGAATAAATCTTAGTTATTCATCTACTATTTTATCTATACTCAAAGGCGAATTAGAGCATTTTGTGTAGAGGAATAAGCGCTTAAAGATACCGTGTTTTGGCGTGATGTGGTGCGAATTTCGAATTTCGAAACAGCAACTTTGCAAACAATGGTCCTAATGGTGCACTGTAGATATAGCCTGTCCCGACTAGCCTAGATGCTCATCCTTTGCCTCCATCGTAGCGTCAATCATGCCATTCACACCATCATTGTATTCCTTTTCAGTTATCAGGCCGTTTTCGTAGAGCACCAATAGTGCGTATTGGACCCATTGTTGGCAGTTGAACTCAGGGTTATCGTTATCCACCGAGACGGATTCCGAAAGAGCGACAAGCTCTGAATGAGTCAAGGGGCGCTTTGTTGTGCCGACTCTGACCTTTTTGGCAAACGAGCGTGAACCTTCAGGATCATAATTCCAGCGCTCCTGGAATCTAAACTCGCCCTCCAAGCCCGTAACGTGGGCGTAAAACGTGGTGCCATCGTCCTCTGGCTCATACCATAGGCCGGTATGCCGATATTTGCAGAAATCCACGGGAGTGCCTTGGAAAACTGCAACGTAGACATCGTATTTGCGTTTGGTAGACATTGAGGTCAGCGTTGGGTAACGATGGAAATGTAATTTAGGGCTTCGAACAAGATGGAGCTAGAAATTGTTGCCTTGTGCCAAGAGCTGTTGTTGCAGCCTGAGAGAATAAATACTCTTGTAGCAGCCCAAAGTTCACGCACTGGAGCCATGTGAACATAATGTTGGCGGCTAATCATGCCGCTTCGTTCGCTACTCTGTGCTCCGCTCACATTTCATAATGCAAAGAGCTGATCAGGCTGCAATGTGCGAAAGCGGAGAAAATGGCAATAATATCATACGTAGTGTCCATATAAGAGTCACATGGGAGACAGAGGGTCGAGAGACGGGGGGAGGCACGAGCTGATGGTGGTGTTGCCTCAAGTTGGAGTCTCGTGTCTTCTTGTTAGCCAGTGCTCACTACTTACCAGCTATGAAAGCACCAGAAACAACACCAGTCAGATATTTTTTGGTATCTTATTAGGTGCTTTATTTTCCTTGCCGCCCGTGAATTAATTGAGCAAGTATTATGGCGTATAGAGTCAACGTCACCAACAGTCCAGCTAAGCACTAAGCTAAGCATGCAACCTCTGCTCCATTCGGACATACCTCGAGCGAGCGAGCGGCTCGATATCAAGTTTATCCAATAATCGCATACCAAGAGCGCCAACCACACACACACTACATCCTCGTAGGCAGAGCTAACTCACGGCCACAAGTACAGGGTTGTGCCATGAAAGGATTGCCAGCGGTCTCTTGGCTCCTCCCTCAGCGACAGTAATAATATCGGCATCAGGCTGTCAGGCTGCTCGAGAGGCAGACTTTATTAGCTGTGACGTACAAACTATTTGTGGATATAATAGGCAGAATCAGCCCACAGCCGAGTAAGCGAACAAGTCATGCGGTGACCTTCTCCTGGGCCATCGGATATTGCTTCCGAAGCAAAAGGCCTTGTCCAACGATGGCGTCCAGGTTGCCAGACGCTCTCAAACTACGCGACCAAGACTCCACAACAGCGGTTCTACCAGATTGGCGGGCGCTAATGCTGCCAATCGCATTTTCTTCGCAAAAGATTGCATAGTTTTAATGGGGCGATTTTTATGTTTTCTTTTTTTTTTTTGCTCTTCTATTCAGACTGTATGGAGCGACCATCTACACGGCGGCTTACCCTCCGTCACCGAGCAGACATGGGCCGCTGTAGCCATTTCTTGCTTGGACTGCCGTCCATCATCATAAATTTCCTTCGGCCCGGTGAAAGTCTTCACGATAGAAGCGGCTTTGCGCTGCAGAATGTATAATGCGGATTTGTCAGACATGCCGTCGTAAAAAGAGCAGCTATGTTTTGACCGCGGCTATATTCGATTTGCTCACCGGCGTTTGGGTTGTTGGCGGACTCCGTATCTAGGCGTTGTGTCATGTTATCTCCGAGACATTGGTCGATTTGAGGGTTAGATGAATCATCGTATTCTCTCACTTACAGCCTTCAATTCTTGCCCGGAAAGCGGACTCGGGTCTAAAGAAGTTGTCCATCAGTGTTCGAGCCCGTCGAGATGAAACCAAGGGTGCTCAAGCAACTCCTCGGCTGTGGGTCGCTTTTTGGGATCATAGACGAAAATGGATGTCAAAAGGTCAAGTAGAAGAGCCGCCTCGTGGTCAGGAATCTTTGGCAGGGACGCGAGCACCAAAGGCCAATCGTCGTCATAGTAGCCGAGATAAACCCCGTCTACTTTGATGGCCGCTGGATTCCACACCATCTTTGACCAGCCAGAAGGGAAAGGCTCGTTCTTTTGCCTAGACGAAGAATGTTGCTTCATCACACGGGGAGAACCGGTTTCAATTACACGGCTGCTGGGCTCATCCCATATGTTGTACACGCTGTCTCGCAGGGAGTCTTGGCGGCCTGACCATTCGAGAAGCGGCTTCCCCTTGCGGGCATCGCTGGTAGGCATTCCCCGGTCATCCCACAAGATCTCCTGCCACTCGCGTGGCACATCTCCGCCTAGCGTATGGATAATGTAGCTCAAGACATCTGCGGGGCAGCCGACTTCAAAGGGGCTCGAGAAAGGGCCCTTTCCGTCGCGAAGTCGAAGTATGCAGCATCCGAGCGCCCAAACATCACTCGCGGGACTGGGCTCCAAGCCCGCTGCGACTTCGGGAGCGAGAAACTCGTATGGCGTGCCGAGCATCTTTTGGGGCGGCGACGAGGTGGGAAAGCACTGGTCAAAGTCTACCAGTTTGACATTTGGTCGGAAAAGATGAGGGGGAGCGGATAGGAAATCGATGATTCCAACAATGTATCGTGGCGCCTCGACACCAATCATTTCGCCAGACTGGGTCTTTAGGCCATCAGTCAGTGGCTGGCCGAAAAATTCGATAATGTCGCTTTCTTCGTAGCAGTCGAGGTCTACCATTCCAAGAAGAAGATTACCCGTTGTGAAATCTAGCTCTTCCATCAGCTAACCAGCCAAAAAGAAAAAAAAAAAAAGAAATCCGCATGTTGTAGGGGACAAAACTTACCTCCATGGCAGAGGCCTTGTGCGTGGAGGTCCGCGATGGCTCTCGTAGCCTGATGTGCAGCTCTCCGAGCAAAGCACGGTGTGAGTCGGTATTGAAAGTGAAACGACAGCTCAGACAATGAAGGGCCGAGAACCGGTAGAACGAGGCATAAATGGCGGCCGTTGTAACCGTCAAAGTAAAACCGTCGGTGATGAACTACCACACGCTCTGTTCCGCCAACGCGCAGCATTGTTTGGCCAGGAGAACTCTTGTCGTCGTCGTCGGTATATGTGGATGATTGCTTCGCATCGATAATCTTCAAAGCCACCCATTTCTTTTCAGTCTCATCTCGCGCCAGCCAAACGGTAGAGAAGCCGCCGGCACCGAGCTTGTGCACAACTCTGTAGCGCCCTTGATCAAACGTGTCGCCCAAGTGAACAGGATGGAATCCGCCGGGTGCATATCTCTCTACGTCTTCCGTCGCGCCAATACCCTGCGGTAGTTCAAATCGGACAATGTAGTCGTCATCGAGGGTCGAGTTGGACGACATTATTCCTTGTTTGGGGGTGAAAGAGGGATGGAGGGAGCGCAGCTTAATCTCGACTCTAGTGCAGCAGCAAAAGAGAGATTAACTGGTGAGGAGGGAGGGGGCTGTTGAAGCGTTTTTAGAGCAGAGCAATTGACCATGTAGGTAGTCAGTGAGTCAGTGTCGTACGACCCGCAACAAGCTGTGCGCATTCATGCCCGGCTAAGCGTTACACGATCCAATCTTTGCTTGTTTCCATGGTGGCGTATCGGCCGTCACATTCCCCCAACCTTATAATCTGTAGCATCTAGCGCTAATCATCATCAGGCCTCAACCCTCGACCCCTGACACTGATCGCCAGGTTTTGGCTCAATCTTATGACAATTTTGACATCTCTTAATAACATCTACACAAGTTTACGAGCTACAAGATAACGTCCTTCAATGATTTTCTTCATGAATGTCAAGTACCAACTAATAGCTAGCCGAAAATACTCATATTTCTGTGCACTCGCTGCATGTTGCCGTTCAAAGTCTGGTAACCTTCAACCTCTCAGGGACATTTTGCCAGCACTGATCCCATCTTGGAGTATGTGATGCCTTCCTCCGAAGGTGATTTCTTAAAGTGTTCGGGAGTCAAGCCTGCCTTTTTCTGAAACACGCAGATGATATCAGACCCCCCAAACTGAAAGTATGAAATCTCGTCGCCTTTCTTGACTTGATCTCCCACTTTGACTTCGAGCTTGACTGATGAAATCATGGCCATGCCAATGGGTAGCACCGCGACTTTGCCCAACACTGGGTTGTCAATGACGACGACGCCTCTGGTCTGCAGAAACTGGTAGCCGGGAGAATCCGGCATGTGCGGCCCTTCCACATGTCGCACCGGGTTACCGTCCACGTCCACCTCGAGATATGCCGTGCCTTGGATATTTCTTGCCTCGATAATCTTGCCAGAAACTGGTGCGTGCTGACGATGGTAGTTGTAGGTATTCAGATAGGCATGCATCCAAACACCGCCTTGGAAATCTTCGGCGTTAGCGCTGCCCTCTAGCAGCGATGAGATGGTCCATGAAAGGCCCTTTATGGTAACCGAGTCATTTCCTCCAACGGTGACGATACTCTGACGCTCTATAGAGTTATCATATGTGCAGTCGGCTGGATACACGACGACTTTGTCGTTGCCTTGCGAGTCGATGGGCCTTTTGCCTGGTTTCAGCTTCCGGGCGAAGAAATCATTAAAAGTTCTCCAGCCTCCCGGAGGAACGACGGCGTCGTCATAACTGTACCGTGGCGCGTTTTTAAAAGTCTCGAGCGATTTGGGGGTGATGGACTCGGGCGTATCCATGAATTGGCCGACGAGCTGCGAGTACACGACGATCCAGGATGAGAGGCACGTGAGATCTTTTCCTACCTGGTCAGGTCTAATCGGCGTTTGGAGTTCTCCCAGCTTCCCCTGGTCAAAGACAAAGTAAAAGATGCAAAAGATGTTGTAAATGTAGGTGCCGTCCTGCGTCTCGGTCGGGGTCCATTTGAGAAGGGTATTGGCAAACGACAAGAAGGAAGCTTCGTCGGTAATCTTTAGCTGCTGCGTAAGATGGGGAAACTTGCTGCAGGCCGTTTTGACCGCCTTGTCCAGTTCACCTGGGCAGACTGCCTTCAAATAACCCGTGAGCAGGGTAATGATGGGGCTGAATCTCTCTGTATTGGCAGAGGGAGGTGCAATGTTGGTGGTGAGATGAGACGACATTTTGAAAGGGCTTGGTTGGAAGTATCAGACTTGACGAAAGCGAAATATTTTCAGTGATAGATATCGGTACAGTGTTTTGAGCCATGTTTTCAATGTTACTGACATGAGATATATATACTTGTCGGACCCTTGTGTCTCACCTCGGTAGACTCACTGGGTTGTCATGACTTGCAAGTGAGTGCGGCAGCAGATCTGCGGGCACGTGTCATGCAGCAAACGACTTCAGCAACTGCCAAAGAGGTCGACCGAATGCAATAGCATCAAGACATGACAGCGCACAAATGCAATCGCTATTGTTTGTGGCTATTCCATACAAAAGTTCTCTGCATAACCTCCTCCAAAGGGACAATGTGCTGCATTTCTCCACTGCGTTTTTCTGCGTCAACGTCTCGGCAAAAGAGTGTTTATGCATGTCTTGGACTCTGCATAGTCTCGGCTCAGCCGGGGCAAGCCGTCAAACTCTTTGTCATGCATTAACTATCATATGCGCGCAGAAACAAGGTCGGCTTGCTTATCGGGCAAAAGGAATAGTCTGCCGAGACTGTTGTTCAACTTGGCATCGGCGGGGTATATCCTGACGGCAAGCCACCATGGTTCAAGAAGGGTAGAAGCTCTCAACCCTTCCTCCTCCTTTTTGTGCTCATCATTTCTCTGATAGCTTTTCCATCAAATCTGCGCATTTCTCGGCCTGCGACAATTGCCGGCTCCTGCAGTAAAAAAAAAGTTCAGCCAGCCATGATCTGAGACGACTTGACTATCTAGTGGCCGATCCAACCATAGACCAATCATATTCACGTACAGCTCGCAACAACTGTGGACATTCATGCCCACCAAGTTGCTTTATATCATTTCTTCAGTTACTCCAACCTTGTGGCTGTCCGGGCCAAAGGCATCTGCGCCGCGCTCCGCGTTATACATGAATACGTCGGGATCATAGCCTGGCTAGCCACACTTTTACTACCATGTATTAGCCGGCTTTCCTCTTTCGAGGCACTAATAAACCCTTGTAACACTCCACTTGCCCGTCTAGGCATCTCAACTAACATCTTTCAAACTAAAATACCCCGTCAACTAGCTTGTGGATCGGCCGTCGCCGTTGCAAGTGCGGTGGATCCGAACCCTGAACCCTGAAACCGATGTGGGAATCGGCACGTCAGCTAATAACTGTTGCGAAAGTTTGAGGTTACATTTCAGCCTGATTGATGGACAAGTGGCTGTTTTCGGGCATGCTATTGCTGGTGGCCTAGCAGCTTTCCGCTTGTCAATTCGATCCTTTTTCCTTGTTGCCTCTTTACTCCGCCATTTTTATCGGCAGACCAAGACGTTGTTGGGTGGAAAGATGGCAAATAGTTGAGGATGACGTTGCGAATATCCCGCCGTGCCAGCCAATCCCCCGACCTCGCTAAGCTCTGCTACCATCTCTGCTCTGATCAGCTGAGTGCCAGATACCTTTGCAGGAACTGTTTACCTACATTGCCCAGTAGCACTCGGCCTATCATGTGCTTTCATTACTAGCACCTCCCACTACCCCGCTTCAGCCTAAAATGAAACTATCCGTGACCAACATCGGCTAGGCGGGCAGGCGTGCCACACTGGCATGGTCACCGGCCGGCGCGCCACACTCCTCAATCGGCATACCCCGCAGCCGATCGGCGTCGGGCTCTTGCGAGTTGCTGCGATTCTATATAGAGACGCGCCGGAGAGTTAAGGCATATATGCATATTGCCCGTAGAGCCAGGAGATTGCTTTTCTTTATTTTACTTGGTCTTGATCGGCGTACAGATGGCACATGAGTGAGGAACGCTGTCCGTGCTGTAGATACCTTCTTCCCCAGACCTGCCAGTGCAACGTGCTTCAGTCTTGCCTCAGACGAGTGCCTACGTCCCTGTATTCGTAGTAGAACGCGTAATATCTTGGTTGAAAAGCTGAAACAGCGGCCAGAGAAGCCGTGCCACAGCCCCTACCCGACTACAAGGCAGCCTGGACACATGCGTCGGACTTGCTCCTACCTAAAATGACGGCCGCCTGTTATCCGAGGCTTGAACGCGCGGCAACGCATTGCCATCTGGCGGCCCAACTGTCACTATTATTGTCTCGAGGTCACCATTTCAACCTAATCTCGCATGCTCATCAACCCGCACGCTTGCAAATCTGTCGCAGCGTTCGAGGCGTTGACAAAGTCTTTGGCATTACTCGGCCACAGCAGAAAATTTCACATCAATCAACTATCTGAATTCTTTCTCTTGCCACTTTTGCTGCCATGAGACTCCTCAATACAAAATCGTACGAGCTGTACGAGCATCACGAGCACTCTAGCTACCAGGCACCGCTCCCTCCCTATGCTGTGCTGTCGCATACCTGGCTCGAGAGCGACTCCAAGGGTGTCAAGGAAGTCATATACCAGGATATGAAAAATTCCTTCTTGTCGCTCAAGCACGGAACGCTCAAGCCGGATGGCTGGTCAAAGCTAACGAGCTTCTGTGACCGCGCGAGAGAAGACGGCTGGGAGTGGGCGTGGATGGACACTTGCTGCATCGACAAGACGAGTACTGGCGATACGCAAGAGGCTATCAACGCCATGTTTCGATGGTACGGGGATGCTGCCGTCTGCTACGCCCACCTTGCAGATGTATGCCTGGGTGCATCTGCCGATCCCACCGGTTCCAGTCCCGAGTATGACCGAAACGACCTGGGAAGTCGTCTTGCGAGATCCAGATGGTTTACAAGAGGCTGGACGCTACAAGAACTTGTTGCTCCGCATCATCTGAGATTTGTTGATTGCGACTGGAAACACATTGGCACACGTGAGAACTGGGCACGGGAGATTGAATGGACCTGTGATATTGGGACTGGTCAGCTGGTAAACTTTGAGCCAGAGAATACACGTTCCAGCTCACTTGCAATGAGACTGTCTTGGGCATCCAGACGCGAAACAACTGTCGAAGAGGATGAGACGTATTGCTTACTAGGCATCTTTGGTATAAGTATGCCTTTGGTGTATGGCGAAGGAAGGACATTGGCATTTACCAGATTTCAACACGAGTTGATACGAAATTACGACGATGATTCGATATTTGCCTGGGCCGGAGGAACTTATATTTGTAATCCCCTCGGCAGTAAGTTGCTTACATGATTGAGACGGCGAGACAAGGTTCAAAATGGTATACTAAACTCTGACTGTATAGACGACCGCCACGGAACATATAGCCCGGTTCTAGCGCCATCCATTCGCTGCTTTCAACATGCTTCCAATTTTCAAAGTGCATCGAATTCCTTCTACATGACCAACAGAGGACTACGCATTACAGGTCAATTGGGGAAAATTGAACCCTTTCGTGGCGCTGAAAGAGCCGACTCGCCCAAGAATATATATTTCCTGCTTTTGAACTCGAGAGACGTTGATGATGAACCGCCGTACAAACACCGAATTGGCATAGCTCTGAGGCGGAACGGCGATGGTGACTACCAGAGAATCGTCAAGAACATCATCTACACTCCTATGGGAAACGAGGCTACTATTCACGAACGCCTCACGATAAGTAAATCCTTTACGTTGTCAGAGTTGGACACATTGCCTGATGGTTTCTTTTGGTTGGACCCATCCAAAACCTTTTTGCAACCACCCTGCAAAGAAACCATTACTATCCGAAACGGCCATGTGCAGGACACACAGTCTTGGGGTAATATCCGTTCTATACTTCGATTCGAGTACCCCGAGTCGTGTATCGAAATTCTCGGCATTTTTGAAGTATTGCTCGGGCACGAGCCTGCGCGCGAAAGGGACCGCTTGTGGCCTCTCCCACAACAAGCCTCTGCAGCTTCTTCTCTTCTTTCACAGTATGTAATCCGCCTCGGCATGCTGCATACGCACCATATAGAGCTTCAGGTTAAAGCTGTGCGACAAAAGTTTGTCGTCAGTGTCCGCTTAACGACACACGGTACCGCCATGGCATCCATCCGAAAGTGGGAAGATGTCTTGTCGGAGCATGCAGCAGCAGACCAGCCAAACATTGACCCAGCCTTGAGCGAACAGGTCATTCTTGGTGGCAACATCCGCATCCAGCTGCTCCCACGGAGATCACAGAGCCGAGGCAAACCTTTGAATTACACACTTGAGATGTCGATTATCATGGACAGTGTTGCCGAAGGCAGTTCTTGCATATCGCCTAACTTGATTCAGCGAACAAGCGTGGAGCGTGGAGATGGGACTCGCGGTGAAGAACTTCTTCTTCTACGTGGGACTTCAGGGGAGCCGGCCAGAGCCGTGCCTTTTGTTGCGGAGGATTAAAGAGATGTAGGCCAAGAAGCCGTGCCTGTGTTACGGACTGGCCCAAGGCTCCTGCCAACAGGTGTCATAAATGTTGATAATTTGTTAGGGAGAAGAGAGAGAGGAGCAAGTAAAGGAATAGGAGGGAGTTATGGGACATGGTCTATATATGCAACCCCGTTTAGTTCTCGGTAGGCATGGAAGACCTCAGGCGAAGAATCTAAAGTGTGGCGGATCAAAGAGAGCGAGAGCAACGGAATCACGCGGCAGGGCACGAGCTAAAGCAAAAGGCCTGATGAATGTGTGTATGAAGGAGAGAGAAAGAGAAGAATAGGCTATCTAGAAAGTGTGGCGGCTCATGAGGGTCCTGGCTGAGTCAGCGAGCCGAGGCGTGCCTGCCAACATAAGGTGTGATGAGCGTATTTTGTATTCCTGCCAGGTAACCTTTCTCTCTAGCAAGAATAGAACCTGTCCAATGAAATACATCATGTCTATTTTATCCCTTTATCTACGCCGCCATTCCTTGTCAGCACCAGCCTGGCACAGAAAAGGGGAGCGACTCACGTTTCGCAACCCGTTTTCTCATCACAATAAGCACCCGCCCATATGGGTGTCAATAGCCTCAGCGGCAGCGCGCGTCAGGACAAAATTATTCTGCACCCAGATTCGGTCGTTCTTTTCCTCTTCCGTCGTCGCCTGCCCGTCTTCTGCTACCCAAAAAGGCCGCTGTCCCGTTTGACCTGCTGCTGCTTCGGCGGTGACGGACGAGGCAGAGGCAGACCGCCGCAGCTTCCTGAGCCAGGCGTCACGGCGTTCCGACGGCGCTATTATCTGGTCCATCCAGCTCGTCGGCGAGCCGCTGGTGGCCCCCTTGCGGCGCGTCTGTACGACACCAATCATGGGCACGCGCCCGCTAAACTGGCACGCGTACGCCTTCATCGTGACATGCTCGGCGCGTAGCCAGCGCTGCGCCAGTCGGCCATCGCTGTACAGTACGTGGTCGAGCAGCGAGGCGCACAGCACAACGGCGAGCAGGCCAAAGGCATCCCAGCCTTTTTGCGTGGCGACGTACGTCATGCTGCCAAGCTGCAACACGGCGAGGGCATGCAGCAGCAGGGCTGTAGTCTCTGCCGCCGCTGCATTTGTGTCGTCGCCGCCGCCGCGCGAGGTGACTTTGCTAATCATGGACTTGTTGAGGAGCCAGTCCACGACCCCGCGAGAGCCGGTATAGAGGTACCACGTGTTTGCGTTTTCGTGAATCGCGACGAGCATGCAGGCGTCGTTTTGGTCGGGCTCGTTGCTCGTCAGGTAACCCTGGGGCCGCTCGACCTGGATGAGGAGACACGACACACGAAAGATTGTGCTGACGAGGAGTGCCGCGGCGGTGCCGTAAAGGCCCAGAAGAATGACAATGGCAGTTGTGCCTACAAGAGCAAGCAGAACGGCTGCTTCGACGACGGTCTCCCACATGGCGGCCTGGGGGCTCGCTCTAAAGGCGTGAGCTTGCCTCCTTTTCTCGTCAATAGTGCAGTCGATGATATAAAGCGTCTGCGGCCGGCGCACCCCGGGCCCTCTTGCACCATCCTCGACAGCGCTCTTCACCTCGCTGGCAATGACGGCTGCACCACGATTTTTGGATTGCTCTGCTGCCTGGATCTCTTGATCGATATACTTTGGGACCAGCTCTCCCAAGTCTGTCGGTATGGGTATGTCGACCGCTGTCCGCACGGCGTGTCGCGTGAGAATGTCGCTGGCCGCACCGTTGGCGCACGGAAAGACGCTTCCCCAGCCGGCGTCCCGGACCGTGCGGTGCAGCTCGCTCACGGACGACGCCCGGTCCAAGTAGTCGGTGGCGCCTTTGCGTAGTAGGCTGGCGATGTCGCCGAGCACGCCCAGCCGCGGGAATAGGCTTGCGGGGATCGTCCCGGCGAGCGCCATTCGGCCGACGAGCGCCATTCGGCCGACGAGCGGGTGCGAGGTGCCGGCCTGGGCCAGGTATATCGCAAGCGGAATGAGGGCCATCCGCTCAAAGAGCATGCCGAGAGGAGACGAGGCGATGCGGAGGGCCGGGGGGTCGAGGTGGTTCGTGCCGTAGCTGGCAGGCTTTTCAGAGCTCATGCTTTCGGAGAGGTAGACTAGCGAATGAAGAGGGAAGTTAGGGTTTGTTCAAACAAGACCGCCAGTGATGGAGAAATGGAACTATGAAATGTCAGATTAGGTGCGCATGGCAAGGCAAGTCTGACTATATATTGACAGCAATATCGCTGCCTAGCCGTACGATGCATGCTATCCAGCTATGCATATACATACACGTGCCATGCTCTCAGCCGCCTTTGCTCTAAATCAGTCCATCGCTGCCTAGCTGTACTACATATTCTGTCTATTTATATATATACATGCCACGTCCTTGGCCACATCCGCTCTATATCAGTACATCGCTGCCTAGCCGTACTATATATGCCATCTATCTATATATATACACATGCCACGCCCTTGGCCACATCTGCTCCGACTGAGTATGGTGCTGCCACCAGTACTACGTAATCCGCACAGTCAGCCCAGTGCTGTAGCTACCCGCCGGGGGGAACATTGCCGGTCTACTAGTGCGCCATCAGCAACCCTTGAATAGTTACACGAATAACTACGTCTAAGAGAGTACTAAAAGTATAAAAGAATTTAGATATTATACATTACCTGATGGACAAATTCACAAAAGAAAAATAAACATTTAATTTAACTTGGTGAGATAGATTTTTGATGAGTTCTAAAATAGTAGTATGACACTGGTGGTCGTAGATTGGCCATGTATTTCTTCCACCCCTTGCTGGTGTACGCGCCGTGTTTCGTCGTGCAAGAGAAAAACGATTTGGCTTCCTCTCCGGAAACTGGCACAGCTGCGTGCGTTGTATTTGCAATGTACCTACGGATTACTTTGAGCTGATTCACCTCTCTTGATCCATCTTCCGTCAGAGTACAATTGACAAGCAGAAACGCCCCGGCACTGGGACGCTGTTGTTCTGCAAATGCGTCAACGCTCATTGTCTGGTCTTGTGCTATCCCAAGCCATCTTACAAGGTAAAGTTTCTCTGTTATGACAGCATGCAAGCGTTACAGAATAACATTTTTGCGACATTCGTGCAGCAAACCGAAGATGGTCTATCCTTTCAAGGCACACTTGTTCTTTGGTGCTGAACGCCACTATTAGTACAAACTACTACTTATAGACTCATGGACAGGGTCTAAGCGACCGAGCGCTGCGCGGCCTGCGAACTGCGTGTCCAATGAAAGCAATGAGATTTTGGCCGGAGCCGAGGCGATATAAGACGGCCATGCGGCACTGAACATGGCACTGGGAGTTGACGGAACGAAATGTTGGTCGAAAAACGCTTTCAAAAATTCATGGTCTCTCGATTTTACAAGGGCGGCTTTCTTCCACCGCATCGGCCTTGGGCAGTCGCATCCCCACGCGAGACGACATTTCATGCAAATATGCCACAAAAAGGTCAGTGTTGCAACCATTTTACGTGACGGAAATCATTCTCAGTCTTTCGGAGCAGACATAATGACGTACACTCTACAGTCAGTGCACCCCGGAGTGTTTTGTCTGCGTTGGGCATGTCTAGGACTAGTGCAGTGTCAGGTTCAAATGCCGGTCATGAGGTGTCAGTGGCGGGCTGAAGAGAGCTCTGATGGATGGCTCGAAATTGAGAGTATATGCATGTTTCTTGACTTAGGATTATCACGGAACTGCCCCAGTGCCGTCTACTAGATCATCAGGGTGCGGAGGTCCTCATTGTGATGCGAGGTCACGACGAATAGATCTGCTGATTGACAGGTTTCAGTGGAGGAGACGCCCCTTGATCCCTCACCAACGCGATTGAGAAATTTCCCAGTCGTTACATTTAGCACGTAGTTGATGAAGCCATCGCCTTTGTGAGCAAATTCATCAGCGTATTGGCACCCAACACAACTTCTGGAGCATCTGCCGTTGAGCCGTCATGGGCGCAGACGGAATCACTGGTGGTAGCTGATTTCCATCCTAGCCCCCCAAGCAAGTCATACCGGCAAGCGGTGCAGCCCAATAAGACAGTGCCGTTGTATCCTGGATCAGATCTGTCTTTGGTGGCCCCGCTGCAAAACTCATGTGTCTGATTAGCCACATGCAGTAACATCTTATTGCCATTTGAAAGAAAACTCTGATTCTCAAAAAGCGGCTGGAAAAACATGTCTCGGCGGGAAATGTCTTGAAAGCCGGGCCAGATCCTGACGTGATGGAGGCAAAGGCTGAAAGCTGAAGCAAACACCCCGTGGGAACTGGATCGGTTTGCACCGCAGAAAGGAGATGATAACTTTGGCACTGTCAGTAAAGATATTGCCGCCTCATTGGACGTTTCTGCGCACCATAGAGCATTTCTTGGCGTTGCATTCCTCCTGCATCTCCATGATCGGCTCCACGGCTGGATGCGGACGACTGCTATGGCTGGATGCGGAACACTACCACGTCATGTACAGTCTCTCACGAATCAAATGTTTCACGAATAAAAAGCCTCCATAATTCCTTTTTCTTCTACAACAGCTGGACGTGTCTGTGAATAAGAGATTTGCAACAAACAGATTACAGAGTGACGAGTCATAGATTTGCAACATACAGAGTGACGAGTCGATTACTGATTGATCTTCTCGTTAATACATCTCCAAGCGTTAGACAATTCATATATATAATGTAGTAGTAACGTCACTCAGAACCTTCCAGTGCAATCAACCGGCTGTCGTCTCATCTGCTACTCACTTCCCTTGGGGATCAACCGACACCATGAGATTCACCGTTGTGGCTCTCGCCGTGTGCCCATTCTATGCAGTCGCAGCACCTCAAGCTACGGGAGATGCCGCTGCTGCCCCTAGACCCTCCGAGGTGACGGTTCAAGTACCAGGCGGCAGCATTATTGGAAAAGTCACCGGCGTTGAGAGCTTCAATGGCATCCCCTATGCAGAACCTCCGGTCAATGCCTCTCGTCTACGACCGCCGAAAAGATTCACCGGCGAGCTAGGTGTTTTCAACGCCACGCAGCCAGCGCCCGGCTGTCCTCAGATGCCGCCCAACACCACCGACGTTCTGCTGCCGCCGCTTCTGGGCCAGGCAGCGACGCCAGAAGTGTGGCCAGAAGACCAGATCAAAGGCCGGGAAGACTGTCTCACCGTCAACGTGCAACGACCCACAGGAACCAGCGCGAATGACAAACTGCCTGTGCTGTTTTACATCTTTGGAGGCGGCTTCATGTTTGGCGCCACCAATGCCAACGACGCTGAAAACTTTATCAAATTTGCCGGATGGCAGAACCAAAGGTTCATCTTTGTCGGCGTCAACTACCGCGTGGGAGGCTTTGGCTTCCTGGGCGGCGACGAGGTACTAAAAGACAACAGCACGAACCTTGGGCTTCGAGACCAGCGCATGGGTCTCGAGTGGGTGGCCGACAATATCGCCTACTTTGGCGGCGATCCAGATCGAGTGACCATCTGGGGCCAGTCTGCCGGTTCCATCTCCGTCTTTGACCAGATGGCGCTGTATGGGGGCAACGCAAACTACAGCGGGAAGCCGCTCTTCCGCGGCGCCATCATGAACTCGGGCAGTGTGATTCCCACGGAGCGCGTCAATTCGACGCGGGCGCAGGCCATCTTTGACGCCGTCGTCGACGCGGCCAACTGCACGTATTCGACCACGACCAGGCTAGACTGTCTGCGAAAAGCCCCGTTTGAGACGTTTTATCGTGCAGCAAACTCGGTTCCACGAATTCTCGACAACTCATCGCTTGCTCTCTCGTACTTGCCGCGACCGGATGGCGAGCTGCTGATCGACAGCCCGACGGTTCTTGTCAAAACAGGCAAATACTATGCGGTTCCCGCCATTCTGACCGACCAGGAGGACGAGGGGACACTTTTTGCGTTTGCGCAGAGGGAAGTCACCAGTACCGATAAGCTTATAGACTATCTCTTGGAGACATTCTTCAGCAGGGCAACGCGGGAGCAGGCTGCTGGTCTTGTGGCGACTTACCCTGAAGCATCGGCCGATGGTAGTCCGTTTCGGACACAGGACCGCAACGAGTGGTATCAAAATACATATGGGACCGGCAACGGGTTTAAAAGGATGGCGGCTATTCTGGGCGATTTCGTCTTTACCCTGGCCCGCCGCCTCGCGCTCGACGGCATGGCGGCATCGCATCCGGATGTGCCTCTCTGGTCATCCATTAGCTCCATCGCCCACGGCGTGGCGCCGTACTGGGGCACGCCGCACGGAGCGGACTTGAACATGCTGTTTAAAGGTATCGGGGTACCTGCGATTTCCACCAGAACATACTATCTGAATTTCTTGTACAATCGTGACCCCAACGTTGGCAACGCGTGGTACGCCGTCTGGCCAAAGTGGACGGCGGAGAGCAAGGATCTGGTGTGGACTACGCTGTCGGGAAATTGGGGGATCAAGGACGATTTCAGGGATGACAGTTATGCGTTCCTAAAGAACAATACGAAAGCGCTCTATTTTTGAACAAGTTTTTTGATTTACTTGTTTATATATAATTATCACGGCGCAAGGCAAAGTGGGTGGCAGACGTGGGTAAAGTCGTTGTAAACTTAATCTAATCGCTTGTCTTTATTAATATTTTATTGACTTCGTCGAGAAGATGGTGCATTAAAAAGGGAAAAGGTTAGGCCGGAAGTCGGGTTAAGCATGCTCCATCTCAGTTGCGACGGCCCGAAGATTATGTGCTCGCAGATTGTGACCAAAAACGGCAATAAAATAGTCAGATCGTTGGTATATAACTTGTTTCCTCCTCGAAGGATTGTAAACCAAAAACCTCAGGCCGCCATTTTGCTTTTTTTTGTCTTTTGAGTTGTCGATTAAAGGGCAACCAAGGCAGGTAGTCACGTAGACGATAGAGTCGAGGACAGTGGGCATGACCCTGTTCAAAACGCTTCATTTCGTCGGTTTTAATCAGCCCGGGGATCGATGGAGCATTTTCAACGATTCAACTTGTTCGATTCATTAAATGCTGTTCCGTCTTATCCTTTATTCTTATCGCAAGTCGGTCGGTATAGGCTAATTGCGGAGGACCTGAGAACCTCGTTTTAGCGCCCGTACTCGACTCCACCACCTTTGTCCGATCGCCGGCGACACAACAGTCAGAAATTCAAGTCATACATGCACCCTTATCTCTGCCAACCACAGCATCTCTATTAGCCCATAGAGCTCTATTTTCTCCGCCTCACACCCCGCGCTTCTTTTCTTGCACCTGTGCAGCTCGGCATTCATCAATTGGTGCTAACGCAGCTCGTCACCACCACCTCATCCTCCTCCTACTCCTCCTACTACTCCTCCTCCTTCCGCCTCCTCCTTCCGCCTCCTCCTTCCGCCTCACTCAAACGGCTAAGCAACTATGAGCGCCTCCTCCCCTGCTCTCCGCAGCGTCGCCGGCGGTGCCGCACGCCACCTACAGCAATGCTCCTACTCATCAACAGCGGCCGCGGCCGCCGCCGCGGCTGCTCCCAGGCATCTCATGTCCATTGCCGACCTCGCGCCGGCCGAGTTTGCGAACCTCGTCAGACTCGGCGCGGCGCGCAAGACGCAGGTCAAGTCGGGCGCGGTGCCGGCGACGCTCCGCGACGGGCTGGCGGGCCAGACGGTCGCCATGCTGTTTAGCAAGCGCAGCACCCGCACGCGCGTGTCGACAGAGGCGGCCGTCACGATGCTGGGCGGGCATCCCATGTTTCTGGGCAAGGATGACATTCAGCTAGGTGTAAGTTTGGCCCCTCTCTTGCCGCTTCAGAAGCGAGAAAGCTCGCTTGCTAACAGTGTGTGTGTTATTTATCTGGGCTAGGTGAATGAGTCGCTGTACGACACGTCAAAGGTCATTTCGTCCATGACCTCGTGCATGGTCGCTCGTGTCGGCCCGCATTCCGACGTCGCCGGACTGGCCAAGGACTCGAGCGTGCCCGTCATCAACGCCTTGTCAGATGACTTTCACCCCTTGCAAACGATTGCCGACTTCCTGACAATGCACGAGACGTTTGCCTCGTCGAGCGCCACGTCTGGCGGCAGTCTCGGCCTCGAGGGCCTCAAGGTTGCCTGGGTCGGCGACTCCAACAATGTGCTCTTTGACCTGGCCATTGGCTGCGTCAAGATGGGCGTCGACATTGCCGTCGCCTCGCCCAAGGGCTACAGCATCCCAGACACCATGCGGGCCCTCATCAACGCCGCCGCGCAGGGCGTCGCCTCGCCGGGCAAGCTGACGGAGACGACGGTGCCGGAGGAGGCCATCAGGGACGCCGACGTGCTGGTGACGGATACCTGGATCTCCATGGGCCAGGAGAGCGAAAAGCAGAAGCGCCTGGATGCATTTGCCGGCTACCAGATTACGAATGACTTGGCTAAGCGCGGTGGCGCCAAGGAGGGCTGGAAGTTTATGCACTGTCTGCCACGACACCCAGAAGAGGTTGCGGACGAGGTGTTTTACAGCCCGAGGTCTTTGGTCTTCCCCGAAGCCGAGAATCGACTGTGGGCTGCCATCGGTAAGTGCTCAATTACATTCACATAGATGATCTTTATCGTATTAACCATCCGTTTTAGCCGCGCTAGAAGGCTTTGTTGTCAACAAGGGCAAGTTTTAGTGTGATTCATGTAATTTAGGTTCATAGCGGAGTAGGAAAAAAAAAAATTCAACATGTCAGAATTTGCATTTTAAACAAGATCTAAATAGAGACCAAGTAGTGGTAATAAAAAAACCATCAAATCCAACCGATTACGCCATGATCCACTTGGCTGTGCATGCCACTTTATGCATCTCCCGTAGTATCTTATTTAACCAGGGGGGAGCTGGCTGGCGTCGACAATCTCATCAGCATCGAGGGTGAGTTGCTCCTCGTTGGGGCCCTTGAGAGGGGATCGGGGTAGGGCCATGAGACCGGTGCGAGCAGACTCGAGAATGCCGAAAGGAGCGACGAGCTTGAGGAAGGAGTCGATTCTGGAGGGCTTGGCAGAGCTAAAAACAAATGTGAGCGAGAAAATTCTCGATTGATTGAAACTACGTCATAACTTACACCTCAACAATGCAGCTCACGGTGCTAATATCGAGCACCTTGCCGCCAAACTGGTGCGTAAAGTAGGTGATAGTTTTGAGATGCTCGTGCTTGTGGCGGAGCGCCTCGGAGGCGGCCAGCTTGCTGGGGTGAAAGTCGCGGGCGGCGCTCTCCTCGAGGGTCTGCTGGTTCTCATGGTTGAGCTCCGGGTCGGCGGCGGCGGCCTGGACGTCGCCGGTGGTGATTTCGCGGTGGTGGGCGAGCAGCTCCTCAAAGTACTCGGGGCCGAGGATGTTAATCTTGGCGAGAAGCAGCTCGCGCTGGACGAGGGCGGCGCTGGAGTAGTCGAGGACGGCCCAGACGGGCACGAGGTCCTCGAGCTGGCGGCGGGCCTGCTCGACGACGCCGTCCTGGCCAGTGAGGACAATGGTCATGCGGGAGAGGTCCTCGACCTCGGTGTTGCAGACGACGAGCGAGTCAATGTTGAAGCCGCGGGCGGCAAGGATGCCAGACAGACGAGAGAGCACGCCGGGCTCGTTCTGGACGAGACAGTTGAGGATGTGGCGCTTGGGAGGCGCCATGCTAGGTGTGGGCGTTTCGTAGAGGATGTTGGAGACGGCGGCCTGGGCGGACCACGAGGGCGGCGTCTCGGTCAGAGGCAGAGGCGCTGAGCGTCGCCGCAGCGCCTTGTAGGCAATGGCAGAGGTCGAGCTGCTCGAGGAGTTGAAGCGGACGGCGCGGGCAGCTGGGAGGGCGATGGTGGTGCGCGCCGAGGCGGCCCATCGGAGCGGCGCTCCAAAGGATCGCATGGCAGCCATTGGTCCTTTCTTTTGCTTCCCTGGCAGTCGGGAGGATGGGAGAAGAGAAGGGAAGGAATGACGCGGGGATGCGAGAGCAAAGGGGTGATGTTGGCTCTGTAATTAGTGATGGACCAGGAAGAGGACGGATCCTGAGTCAAGGCGGGTTCTGCTGTAACTACTGGTAGTGAAAAAGGCTGCTGCAGCGGAGAGCTATCGGAGGGCTGGCTAGTGGAGCAGCTATCGGCTGGGGGAGCTCACACAACTGGCCAAGGCGCCGTAACTACAGATGTACCCCACGCTGAACAGGTGTAAGAGATTGACAAAGGCTAAGTTTGTGTGTAGAATCACGCGGGACTGGTAGCTTTTGGCCTACGGACTATATGTTTTCGGCATGACGAACAGGTGGACTTGCCTCACATGCTTTCGCCGGATTATAATGGCAAAGCGATATCATAATACATGTTACGTCCGTAGCACATTGCTCCGACACCGCAGACCAGGGTCCAAGTCGGTCCGGGGCAGAGCAACGGGCCTGCCTGCGAGACCCCCACACAAAGCAAAGAAACAAGCCCCGGAACCAGAGCTTTTTCCGGCTCCGTCGCGAGACACAAGCAACCAACCATTTGCCATCCCAACTGATAAAAAAGTCGATCCGTTAACGTTTTGCTTCAACTTCCCGCCACAGCTGGAATTTTCCAGCCTATTTTTGCGCTACGTTCTTTGCTACGACTTCAAATCATCTTCATCGCTGCGTTTTGACCTCGGCAAAACCCTACCGCGCTCCTTGATCATTTCGTGCTTGATCCTCCACCCGACTGTCTGAGAATCAGCACCAACCACGTTACCACCATGGCCGACGCAGAGCCGCGCAAGCGTTCACGCTTCGATCAAAAGGAGCCCGAGCCCAAGAGAGCCTCGCGATTCGACCGCCGCTCGCGCTCTCCGTCGACTCGAAACTCGGAGACCAGGGAGCGTAGTCCGCTCCCGAGTACCAGCGAACCCACAGTCGACCCGGCTGCCGCTGCGGGTATGTCGCAATAGCTCCATGTTTGCTACCGGCTCACAGGCTGGTAGGACCGCAAATTGACTCATGCTAACGTGTGTTTCCATAGCTGCCGCGGCCGCCAAGATTAATGCGCAGCTCCAGGCTCGCAAGGGCATTCAGCACGTCGACGTCCCGCCCATCCTAGGCGCCACCAGCAATGGCACGCCCGAAGCCAGCTCAGCTGCCCCAGAGGCGAGCAAAGGCGCGCCTGGCGCTCCGGGCGAGATGTATGTCTCGGACGGCGACTACATTCAGGACATAGAGGTCAACGATTTGCGAAACCGATATATGCTCATGAAAGCGCAGACGCAGCAAGCGGTAGGTCAATGGCAGTGCGTACTGGTACAAACATCCTGCTAACTCGTTATTTAGATTCAAAAAGATACTGGAGCTGGTAATGAATCCCAGCAGCCTAGTCTTGTGTTCTTAGCCACTAACATCCTTAGATCTCACTGTTCGAGGGAAATACTACCCCAACAAGAGCATGGCTACTGCTGCCGTAAGTATTCGAGGCGAATGCACACTCTTCAAAGCTAACCTCACAGGAACCTCCTTTATATCTCCACATTACCGCCAGAACAAAAGAGGTGCTGGAAGCTGCCGTCGCCAAAGTCAACGAGTTGATTGAGCAGGAGCTTCCTCAGCTTGTCGACGAGCGCCGATTCAAGCGCCGCGAGAGAGAACAGCCGGAGAATGACGATACTAGCCGGGTAAGATCTTTGGTATTGCCATGTTGTCAATTTTACTAATGAGCCGCAGCGTAACAAATGGCCAGAAGAGAGCATTCCCGTAGGTCTGGAGCCTGTTCCCGGCTTCAACCTGCGGGCCCAGATTGTCGGTGCAGGCGGCTCTTATGTTAAGCACATTCAGCAAGAAACGGGATGCCGTGTCCAGATCAAAGGTCGCGGTTCAGGATACATTGAACGAGACACTAACCAAGAAAGTGACGAGGAAATGTTCCTTCACGTCGCGTGCGTCGCCATTACCCCATCTTTTTTGACAAGTCATTGCTAACCAGTTTCCTCTCGCAGCGGTCCCGATCCGGCCATGGTAGAAAAGGCTAGGGACCTATGCAAAGACTTGATTGAAAACGTCCGCGAGCAGTACGAAGAGTTCAGAAGCCGTCCGCCGCGCCAACATGGCGATCGTGGGGGCTACGGTGACCGTGGCGACCGTGGCTACGGCGGTGACCGTCGCGGCGGCTATAATGACCGTGGCGGTGATCATTACAGTGGCCGAGGCGGCGGCGGCGGCGACTCGTACTCTGGCTACGGCAGGCAAAGCTCGGACAGCGGCTCTAGAACTGCCGCTGCTGCTACGGACGCCTCTGCCAACGCGGACTACAACGCGCAATATGCTCAATACTACGCTCAGGCGGCTGCTAACGGCCAGGATCCCTACGCCGCTTATGGCGGCTACGCCAAGTAAGACTAGCTAACCCCCTTTCCACTGAGTTTAGTCAGAGTTTGCTAACATCACGTAGCTACGTCGCCATGTACCAGCAGTACTACGCTCAGTATCAGCAAGGACAAGCTGGTGCTGCACAGTCGCCAGCCCCCGGGGCGTCGGCATCACCGCAACCTCCTCCTCCGAGTGACTCGGCGCCTCCTCCCCCTCCTCCTTCCAGCGCCGCCCCTCCGCCACCGCCCTCTGGATCACCTCCCGGCGCTCCGGGTGGCTACAGCGCTGTCCGTATATCCCCGTAGCAATTTTGCTTTCGCTCGAAGCCTTGACTGACAGACAGCAGGTCCCTCCTCCGCCCGGTCTGTAAAGGAGACAGCTTCGAAAAGGCTGCTGCTTCCTGGGTTATGTAAAAATGATTTTTTTTTTCGATACCTTTTGTTTTTTGCTCACTGACTATGCGGTGTTGCCTGCCATTCATTGACTTCTAGGGTCAGAAAGCTTTTACCACCTGTCGGTGCTGCGTCGTAGGACAAGGGAAGAATGGAATGCAGACGAAGAAGAAGAAGGCGCCCGCCCTCGCGAGGAGCCACGAGCTCCTGGTACTAAGTATTGAAGAAAGAAGCAAATTGTGGCAAGGTCAAACTAATATCAATTATGCACAGTGCGCTGCAGATTATCTATCATTGGCTCTTTTTCTTGGTTTTTCTTCTTTTTTTTTTATTTTTATTTTTGAAATGCTGAATTTTGACAGGCTTCACAGAGCTCGAGCAATCGATTGGCGATGCTGCGACCCGTGTTTGCTAATGTTGGCAGATTCTCGATGCTAGAACTGGCGCACTACATATCGTCGGCCGCCTGATGGTTCTTTTTGGTGAAATGTGTGACTTGCTGACAGTTTCTAGCTTGACCAAATTTTTGTAAAAGATGTAGCCACTGCGGTATATTTTCCAAAATAACCCCAATACAAGCAGACTTGCTCCTTGTCTCTTGTTTGACCGATGCTGTCCCTGCTTGAGCCGCACGAAGCTGCTTCTCACAGAGGACAGATGGACTGGGTCAATGGCTCTCCCCTAGCTGGGAGGAGAACTCGTATTTTCAACATTCGCGCGGCGGCGAAGGTTAAGGTAAGACAATGGTGATTGAAGTTGCTCAAACCATGTGTGGTGCGTCATTGGAGAACGAATTTGCAACACGCCCAAAGTTGGAAGCTTTTGGCAGTGGTGCCATCTTCAAGGTGTCATCGGCGAGTAATAATAATTAACAGTTGAAAGCTCAAAGCAGGCTCAACAACGATAGCGTTGCCATGTCCTCAACACCATCTCAAACTATAACTACAAGCAGCCAGCAATAGGAAAAAAAAGAATTGACATACTCGCGTATTATTCACATATGTTCACAGATATTCACAAAGTGACATGACAAAAACCCCGGTGGTTGATGTTCTCTTGAATGAGTGAGTCCCTTGTTGCGTCACCTCCACCGGCCGGCCCACTTGGGACAGCGAAGCTCCAACATCGACAGCAGCAACCCAAAACAGCTTCCCTTTCGACAGCCACAGAATCCGCAGCTTCACAAGTACCGCGCGGAGGCGCAAACAATAACCAAGTCATGAGCCACCAAAGATATCTCTCCCACGATCCCATCAAGGAACCCCATTCCGTCTCCGTCAAAGTCCTTCGGTTTGTTTGTACCCTCAATGCCTGGCACCCCCACCTCAAGAGCTCCCGTCTTGAACCCAGCTCCATCCCTCTGATACTGACTGACCCTCTCTCTCGTCTACACAGCCTATCATGCCCGTCTCTCGTACCGCAGTACCCGATCGAGCCGCCCTTTAAGCCCTCAACTACCACCACCACCGCCATCGCCGCCGCCGCCGACGCCTCACCTCTGCCCGCATCGCTCGCCTACCACCCCAGCAGCACCAACCCGTCGCCGTTTCTCCTCAGCCCGATCCTCAACCTACCCGTGTCGTTTGGCTCCGCCTACGTCGGGGAGACGTTTAGCTGCACCCTCTGCGCCAACAATGACCTCGACGACAGTAGTAGCACCGCGACGACGAAGCGCCAGATTCGCGACGTCCGCGTCGAGGCCGAGATGAAGACGCCCGGGCAGACCAAGGCCCAGAGTCTCGAGCTCGGGCCGGCTCCGTCGTCTCAGGAATCCGCTGCTGTTGGCGCCGCCGCTGCTGCTGCGACGGATCTGGCACCGGGCGGCACCCTGCAGAAAATCGTCTCGTTTGATCTCAAGGAAGAGGGCAACCACGTGCTCGCCGTGACGGTGAGCTACTACGAGGCGGCCGAGACGAGCGGCCGCACGCGCACCTTTCGCAAGCTATACCAGTTCATCTGCAAGCCCTCGCTGATTGTGCGCACAAAGGTTGGCGTTTTGAAAGCGCCCGCCCCCAAGAAGAAGAAGCAGCAGCAGCAGCAGCAGCAGCCGCCGCTTCGGCGGTGGGTGCTAGAAGCGCAGCTGGAAAACTGCAGCGACGACACGATGCAGCTCGACAGGGTCGTCATGGAGCTGGAGCCGGGGTTGACATGCCGCGACTGCAACTGGACGGCGGGGGCGGGAGCGGGGTCGGGGTCAGGATCGGCGGGTGTGCAGAAGCCGGTGCTGCAGCCCGGCGAGGTCGAGCAGGTGTGCTTTGTGATAGAGACGCGGCGCGGCGGAAACGAGGAGGAAGAGGAGGATGTGGATGTGGTGGCGAGGGCGCGGGCCGCCGGCGGACCGGACGCGCGTGTCGTGTTTGGCGTGCTGGGCATTGGCTGGCGTGGGGAGATGGGTAATCGCGGGTTCCTCTCGACGGGCAAACTGGGCACGCGGGTCGTGCGGTGAGTCGTGCGGTACTGTGAGAAGTGCACGTTTGAACAGACATGATACATTTGAGCATGAACGGGCGAGCAAAGATGTTACTCCTGTTGAGTTTTTAATGATATTCATCCTTCTTCCCGCGTTGGGTGAAGAAAAGGGTCAATCCGCATCACAACCGACCTCGTCCGTGGCAAGTGCCGTATTAGTTGTGGCCTCTCTCTCTCATCCACGCTGCCTTCTCGTCAATTGAGCACCAAGCAAAGAGCATTCATCTTGCTCTCTGAAACTGAATATTCAGTGTGTCTTATGCCTTCACAAGAGTCGAGTCGCGCATTACGACATTGCTAGAGCGGCCGAGCCAAGCCTTTCAACTGTCATCTTACGTTTTGCTCTTGACACCATATGTCGGGCGTGGAAGCGGCGTCTGGGTCATCAAGTTGTTTATTGAGGCTACAACCCAGCTCCAAGATGCCTTGTCGGACAAAAGTATGTCAGAGTGTGCAATACAGGCAAAGTACCCTACAACAGCATGGTATATAGTTGTGGGACAGTAAATCTCGCGCAGTCTCTACTGCCGTTACATAGAAGCCATATTATTGCTGGTCAACTATGTTTTTCCGTGGTCTTGGCGCAATGGTATTGTCCGATTTCAGAATAGATAGTGTTTGAGAGACTCGTACACAACATACGTAATCTGTGCAAGGTACATGGTCTTGCGTGGCAACTAAGGACGGCTTGCCGGGGTAGCACAGCCATATCGGCAACAGCTCCGGATCCATGAATACGAACCACGGCTTGGCACGAACCGAAGCCATTGTGGGTGGGACAAGCGCTAGCATGAATAAGTCCGCAGCGCTATAACCATTCCATGGCGAACTCTGGCTCGTGTTGAGTCGTTAGACATCTGTAGACTGCTCTGCTCCTGCGTCCACGGCAAAAACAAGAGGGCACTCGTGGCGGTAAAAAGGGAATCTGGCCAGCGGACAGAACACGAGACTTCCATACGTAACCATGCCATTCCCTCGATGAGCGGCCAAGGGAAACTGATAAATGGGCAGCCAGTGACGCAAGGCGTACGATTGAGTCGGTACGGCGAGACTCGAGTGGTGGACGACCTCAGGCTCAGCACGGGCAGACCTCGACCTGGAAACGACACAAGCCATGAGCTACTCAACTCGAACTTCAATGCGTAGACGGTCAGTGATACTTATCATTCGACAAAAAGAGCGAAATGCTGATTTCCTTGTGGGCGGCTTTGAATGCGTCGGGACTCTGCCGACCCCACCGTTGCACTGACATGCGCCGAACCGTGGGGTCGTTTCAAGTTACGGACGACTCAGCTGAAAGAGCACCAAGTTTCTTTGTTGCAACTGGTTCGTCATCCTAGCCCAGCCCAATCTGGCAGTTTTACTGAGTCGGTGCCCTTGTGCCCAGCTACCAGTAGGAATCATTAGCGAACCTTGGCGGCCCCCATTGGTAAACTGATCGTCGCTCAGGCTGCCAGTGGCCTCGGCTACAACCTCAGTCTTCATGAATGTTGTAGCGCCGAATCGTCACGCCTTGCGACCTATGTCTCAGTGATTCGTTTCGTGGGCACTGCTGCGCGTCACTCCATATGCATGCCATGCATCAGGTAGATAGATGTGGCGCAGTGGATCGGGCATCTGTGGCATTCTTCTCCGATTCACTATCCCCGATTGCACGCAAAGCCAAGGGAGCCAAGAAAGCACTGCATGATGGCAGATAGCCAGATGTTAGGCAAAATAATTAAGCCGCCCGTTGTCGGCTTATTTAAGGAAAATTACTCGCCCAGCGCCTTGTTCCTTATACTTCTTTCCCGCACTCGTCGAGATGGTGTGCGGGTGTCGTATTCCGCTCTTATCGTGGCTTGCAGAGATGACGGTTGAACACTTTGGGGTCATTTGAGCAGCCAGTGGCAGGGGCGAAAGATTAGAGTCTGGTGGAGATACGGGAAGATTGCCACGCGTTTCTGCGGGCGCTGGCATCCAAGTGCTGGGTTAACTAAATGAGAATAGCCAACTATCTTTAAAAAAGGGTCGTGTTTATCGGTAGTTGGCGGCGAGACGCGTTACAGCTAAAAGATCGCCAGGGTCTCCGGGATTGAGCGGTCGGAACAGTGAAGCGCAAGGAAAAGGGATGGCTCAGGTCTTAGATCCATCAAGTATACGTTGTGCATTGCGAGGGGCTAAGGACGAGCTAGGTATCCGTAGACGGCGGCTTAGTGTCTTTGAGCACGACGTGCTGAGCGGAGCAGGAGTGTCTGGTCCTCTTGCGGGAAAACGGGGCAGCCCAAAAGCAAAGACGGCAGAGAAGAAAAGGAAGCAAAAATCGATCGTGTCAAGGCCTTGGTGTGTGGTGGCGCTGCAGGGTTGTATCGGGCAGTTTATGTGAAACAAAGAGCCAGGCCCGCGTGGCCCGCCTGACGCAGGAACAAGCCTGCTGGAATAAGGGGAATTGACTCTACTAGTGGTCCTGGCGTGTTGGGACTTGCTTGGCAACACCGGTGGGCGGCTAGCAGCATGGATTGGAACCCCTGACGGGAGCATGGATAAACGCGAAGCCTATTTCTCGCTGGACGAGACAGTCTTTTGTCTTGGTTGTTGTTTTTGGTGCTTTGCGGCTGAACCTGGGCACAGTCATACCGGTATCGTTATGGCGACATGTAGAATACCATCTGGTTCAGGCCATGATGGAGGCCAAGCTGAGTCGGAGACAAAGCTGTTGGGATGGATCTTGTGGCGTCGGCTTGGTGGTGGGTTGGGCGTCGTCTGCCCCATCCCGCATGACGACTGCCCTGCGCTGATTGACACGTCCCGTGGCTGTTGCAAAGCGTTTATTGATGAGCGGCGTCGATGCCCAAGACCAATATTGTGGCTGCCGCGGTATGTTAGCCAAGCATGCCAGCATGCCTCGATACAAACGGCAGGGCGAGTTATACATATACTCGGAGCGGGAGATGATGAAATCGGAAATGACGTCGACATGGTCTAGCTCACAGCTGACTAGTTCGATGCTCCAGAGGCTCCAAAAAAAAAAAAGGACCCAAGACCATGGCACAGATGGTGAATGATAAAGGGCGGGCGAAATGCCACAGATACATACGGATAGTTGGGATGGTGGTGATTTGGTGAATTGTGATTTAGAAATGGCAGGGCACTGACAATGCAACTCCAAGCTGGGCCGAACCCCACCAACAAGCTTTGGCTCGTTGTGGAGCGAGTGGGCTACCTACCTAGGTGCTAGGGTAGTGCCAACAGTGCCTAGGTAGGTAGGTAGGCACAGTTTATGGTACAGAGTGCTGCCCATCGCTTGCCAATTTGCTTTCTTGCTGCAATTGACGTGGTGCTTGGTGGCGTGCAGTGCACTGTGACTTGCGCAGAATCCGAAATGTATGGTTATTGTTGTTGCCCAGAATGGCTCAACCCGGGTACCTGTCCACCTATACCTTGCCTGAGGGCACCTGCAGCAGATTCCGGCCAGCCAAGCTCTCGGGGGTCATAGGGCCCAACATGCAAAACAACAGGCCTACCTTGTCACTCATCTAGCCATCCATGACGCCTGTGGCTGCCTGTAAAATAACTGAAGACGCTGGCTCTGCAGCATCATCAATACTAGGTAATCCTTCGCCTGCAGGCTGCAGCCTCGAGAACCACTACCTACCGATCCGTACGTAGGTAGGTAGGGGGTAGGTAGGTCTCGGATCGATACCTCCATGGATCATCACCGCTGCTCTACCACCAGCCAAGCATCCACGCAACCACGTCAATGCTGGCCTCAACTAGACCTCGTACTAGCGGCTCTCCGGCCTGTCACCAAAAGGGGTTTCCCAGGATCTGCAGTTAGCTACCTACTTAGGTAGGTACTCAGTAGTACGGATACACAGGTGCTGAATGCTGGCATTGCCGTCCTACGCTAATCCCCGGACCGAAGCTGACTGTGATTAGCTGCAAACACCCGCGTCACTCTTGTCAACCAACCTCTGCTCCTCCGCCTCAATATTTCAAGTTCACTTTTCCTTCCCGTCTCGTCTCTCCTTTATATTTAACCTTTTACTCCCTCTACTCCGGCATCACGCTGGATTCAATCTCTTTCTCATCTTGTCAAACAACTGCTCTAGTTGAGCCACGACGCGCGCCGTCAAGTTTATTAAGCTCGCCTCCACCCACTCCAACAAAACTTGGAAACCTTTAGTTCGCCCCTCCCCCTCGGGCCCCTTCCCCTTGTCCCGCCTCTCAGCCTTTGAGTTGCATCTCATGGCCTGGCCTTGTATGCTCCTACCGCCGCCGAACCATCTCGCTTCTTTCACTTTCGACCGGCACATTCGTATTGCATTGAGAGAACCCTGAGCCGCTCATCATCGCCCTCAGTTTCCCCATCCATCTCATCTCTTCATCAAACCTATCCGCTGGTCGGCCATCAAACCTGCGCTCTTCACCCTCCTTCCGACCTGCCTTCGCGACCATCCTTTCCTCTCCGACCAGCTCATCGTCCAACGTCTTGACCAGCCAATTCACAAAAGCCCATCGAGAGCCGCTCAACGGTCAACCTCCTGTTGGAGAGCTTCAACGCGCGCCGACCGGCCTAACGGCCAACATTTTGTTCTTTCAGCCTTCAGCCCGCACACATTGACATGAAATGGATTCCTCGTCTGCTCCTCTCGCTCACTACTTCTGGATTGCCGGCGTAGAGTCAATATCCTACGACGATGCTCCTCAGACAGTTTTGCCCGTCGACGACACCATTGCCGAGGACGGTGAGCCTGATAATGGCGTAATTGTCAACGGCCAGCATCGCGCCAATGCCGCCCGCCATTCACGCCAAAACTCCGCCAATCGCCTCTCCAAACTCTCCATCGACGCCCATTCCACAATCAGTACAGTCGATGACGATGGAAGCCGCAGCAATCGCAGCAGTGCTACCATTCGCCCCAGCAGCAAACTACCTCCCTCGGCGAATGGCTCCAGTACCGTTGCACCACTCGAGGAAGGCTTGCCGCTGACTGTTCGCATGGGCGACGTTGACTTTGACAGAGCTTTGCTCAAGTTTGCAGCTGAGCGAGAAAACTTTCTCGAGGATCTCTCCTTCACCGCCGGTGCCAGAGTTCAGGCCAGAGCTCCCATGGTCAATCCCCGTGCTGAGCGCATCAAAGCTGATGAGATCCCTAGCGGCCGAATGAGTCCGCTACGCAGCCTCAAAGGCAGCATACGTCGAAAAATTAGCTTCAGAGAAATGAGCAGCACAAAACGACAGGGCAACATCAACAAGAGCAGCAGCATCAATGGAGCTGGTCCGTTTTCTGCTTACCTTGTCCAAACAACATTACTAACGCGTCTATAGCCTCTGTACGCACCGCCAAGCGACTCAGCAATTACAATTCCGTCATTCCTCCGCCCGAGCCGCTCAATACCGACCCCGATATGCACCCGCTCAAGCGTCGCTTCGAACCCGTTCTGTTGGACCGATATCCCCCCAAGACTGCCACCGAAGAGGTTACACGACGAGGCCGATTCCCAGATTATGTGCCCATGTTCGCCTTCCCCAATGATATCCAGATCGTCTCCTCGGATGAACGCCCGCGCTCGACATGGCATGGTTTCACCATGACAGCAGAGGATAGCAGCAAATTATATGGCATTTCCATTATCATCTGGACAGCCTTGTCGGCCGACGTTGCTGATGAGGTCGAGGTGAAATGCGAGCAGTGGCGCCAGAGCCACATGTCGAATGAAGAACGCGAACTCGCCGCGAGCTTGGGTATCAGACTGGCTGGCGAGCGCACACACCTTTCACAGCTTCTAGCGAAGCTGCCAACAATACCCTCTGGTTCTTCCGCTCGCGACAGGCTTGAAGATGAAATCAGCACTGTCGAGGAAAAGATTGCGCTCATGACGGATATGCTGCGTCCACTTCGCCACGGTGCGGCCTCCAAGATTGAGGGGCTGACGGCTGGGGAGAGTGGACTGTGGATTCCTCGCGCCTACGGCGTCTTGGGCAAAGACGCTGCCAACATGTCCTTCTGGAAGGAATGGCTCAAGGCGATTGTCGTTCCCATGACTGATGGCGCTGTTCTCCGAATACCTCCCAGCTCACCCAGGGTCGGCCGTTGGCAGCCACTCGAGCGCTACGTTGTCAACATGTGTACCGAGGCATTCAGTCCTCTCGGGTCCAAAACGCAGGTCGAATTGGGAATCCGAGAACTAAAGCTTTATGCTCGCAAAGAGGCCACCAATGAGATACCTGGTTCCCGGACTATTGATTTATACGCCCTGTTCCGCTGCCTGTCGCTGGAGAACATCGTCGCTCTCTACGAATACGCCATGGCTGAATCTCGCATAATCTTCCTTTCCTCGCACACCAGCATGCTGCATTTGGCTTGCCACGCATTGGTTAACCTGCTGTACCCTCTAAAGTGGGCCAGTATTTTCATCCCTATCCTTCCCGCCAGACTGATTTCAGCTCTCGAAGCTCCTTGCCCCTATATCGTCGGTGTTGAGCGACGATACGACCGCATCGATCTGCCTGACGACTACGTCCTTATTGATCTCGACAAGGATACCATTGACGCAACTTCTCAGCCGCACCGACTACCTCGCCAACAGAGACGAAAGCTCATGTCGCTTCTTCAAGTTGCCGCCCCCCACCGAATTCGCTACGGCGTTGTGGAAGGCCCGCCACCATACGCCGTTGAGTCGTTCCCTTATGATGCCTTTTCGACGGAGAACGGGTCCATTTTTAATGCTAGAGCTGCCGACAGTACCCTAGGGAAATGGGTATCGCAGAACTCGTCGAGTTTTGGTGAGCCCGTGGCCGCCTCTGCGCTGCAACCTCCTGTCTTCAACGCATTCGCAGAGGCAGTCACCGACAATGCCAAATCGGACCGCCCTGGCACCAGCAAGTCGAGCAGGACGAGCCCCGAGTCCTCAGTGTCACCCGAATCTGCCCACTTCCCTCCTATCCCGTCGACACCAATCTCTAGAAGCGATTCTGGTTTCGCGCTGACGGCGACTCTGCGGGAGAAGCGCTCGGGCCACTTTGGCGAGGAAAAGATGCGACGCAGCTCTTCGTTTGGCATGGATAAGTTCCAGCCAATGCATCGACCAACTCATCCTTTCCTCAATGGCCATCAGCAAAATTACAGCATTTCGGGGATATCCATTGATTCGACGGCGACCGGGTACGGGGGCGGTAGTGGCGGCTATGCACCGTCTACTTACGCGCAATCGACTCTGGCGGCATCAACCATTATGCCCAGCATGCAAATTCAGCCTGTTCGCAACACGGAGACGACAGTGTGGGTAGAGGGTCACTGCTTTAACCTGGACCGCAAGGATGCTACTTCGACATGCACTATTTGCGCCGAGAAAGCAGATGCCGAGGGCATGTACCATTGTTCCGCGTGCAAGACAATTTCACATGGTCGCTGCTTGGGCGTCGCTTCGCTTGTCTGTCCTCAGGCCTTTCACTCTGACCGCGTTCGTGCCGCCTTTGTCCGCTGTCAGGCCAGCCTGCTCTATACCTATCGCAAGCATCTCGCCCGCCCGTCGAAACAACAACGCTCCAACGGACAGATTTACGCCTTTGACATGGATGGGTTCATTAAGAGTCTCCCACATGAGCAGCAAGACTATGCCGTCATGATGCGCGATACGCAGCTATTCAACGAGTTTATTCACGAACGAGAGCTCACAGCGCCCACGGAGCCGTCGATCCGACTGTTTGACGAAGTTATCATGGCCAAGAAGGCGCGTGGGCGTCCCGGTCTTTCGTCTGGCCTGTCGACGCTGTCGCGCCTTTCGTCGATTCGAGTATCCCATGGGGCCTCTGCCAACGCCTTTGGTCTCGCTCCGCCGCGTGCCTCCAACAAGCCACCTAGCTATCTCAACGACACATCCGATCACATCTGGCGAACCGCGGCCGTGCCAGTGCCGAAAGGTAACTTTACCGGCGAGTACCGCTCGGTCGTGACGCGAGTGCCTGCCCGCTTGGATCGCACTCTGATGCGCGAGCCGCGTGCCATCCAGGGCGTACCACGTGTGGAACAGCGTGGCTCGCGAGGTCTTGTGCGAAAGCAAGTCGCCAGCATGCTGGGCACCACGCCCCCGCCTTGAATGAGCCGTCACCGCACATACTTGTCGTTGAATACCGTCACACTCAAGCAAAGTTCAACTTGAGGCCTGGCAAGGTAACTAACTAGATCGGTATATTCGCATCATTTGCATTGAACATGAGGGTGCCAGGAACACAAAACGCTACTTGTATATTATTCTATCCAAAAAGGGAGGCTCAAAAATTTTGCTATTCTTTTTCATTTCTTCTAGTGTGTGTTATGTATCTTTTTCTTTCACATTGCTGTATTCTTTTCTTGCCGGCTTTATTCTTCATCTACGGTTTCGCGAGACAAGGAATGTATGTGCCAACGGGCACAAGGACATGGCAACGGGGCAACTTGGAGGAATTGTCAGACCCTGATTAACTTTGGACATGTGGGTGAAAACAGCACCCGTCGGATACAACAAGGAGAATTCACTTCGCTATTTTGGGGAGTTTTTGGTCAAGCCTATACATAGTGGTTCTTGCACCAACTGTTCAAGTATATCAAATGCACCTGTGCAGTTCCTGTGCAGCTCCTATGCATCAAATGATTTGTGCTTCAAAGGCGCTGCGAGTGGGCAGCAGAGTCGACGTGTGTATTTTCAGTGGGCAAGTCTACTAGCACTGGACAGGAAATGGCTGATTGTACCGCATCACAAATCACGAACTAAGAGTACGACACAACGATCATCAGGCAATAGCTTGATTCAATAATTTGATTCGTCAACAAGCTCAATAGCAAAGCTGGTATACGTGAATCTGCCCACAAGGTAGCAACCGCGCGTATCGAATGCACCTACAGGTTGCGTGACGCGTAAAAACAAGGTGCTGGAAGCAAATCAATCTCTAGTCATAACAAGATGAATGCAGCAATATTTGCTTCGAGCGGGTATAATGGTATGTTCTCCTCCACTTCCCCCTCTTTCCGTCCAACTCCTCCATCAAAAAGAGTCATGCTCCCAGCCGACTTCCTTTAGAATTTGCGCGGCCAATTTCTGGTACGACAAATGGCCTTGCTGTAAATGTTTGACATGGTAGTTTTCGACACCACCGACGCCTTTGATCTCCTGCAATCCTGCAATCCCGGAATGGGTGTTTGAGGTGCGATATAGGAAGCCAAGAAGGTAGTCTTGTTCCGTGTATGCGTTGATTAAGCGACCCGAGACGACACTCTTCATCGCCATCCAGACTTTGCTATCTGAAGGTGCGGGAGTACCCATCATGACGACGGAATCAACCAGGCCAAACTGACGACGCTCCGCAAGAACCATGAGGCACATGTATATCGCCCTAGCGGCAAGGCTATAGCCGACAAGAGATACCGAGCGCTCTCCGTGGAACTTGTGGCGGACAATGGCATCAGCAAGAAGGGTTCCGAGTTTTTCGGCGCGAACCATGCCGAGACTCCAAGGATTGTCAATAATCTTGCTGATTTTGAGCAAGGGCTCGGGCCATTTCGAATTCAGTAGGCAGTGGAAGACTGTAGGACCGTAAGGATAAGCCACGTTTTGAAAAGATACAAACCTACTTGAGTCCTTTAGAATCTGTTTTCTGGCCAATTTCCATGCAGTACTGCCAATAACAGTCTCGAGGGCATTGCCGAGGCTTTCAACGGTGGTGAGGTCCCACTGCACCACGTAGACCTCAGTCTGTTGGCTCAAGGAACTCCAGGGAGTAGTAACCGCATCGCCGTTGAGCATGAACCCGCCGAGCGCGATAACAATTCGTAGTCGTCGCTGTCCAGGTAATGGCTGTCTCGGGTCCACATACTTGGCATCTCCAGCTTCCGTCACAGACCAAAACGAAAAATCCTGAATCTCGCGCAGAAAACCTTCCACCATTTTATCAACTGGCTTGGCAGGGTTCATACCAAACAGCGAGCCCATTAGCAGGCCGTTTTCAGACATGATACCCAAAAGAGCCGCGGCAGCCAGTGTTGTCAGGCCACTACCCTCAGAACCAACACCAACACCAACTAAAGCTCTAGCAAGGCCCATGCTGCCCATGTTGGCCCCACCGAGGCTAAACTTCCATCTTTTGGAAAGCTTGTTTTCTTCCTTTTGAGCCGCAGCCTTTTCTGGGCTGACTTCCATGGCAGCGGCTGCAAGTCCTTTGGCGATGCGTATTTCGTCTTGATTGTGAACCTTGATGGGCAGATTTAAGGATGAAGTCAGGTTGACGAGAAGCAGTCGGGCATTAGCATTGTAGTCGTGGAGCGACAGCACAACGAGGAACATGATGTGCAGCAGCAGTTTTCGTCTTTCATAAGGCAGTGGCCACAGATTGTTTGGGATAGCGGGATGGAGTCGACCCAGAAATGGGTCGACGTGGGCGGGTGGTATTTGAGGAAGAGCTGTGATTTCAGGTTAGTTGAGATTGAACGATGTAAGTATTTTCAACAGCGAATTCGTTACCGTTTAACACTGCGGTTGCAGGCGGTGTGGAAGGTGCTCCACGGCCATTGAGTCTTGTGTCACGACCTCCACGGCCTGTACGCGCGCGAGGCGGACCACCTCGATTGCCTCTTCCGCGACCTCGACGGGCGACTTCCCTTTCGGCATTGTCGACAGTCAAGTCTCGGAGACGCTGGATGACTGACGCCTGCCACTTGCGAAAGAATGCAACAGCCTCATTTCTCAGTTCTTGCAACTGCGGAGGAGTCTCGTCGTCGTGATGATGTTGTTGGGGAGAGGGCTTAACCGCCGCAGATCCGATAGGTCTGTTTGCGAAGGATCTTGGAGGTGCGCTATTCTCCTTGTCGCTGCTTTCCTGCTCGCGGAGAGCCAGAGCCAGCCAGTTTCGGTCGGGGCCTTCACCTTCCACAAATGGAATGAGAGGAGAATCAAACAGACTGTTGATGTCTCGAAACATCTTTTCAGTAATGGCCGTGACGAGAAGAATCAGGTTCGATTTTTCGTTGTCGCTGATGATGCCAGTGAGATCAACGGGGCGTCGTGAAGGCGCGCTGCCTCCTCGCCCTCCACGAGCCATTATGTCTTCTGATGTAGATCAAATCATGCGCGACAGCAAATGAAGGGAGGGCACCTTGGCTGAGGTGCCAGGTGAAGGGATTGGTGCCGTCAAATGCAAACAGGGATGAGAAGTCGGGATGTTGTCTGGAAATGCTGTATGCAAATGATGTAAGTGCAGGCTATTAGGGCGTTGATGGAGGCGGACGAGATCTGATGGAGGCGGACAAGACGAGCTAAATAGAAGGACAATTGAACTCGCACCAGGAAATCATCAAAGATGGAACACGATTTGAGCACCTGATGAAGCTGGGTGCGACTGGTGAGCGTTCTGTACGACCAAGTGACGATACACGAGCGTCAATTTATTGGCTGACTGGCTGTTGTAAAGACAAGGCTGTGAATGGAACAAACGCCAAGATGGATGCAGGAAAGAAAAAGAAAGAACGGGACCACTGTATCGACTTGAGCCAAGGCAGAGATGAATTTTCGGCAGACAAGATCAAGTGAAGAGAGAGAAAGAAACGAGAGATCCTGGCCGGCCAGGTGTTGAGGCGCGTTGGGCGAAAACTGCCTGCCACCTGCCACAAGAGTGATTGCCAAGTGTCACGGCAGCTGGCAACACGAGCGGCAGGTTAGGTGCCCAACAATCGAGACGGGAATACCATGGGATGAGACTGGATTCGCTAGAATGAGGGATTGGGTGATATGCGAGATCGTGCAGCAGCAGCAGCCAACGCTGATTCGTTTTTTCCTAGAACGAGGCACGATTCCATCTCTATATGGAATGACGCTCGCAAGCCCTCCATGTGGAAGGGGACAAAGTAAAAGAAATAAAAAAATAAATAAAAGCCTCTGCACATTCACCGGCTGTCCATCTTGTGTGACGCAGCGGAAAGAATAAAGGAAGGATTTGATTAAACGGGTTGTGAACTGGGGTGGCTGCCGTTTGAACGGGAAGGAGAGAGAGCATGTTTTCGGTTCGGCCCTATGCAGCGTAACCGAAAGGAAGCAATCCTGTGGTCTTCGCTAAAGAAAATAAATAGCCAAGAATATCCAGAAGGAATTATAAGAGGGAAAAAAAAACCTCTGCAGGCCAAAAAACGCGGGCAGCCGAAATGAGCTGCTCGTCCGCTGACGGGAGGCTGCACAACGTCATTGGCTATTCGTTCGTTTGCACCCCCCCTCTCCCCCGGCGGCTGCGTACGGGGATTGGTTTGAATCAAAGGAAAGGGAGGGGGCAGACACTGAAAGAAAGCAAAACTCTCTCTATTGGTAAGCTCGTCTTCTCACGACATTCCTTTTCCAGCTCGACAATATCAATGGGGTCGAGGTTGCCTGCCTACCTGCCTGCCTGCCGGCTGCGGCAAAAAGCATGTTTGGCTATGCGTTTGCCAATGGCCAGAGAGCTAGTGCTGCGACGCTACCCTGCCTGTTGCCGTATCAGGTATACGCGCAAAAAAAACGCCATGGCACTATCGTCCTGCCAAAATGTCTCTCCCATGCAGTAGAGTTATAAACAACCTTCCCATCAGAAGAGGGTGTCCGTGTTGGTCATGTGGTCGCCTCTGACGAAAGCCCAGCATGTGCGGTGTCCAAGTTTTTGTCATACCAATCATGAAGAAATTCAGAACGTCGCTGCTGGATCAACAACGAACAATGCTTCGAGATGCGGACATACTTGCGCATACACACCGCTTCGATTCTGGCTGCTACCCCGGAATCTACTAGGCGCGTGCATGCGCCTCGGCTCCGATATACACATGTCCATCAGTCATTGTGAATATCTGCAGCGCCCAAATCCCGCTCACCGTCTTGAAACGACTCCAGAATTCTTCTCCTTCATGGGGCCATCTTTCCAGAGGGGGCCGCCAGCCCTAGCTTTTCCTGTGTAACCCGAGATGGCTGCATTTTTTTTTCCTTTTCACCGGCTGCGACACGTCGGTCTGGCCAAAGAGAAGTGGCGCTCCATCCACCCTCCCCTCTCTTCGGTCAAAGGCGCACCCGGGTAGCGGGCCTTGGAAGTTGTCATTTGCAACTCATTTGCGTTTTACTCTCTCAAACAAGAAAGTATAGGCATACATACAAGGCCGCCCACCTATACGGCCCATAGACTATCGAGACAGCCCTCTTACACGTGGTCGTGTCCACACGCCCTACTCTTTCCAGCTCCTCAAGGATCAGAAGGCAAGAAGAAACAGTGACTCTTTCCCAGGATACCCTCCTTGTGCTGTCATTTCACTCATCCATCTCGTGGTATCGAATATGTGCCGTTGCAACAAACGTCGGGATTGGTAGTCCGCAGATGCTGCACTGGTCGCCCCTCGCTCCGCTCCAATACTCATCAGCACCCAGCTCGTCAAAGTCATCGTCATCTTCCACCACCACCTCCGCCGACATGCCGCCCTCCTCCTTCTCGCCATCCGCTTGCTCCTCCATCACCACCCTCCACGGCCGGAGCACCTCGTCCTGCCGCTTAAACATGTTTGCAATATCCCGACCTGCCCCGTGCTTGTCCTCTGCCGCCCCCGCAGCCATGTTTGCCACGCAAATGTTAATAAGCTGTAGATTCCACCCGCCGCTACTGCTACTACCGCTGCTACCTTTTTCCGCACCGAGACGCCGCAACAGGGGCAGCAGCGTCTCTGATACCAGGCGTTCTGCGACATCTTCGACACCCGCTCCAAGGTCCAAGAGGAAGCTCGGCGCCGGCGCAGACCTTGACACCCGGCTGAAGCTCCGCTCCTCGCCTGACCCGGGTTTTGGCCAGGAGCGGATGGACAGGCGTAACGTGCGCGGCCGCGCAACCCATCGCAGCGCGAGTGGCTCATCCGCATTGGCGTCTTGGCTTACGAGATCGATGCGCATCCGTCGCACAAGAGAACACGACAGCTTGAACAGCTCCTCCGTAATCTGCGCCATCGTTTCCAGGCCCTTGTAAGTGTCCTCGATGCTCAGCTGGCTCGGCACGTCTGTCCCTTCCTTGACTTCAGTGGCGTCTACCCCGTGAAGCAGCCCCCATATGCGCGCCCCGACTCCCCGTTCCGCCCCTGGACCTGCCAGCACCTTCTCCAGCGAGGCTGGCGAAATGGCCGGATGCAGACGCGCTTCTTTTACAGTGACGACCGACTTGAATGTGTGCGAATCGCAGTCGCTTTCGACGCCCATGACGGTGGACTCGATGCGCTGCGCCATCTTGAATCCAATACCAGGCACGTCGCGTAGTAGATGCGCATCCATAAACGCCACGGCATCGAGGTCGGTCAGCGCGAGCAGTGTCGTCTGGTTTCTGGGCTTGTGTTTGCCGCCGGCGAGCTTGCTGAGGACCTTGTTGGTGGCGACGCCGCAGGTCGACGTGTAGCCAAACTCGGACTCGATTATGCCACGCAGATGCATGGCCAGGTGCGAGCCGAGAGCGAGGCGAAGCATCACTGCATTCTCAGGGTCCACGGCGGACGAGCACGGTCCAAGAACCGGTCCTGCAACAGTGCCCAGATCGCACGGGAAGCCCACCTCGGGGTCGTTTTTCGCAAGTTGGAAAAAGGACTGTTCGAGGGCGCTCCTGTTGACGCAAGAAAAGTTGTATTCCACAATGTCGGTCACGTCCATGAAAACCTCGTCAAACCCAAGCCGCTCAACTTTTCCGTTCCATGAATGTGATTTGAGGAACCCGTAGAGAGTCTTGCTCATGTCCCGAAACGGCGAGAGATCTTCGCCGTCCACGAGGATGAGCTCGGGACAGGCCTTTTTAGCCTCGGTGACGAGCATAAGTTTTCTGACGCCCTTGGCGCGAGCGCTGTAATTGCACGTTGCGAGAATATTCTTCTGGCGGACGCCGAGCGCTTTGCCTTTGAGATGCGGGTGCTTGTTCTCCATGACTTGTGCGTAGAAGCAGTCGTAGTCCTGGGGACCGTTAGTTGGATCGCTCGTTGTTGTGGTGCGCGAGGTTCGTGATGCCTACGAATTGTAGAATGATGCGGTCCTCCTTTCTTCTTGGTGGCTTTTTGGCCGGCGACTCCATTTTGAAGGGTTTCTCGGCCGCGCAGCCGGAGGTATCGTGAAGCAAGACGGCATTGGCGGCAGGCTGTGGCATGCACGCCTGTGTTGGCGTGGGTAAAGGTGTGAAGCCTTGCACGCTTGGTAAGTGGGTAACAAAAGATGCTGCTCAACTGCTGCATACATGCATACCTCACCTACCACCACTTTATTCTCTTGTTTCTCCCATCTTAACCTCCTATTCTGCTTGCACGCCTTGTTATCCTTGCCACCTTCGTTTTTCTCGGGCCCTTTATTGGCCCTCACTGATGAGTGATCAGTGATTATCAGTACGTGTCAAGATAAACGGCGATGGTGGCTATTCCATGAGCACTGAGGTCAAATTAAAGACAGCAAAGTAAAAGCATGTATTCCAGGGATGGCTATATTCGAGTCTTTACAAAAGACATTTTTTCCACCAAATTACTTACAATAAAAAGGGCACGGAAAATTCCCAGCGCTGCTGAGTTCCAGCTCCGAGAATCGCACAGCCAGTGTCGGGGTGCAGCCGCCACAACGCCCCACAACGCCGACGACCCCCCTACCTTTAAGCAAGCAGCTGGCAAAAAAAGCCGTCACCATGAACCATCAATATCCTCAGTGAGAAATTCACACAATGGATCTTCTCAAATCAATTCTGCCTCCCGGCAAGGGTATTCTCCCTTACTACATGCTAATTGTGAGTTCTGGCACCAGCTCCTCCTTCTCCTGAACTCTCGTTCCACCCACGACAGCCACGCTCTCCCTGTTTCTTAACCCCAATCGCTAACCACACATCCTCGCCCCCCCTCTGCAGCTCTCCGTCATCTCGATTGGCAACTCGTTGCAAGCCTACCTGACGCTGCACTTTTCGCGGCGCGTCTACAACGGCCTCTTCGTGCCCAACCCGCGGCTCGGCAAGACCCCGGCCGACGAGGACCGCACCGACAAGCTCGTGCCCGCGCGCCGCGGCAGCCCTCCGGACCCCCGCGCGGCCGACCAGCTGACGCCGCTCGCCGGCCGCCTCTTTGGCACCTGGACGCTCATCACCTGCATCGTCCGCTGCTACGCCGCCTACCACCTGCACATTGGGCCCGTCTACAACATTGCCATATGGACCTACGTCGTCGCGCTGGGCCACTTTGCCAGCGAGCTGTTTGTCTTTAAGAGCATGTCGTTTGGCGTGCCGCAGCTGTTTCCCTTTTGTCTGGCGACCACGGCGCTGATCTGGATGCCCATGGTCCGCGATTACTACGTCGAGTTCAACTAGAATCCTCGGGCGTCGTGTCGGAAAGAGCACGACGAAAGAATGAGAGACAACAATTTGGAAATTTACTGCCAAATCACCTCATCTGCTGTATCACTAGCTCCATCTAATACACCGAAACATCTTATCCCCGTTTCAAACAAATTACATCATTCGCTTCGACCTCTATAGATCTCGCCGCCGCAGTCGCGCAGACGAGCGGCTGCCTGTTCCGGCGTTATGTCACGCTGAGGCTCGGCCATGAGCTCGAAGCCGACGAGAAACTTGCGCACCGTGGCGGATCGCAGTAGCGGCGGGTAAAAGTGCATGTGGAGGTACGAGTTTTCAACCTCTTCCTCGGTGCCCTGCAGAGGCGCTTGGTGAATGCCAGAGCTATAGGGGAAGCTGCACTCAAACAGGTTGTCGTAGCGGCGCGTAACCTCCTGAATCGTCTCCGCAAACTGAATACGCTCCTCGTCCGTACAGTCTACCAGGGCACGGATATGACGCTTGGGGAGCACAAGGACCTCGAATGGCCAGACAGCCCACCAGGGGCAGACGACGAGGAAGCCTTTGTTTTGCCAGACGATGCGCTCCTGCTTCTCGAGCTCCAGCTTGGTGTAGTCGGCGAGGAGGTGGCGGCCGTGCTGTTTCTGGTATTTGCTCATCTGCGCAATCTCTTTGCCGGGCTCTTCGGGCATGGTCGATGTGGTCCAGATCTGGCAGTGCGGGTGGGGATTGGAGCAACCCATGGCGGCGCCCTTGTTCTCGAATATTTGCATGTAGCGATACTCGTCGTTCGGTATTGGGGCTTGCTGGCGCGAAACCGAGAGCTGGAGCTTGTTTGCCACTTCAAGGAGCGGACTTGAAGCGGACAAGTGGTTTGCGTAAATCCGCGTCCAATGGTCAATACAGGGCAAAATATCGGAACCTGGCATGTCGGCCAGCGTGAGATGATGCTTTGGCGAAAATGTCATGACGTAGCAGACACCTTTGACACTCTTGGCTTGTAAGAGTAGGGAGCCGAGATCTAAATTGCATTAGCTTCGAGAAGTGTGTGCTCTAAGAGGCGCATGTGGTACCATTGGAGGAGGGCTCAGGCTCATAGTCGGGCTGTTGCTCTTTGACAGCGCTGTAGTCGTTGACAAAGGCAAACGTCTTTTCATAGTCAGGGTTATGGTCACCAGACGCCCTGGTATTGCGAGGGCAGAGATAGCACTGTGAAACTGGTCAATTGGAGACTTTGCATTCATGCAATACACCAATCCTACCTTTGAGTCGTATTCGGGTAGCTTGATTTCGACAGCAGCTTCCTGCTGTCCTCTGAATATCATATCAGCGGCCGACCAATGTAATATACAGGTACTACTCACTGCCATGGCCGCTTTGTTCGATGAGGGGAGACCAAGAGCCAGCTATCCGTCAGCGGATTGTAGCGACGGTGCGAAATGTCGTCGAGAATCTTGTCAGGCATGTTGGCGGAGGCGGGGCAGCTCAGCGATGGTCGAACATGCAGTGGGTAGATATGTAGAAGATGACAGAGCAGAATATGATACCGTGAGGCGAGAACAACTTCTCGAGATGTGGCACGAGAGTGAGCAGCGATGGAAATACGCACAAGATTTTGCCAGACCAGCCCGTAGGATTAAATGTGACGCTTCTCAAGAATGTACTTGTTGTCTAACAGTAAGCGCTCCAATGATAACATGGCACTGAAAGCAGGAGCTCGGGTTACCCCACGCAACCCCAATTTACGGCGAATTGCTCGGAGAAAAAAAGCTACACACAAGTATGCTAAGGAAGCTATCAAAGGGGGTAGTCGTGGGATTTTTAAAAGATTTGACGGCCTGATTCAAGAAATGTCTTTTTGAATGAAATTGATTCATAAACTACGCACAGTGGCCGATGGTGGAGGTGGAACCGCAACGGGAAATCTGCACATCATCTATGCCATGACGCAGAGTAGCGGAAAGACATTGACAATCATTTCCTGATAAACTATTACCTCTTGAAAGGACAGTTCCAAGTCAAAAAAAAAGTTTGATTTCTTTTCATCGAAACGAGATTGTAGTCATGTTGCAGGATACTTCGTCATTTGCTGCTTCCCCATAATCGTCACATGACCTGGCACGTGCAGGAGCGGCCAACTTCCCTGCTTTGCTAGCGGGCGCGCGCCTCAGAGTGCAGTGGCATGGGTCGCGACAATACCGCAATGCTCCAGCCTTGCGCTGACAAGTCCGACAGGCAACAGGTGACAGCGAGTTTCGTCATCAACCAAACCTAAGAACCAGCCATTTCCATCAAAATTACCACGAAATCTTCAAACCCGATATCGAAGCATGCTTTTAATTGCATAAGAGTTTCCCTGTTCTCCTGCAGTGTCGCCGCAGCGTACCCTTGAACCGGCGCAGCTGGCGTCATCACCATTTGCCAGTGGAGCTCGGTCTGGGCAAGTTGCGCATCACGGTATCAGCACAGCAACCATTGAGCCAAGATGGGTGTGATTCGCAAAAAGACTGTCAACAGAGGTGGCGAAGGAGGTGTCAAGTACGTCTGTGATGCCTGTTCCGTCGACATCACGTCTACTGTAAGTCTGTCGCGTACTCTTGCGGCGCAGTCGCCAACAGCTCCTTCCTGGGCCTCCCAATCGCTAACGTTGGTCGCGCATCCAGGTTCGAATTCGATGCGCAGATTCGGCATGCACGGATTTTGATCTTTGCGTCTCTTGCTTTGCCAAGGGAGAGTCGCGCAACGCACACGACCCCGCCACTCACGCTTTCCGAGTCATTGAACAAAACTCTTTTCCAATCTTCGACGAGGAATGGGGCGCAGACGAAGAATTGCTTCTAATTGAAGGTGCCGAGATCTATGGACTCGGATCTTGGGCAGACATCTCCGATCACATTGGTGGTTTCCGTCAAAAGGACGAGGTTCGCGACCACTATCTCAAAACATACGTCGATTCTCCCAACTTTCCCCTCCCAAAACGCTGCAGCCCTCACGACAATGAGCTGGCCAAAGAAATTCCTCGAGAAGAATTCCAAGCGCGCAAAAAACGCAGGATCGAAGAGCGCCGCGAGGCTGCTAAGAACGCGCCAGCCTTACAACCCAAGACGAAACCGACGGCCTCTGTGCCCAGCTGTCACGAAATCCAAGGCTACATGCCCGGTCGTCTAGAATTCGAAACCGAACATGCTAATGATGCCGAGGAAGCTGTACAACTCATGCAATTTGACCCTGGCGATGGTCTGAACCCGAAGACGGGGGAGCTCGAGCCCGAAATGGAGCTCAAACTTACCGTCATGGAAATTTACAACTGCCGACTCACACAGCGAGTCGATCGCAAAAAGGTTATCTTCGAGCACAACTTGCTTGATTATAGAGAGAATTCAAAGCTAGAAAAGAAGAGGACCAAGGAAGAAAAGGACTTGATTCAAAAGGCCAAACCTTTCGCGCGCATGATGAATCGCAAAGATTTTGACGATTTCTGTCAAGGACTCGTCGACGAGCAGAACCTTCGACAAGCCATTGCTCAACTACAAGAATGGCGCAGTCTCAAGATTGGTGACTTGCGCAGCGGTGAGAAATACGAGGCGGAAAAGGCTGCCAGAATACAAAAAGCTATTCCCATGGGCTCTATGGATCGCGAACGTCTTGCCTCTACACAACGCAACAAGCAAACTGCACCGCCTGAGCCGGCCAGCGGCGCTGCCCTGCTTGTCGCGCCCGAGCTGCCCAGTCACATCAACCAGAGTACAGCCGATGGCGAAGACAAAGCGCTTGTCAACGGACAGTCTAATGGTGTCGTCACCAATGGCCACGCGGCACCACCTCGACCAAAATACACTCCTCAGCCAATCTCGGGTGTGCAGTCGCTGCATCTTACCCAGGACAATGCGCCAGATTTACATCTGCTCACACCAGAGGAGCACAAGCTTTGCGATGTGATCCGCTTGCAGCCCAAGCCATACCTCATGATCAAAGAGCAAATTCTCAAGGAGGCGCTGAAGTCAAATGGGTCACTCAAGAAGAAGCAAGCGAAAGACATCTGTCGACTAGACTCACAGAAGGGAGCAAGAATATTTGACTTTTTCGTGAATGCCGGCTGGGTTGGAAAGGCTTGACAGGCAGGTACAAGGTTTTTATCAGGCTGGGAGGTTGCAGTGCTTTTTTTTCTTCTGGGCTTGGACAGCCCCGGAGTAATGGTGGTTGGGTTTCTTGCGCTTTAGTTCACTGTATTGGTTACGAGTACAAGGCGTATGGCAGAGCAGGTTCTTCAAAGAGCAGGCATCCTTTATAGCGAGAATGATATCCTTTTGGTTTTTGGACAATGAGGCGTATTCTGGTAATGAAAGTGTGAATGAAGCATCGACACTGTGAAAGGTGTAATTGCGCCTCGGCTCAAACAATCAGTCGATGCTTGTTCCCTGCCAAAATGTGAGAAAAAAAAAAGAAGAAAAAAGAAAAGAAAAAAGAAAAATAGCGACGCCATTCAAAATGACTTTTGGTGGCGTGTCCAAGGACTACGGAAATCGATCTTCACTGCAGCCCCACACCCAGCTGGCTATTCAGACTGGTGGAAGCGTCCTAAGCAGACTTCCATCAAGCACCAGCACAGTTGTAAAGTCTCCAATTTACATGCTTCGCGGCTTCAGCACTTCAATACCATTTGCTCGTCTCAATATGACCACCATTACATCTCTTATGCGCATTTCGGCCAAGGACCTGTCTCAAAGGATCCTCGCCGAGCGCGACAGCGCGGAGTCGACATATGCCATCATCGATGTCCGCGACGATGGTGAGTTCTTCTTTTTCTCTCCGAGGCGTTGAAAATGTCTTGTAGTCTCCATGTGGCTTTTCAGACTGCTAAATTCTTCTTTCCTTTGTTTCAGACTACCTTGGCGGCCACATCAGAGGAGGTATCCACGCCGCCAGTGAGCAGCTCGACGCCCTGATGCCGACGCTGCTGCGCCGTCTGGAGGGTAAGAGGACGGTCGTGTTCCACTGCGCGTTGAGCCAGCAGCGAGGGCCCAGCGCGGCCCTGCGCTATCTGCGAGAGCGGACGGCGAAGTCCTCGTCGGGCGAGAGCCCACAGCAGGAGGTGCTGGTGCTGGATAGAGGCTTTGAGGGCTGGCGGCAAGTGTATGGGGAGGATGAGCGGCTGACGGAGGGTTACCGAAAGGATCTCTGGGGAGATCACTAGGGGAAAAGAAAACGCCGCAAAAGCCTGTTCCTGATTTTTTTCGCGGCTGGGGATACATTTAACGTTTGAGGGTGGCTTACGAAATCGACGCCATGGCTGCAATATCCAGGTACGGCCATATAAAACAAGATACGATGGCTGCGACGCCTTCAAAAGTTATCAACTTTTGTCGGGGAATTAAGTTTCTGTTGCTGCAATTGGGACTGAGAAGAATGTTTTCTCTCGTAGCTCCCAAATCTATATAAACTGGCCGCCGTCCTGACCAAGGACTGTCGTTGTCACAAAAAGCTCCAACACTACTACTCAGAGTACCTCTGTTCTATTCTTTATGGGACCAACAACTGTCTACTGCCACTTCTACTACTGGCACTTCTATTACTACCACTTGTACTATTACCACTTCAACTACGACTACTTCGGCTCCTTTTACGTCTACTACCACTGCTACTACTACTCCTACTCCTACTACTACTCACTCGATTCTCTCAACCTCAACTCAACGTTGAACAACAATCACCGTCAATAGCCAATCAAAGCTTGTGTCAACCAACACACCAAACCTTCTCATCATGACTGGTCAGCTTGACGCTATCCGTCGCGTGGGCGACACCATCAGCCGCATCTTCAACGAGGAAGCCCGGTTCCGCCGCTACCGCGACTACACCCCATGGGAGATTCGCGCCTTTCAGGCTGAGATTGCCGCAACAGGCGCCGACATTGGCGGCGGGCCGTACCCCGTTCGCCGCAGCGTCGCCTTTCGAGGCCCCCAGGCCCCCCTCGATAGGCCCTGGCACAACGGCATGTTCATTGACGAGTCCGAGCCGCGCCGCGAGCAGGTGCCCTATATGGAGCGCAACAACTACTACTGGGGCTATTACTACCGCAACCGCAATGACCGCCACCGCCAGGCCGCTCAGAGCTACCAGCAGCGCCGTCCTGCCCACTACGATCAACACCAGCAGCAGCGTTACTACCCCAACTACCACCGCCAGTGCGTGTACAACCACCAGAATCGCCAGCAAATGCTGTATCATGAGGAGCGCGCTCACCAGGAGGAGCAGCAGCAGCAACAGCAGCAGGCGGAGCAGCAGGAGCAGCAAGAGCAGAGCCGTGTTCCCACCCCTCCACCCCGTCTCACGGCTATTCAGCTGCAGGAGCTGCAGACCAGGGAGGAGGCGCGCCGTACGGCGCTCGCCATAATCAACTGGGACAAGGACCTGACGGAGGAGTCGGTCTTGGCAATTCCCGGGGCCGCGATTGAGCGGGTGCCCACGGCCTCGGTCGAGTCGTCCGAGGAGCAAGAGCAGCCGCGCGGTCTCGTCCCCGACGAGCTCACGCCGCAGTGGAACTACGTCCCGTCCGACGAGGGCGGCGCCGTCGAGGAGGCGTCGCTGGACGAGGACCAAGACTACGTCAACAGCGAGGGCTACCCGATTCGCAAACGCACCAAGGAGCAGCGCGAGGCGTACCGCGCCGCCCATCTGGAGAGGCGTGCGTGCCTCGCGCGCATGTACAGACAACAGCAGCGCAACAATGGCAGCACGCTCGTCTGCACCAGGCCTTAGATGGTCGTCAAGAAAAATGGCTGACGAAGTTGGTTTCGTTGGCTCTCATGTTCCTTGGAGAGGAACACATGTATGATACGGTGATGGTGTTCTAGGATGGGTCCTTTGATAAGGAGTTCTAGAGCAGAAGCTGTACGATGTGATGGAGTGTACGACAATGTGGGAAGAAGCCAGCAACACAGAATGGCCTTGATTTGAATGAATAACAGCATGGCGGACATGACCTTGATTTTGGTGGAATTATCTTGGCACGGCTTTCACAACTTAGAGATTGATCGTCTGAGAGCTTGTACTTTGAGCTTGTGATCTTGGGGCAGCGGATGTCTGTAGACTATGGGAGATGCTTTGCTGTTTCTTTTCGCAAAAATGTCGAATTATGCAGGGTAATTTTGAATAAAAATGTGAAAAAAAAAATGCAGTTATCATCGTGAGTTGTTTCAAACGTGAAGGATGTTCTACTTGGTACGGGTCTGGGCCAAAATACACCCTGCTTTCTGATTGAGCTACCTGTTTGTATTTTTTTCATAGCTTCGGTTGTCAATGAAAGCTAATCTTGATGTATTCCGTTCCTTTACTGAAGCGCTAGTGGTTTCTTTGGCGATTCTCTGACGCGATTGATTGGAGACTTTTTTATGGGTAACCGTTTGCGACGTTAGTGAATCTACTCATTGGCGTAACGGCGCGATGAATTTGTAGCGTATTCACCTACTTCATCAAACTGTACTGTCATCTGACACCTGACTTCTCTTTATGATTACGAAAAAATTAGCCAATCTCGCATCTACACCCTCTTGACAATTGTCTCTCTCGATAACTGATCGACTTTTCTCACTAGAGACATTACTTTGTTATCTAGATTGTCTCATCGTAGCCTTGCAGCTATTCCGAATCGAGCTGACGGTTCCGCCAAGGTTGACGGGTTGGAATTGGACCAATCATCATTCACCAGATTCATCAACCAATGACTCGCCGATAACGGTTCCAAGGCACCTCTTCTGCTTGTTGTTTTTCTTTTCTGCATGCACCCGACCAAGTTGTTACTTTCACCTCTTCAGTCTTCATACTTACTTGACTGGGCTTTGTCTTTATCTGATTCACAGTCACTGCATTTCTTTTTCTTTACTTTAAAACCCCAAGCTTCTGCCCGCTGAAGCAGTCCCATCCTTAATCTCGATTATTCCTACCAGAGGTTTCTGACGGCCCCTACCTACCCCACGATCGCTCGGTCGCAAACCAATTCCCTCCAACACAACCCCTTTACGCCACTCGGCATACATAAACAAGATGGGCTCGCATTCGACGCAATCAGAAGGGACCAAAGAGGATTTTTCCAGTGAGATTGATGGCCCAGAAATAAGCCAGAGAAGCCGACCAGTCGCTAACGAGTGCAGACCTCGGTTTCACCCCCATGATCAAGGTCGATGAACCGTGGACGGTCGAAAAGGTGGTCAAGGAGATACCAGGAGATGCGCCCGTCGAGGGTTCAAGCTCGCCACTGGCCTTTTTCCATATGCTCGGGCGCCTCAAGACGACAAAGCGCGAAGGCTGGAGACGCTTCGGCATTAACCGGTATGATTGACAGCCAACCCGACTCCCCCTCCTTAACAACTCCTCTGCCTGTCTCTGAGAAACGCAAACTGACTATTTTTTGCTTACCCAGTGGTGAATCCATCGCCGACCACATGTACCGCATGTCCCTCATCTCCATGTTTGCGCCGCCTTCCCTCGCCCCCCGTCTCGACCTTGCCAAGTGCATCAAGATGAGCCTCGTCCACGACATGGCCGAGCTGCTCGTCGGCGACATCACGCCCGTCGACGGCGTCCCCAAGCCGGAAAAGAGCCGTCGCGAGACCGCCACCATGGACTGGCTCACCAACAACCTGCTGCGCGGCGTGCCCGGCGGCGCCGCCACGGGCGCCGAGCTCCGCGCCGTCTGGCAAGAGTACGAGGACGCGCAGACGCTCGACAGCCACTTTGTCCACGACGTCGACAAGATGGAGCTGCTGCTGCAGATGCTCGAATACGAGCGCGGTGGCGCCCGCCGCCTCGACCTCGGCGAGTTTTCCTGGGTCAGAGGCAAGATTACCCTGCCCGAGACGCGCGCCTGGGCTGACGAGCTCATTGCCGAGCGTGAGGCTTTCTGGGGGGATAAGGAGCACATTCGGGGCTACGAGGGTACCGAGGGCGGCGTCAAGGAGGAGCACACCAAGCAGCAGGAGCAGTACTACCAGCGCGACTAGCGTTGCGCCGGTCAGGACATTTGTTTACTCAGCTGTTGTTCACCATGATTATTGGAGTTGCAGGCTGCTCCGTACGGCCGCACTACAGCACGCAGAACGACGATTGAAACGGGGAAGAAGGGCGTTGTAGATGAGATTGCCTGCCGAGGCGCTAGACATTGTACGTTGATAGAATTGCAGCATACACTGACGAATGACGTTTGCATAAATACACCCTTATATTTTGTCCACGAACCCATATCTACACACAAAGTACCACAGAATAAAACCCACGAATAACCCTGCAAACATGAGTGCCCAGAAACCTCAATAAAACAAAGAGACTCTGCTGACCCAGGAAACCGAACCCCCCCCCGTCACTCCCAGCGAAGGCCACAAAAGTCTTGCAACATCTACGGCACAAATCTCGCCGGTGGCCGTGAGATGCGCCCACTGCGTGTCATGACACTCGGTTGTGACGCATCCTCCCTTGGATTCCCAGGGTTTACTCGCCCGGCACTCACCACAACAGCAGCCTCGGTGTATGCTGTCTTGCCCACGGATACCTTTCGCCACTCGACCGCAACGGCGGTAAACTTGGCCGGTACCTCCGTCTCTGCGTGATTGCGTGCGCTCGCCACCACCGCCGCCGCCGCTGCTGTTGCTGTTCCCTGCCCGCGCACGATGATCACTCTTGGACGTTTTGGCGGGCTGCACGGCGGCGGCTCGCTGACGCTGCCATGGTGCTGCTGCTGTTGCGTGCGCATGAGAATGACTCTGCGCTTCGGCGGCCTGCTGCTCGGTTTTGTGATCCGACCAAGCATGGAATGCCGCTGCGTTGGGGACGGAGGAGCAGCCTGCTGCTGCTGCTGCTTGCTGCGGACAAGAGTCACTCTGCGCCTTGGTGGTGGTGGGTGAGCTTCTGACGTGAGTGATGGCAACGAGACAAGCCTTGACGCTTCATATCTGGGTGGTGTCATGGTCCTGCATTCATCATCACCAGTCAGCGAATGTGTCTTTCAAGGGGTATTTGTGTTTTGTTTTTGACAGACTCTTGTTTTGGAATCAGCAGCTTGGCAATGTCCATGATGGGGTTGTTGGTGTCTGTGTTGTCGTTTGGGCAAATCTTGCTGTGGCAATTCAGGAAAAAGGGATGAAAGTTGCCAAGTTTGGCTTGGACATCATCGTAGCGGTCAAGATAGATAGATATATATATATATGTATAGGTGGGCTGGCGGTACACGAAAGAGTTCGTCATGTTGTGATACCACGACGGCGCGTTGGGCCGATCCGTGCTGAAACAGATGGAAAATTCAACTAGATCTGCTGATCCGGACAACGTCTGACAGAGGTAAGACAAAGAATGAGCTGCTCTCAACAATACGAGCTTGCCCGGCCCAAGAGCCGAATGGCAGCGAAACATGAGGGCCGAAGCCATCGTATCTTGTAACTACTGCCCATCAGTCCTCTCAAGAGGGCGTCTCAAGCTGACTCCCTAGCTAATATTGCTTTCTTTGGTCATCTTCCGTGCCTTGACCAGCAGCTGTGCAATCTCCTCATGGCCTTGACTCAAAGCAGCCGCCAATGCAACCTCGAGGTCTGCGTCTTCATACCTTCCTTTTCTTCTTGACCTTGGTTCCCTACCCTCGTGGCCTCCCTTAGCAGAAGCGGCTTCGACGAGTACTTTGTTGTGCATATTTGCGTTGGTGGGCTGTACACCAGCCTCGTCGGAGGTTTGAGCACTCGTAACACACGTTGGGGGCCCAACCGCCGTCGAGATGTACTCGTCTGAGATGTCCAAGGGAAGGAGAAGTTTGACAATGGCCTTGTGGCCTGCATGAGAAGCAGCATATAACGCAGTTTTACTTTGCAGCACACTGGGCGTCACTTGAACTCCGGCTTTAAGTAGCAGCTCCACCACCTTCGCGTGGCCTTTAGAAGCAGCCACTATAATGGAGTCTCACATTTGTTGTTGAGCGCCTCTATGCTAGCGTTATGGTCGATTAGCAGCTGTGTAATCTCTTCAAGGTGTGGCGGATCAAGCGAGCGAAAGAGAGCAAAAGACGTCACACGAACAGGGCACAAGCTAAAGCAAAGACCTAGATGAATGTGTGAATAAAGGAGAGAGAAAGAGAGGCTTTCTAGGTAAAAGTAGCAGCTAATAGGGGTCTTAGCTATAATAATAGTCTATTAATAGCTCGATAGCACGTCTTAAAGCCTACTCTAGGGCGTAGTAAAAGACGTTAATTTACACACACATATACACATATTGCCTTACACCTTGCTGTTACAACAGCTTATCGGCGTAACCAAGGTGTTGTATACCAGCGGCAAATAAGCTCTATGTTTATTATGCTACTATTCCCGTACATCTCTGCTGTTATATTCAGAAATACGCCGAAACAAACAACTGACAGCTTTTATGTAGTTCAGGTCAAAGCAAATATACCCAAAAAGGTGCTACATATCACGACCAGTCTCCTACCTTGACTTAGTTAGGCGCCATCTCGACACATTTCAGGTTTCTTTTTCATGTATTTCCAATGTAGCCGGGTCTTGTAGGTATCCAGAAGCCGGCCACTTTCGTTGTACACTGAATCAAGACAGGGCAAAAAAAAAAAAAAAAAAAAAAACACATCTTACCTTGGCGCACCGCCGTCTCCCTTGCCTGTACTTTCTCCCCGCTTTTCGCCTCAGCCGCGGCGAGCTCGGCGTCTCGGTCCGCCAGGCCGAAGCTGTCTCAACTAGTAAAAACCAAACAGCCGAGGCGCTTTTGATAGGCTCATATCGACAAAGGGTGAAACGATAGGGTTCTAAAGACTTCTTCTGGCCAGTGAAAGGCACCCAGTGAGGCGGCAAAATATAAGGCAGAGGTACATCGCATGACAGCCGATCTATACGTTGTTTGTAAACATGAAGCAAACCTGGGCAGCAGCAAAAGGTTCTGTGCGGGCTGCTGGGCGACCTCAAAAGAGCGAGCTTCTAGGAACCAAAGAGCTGGATAGGCAAGGGCATGTCGAAGGAATGAGCTTACCACCAAATTTGTGGTTGCAGGCAGCCTTCGCCTTGCTCTGTAACTGCAGCTATAAAGCTTCTTCCCCCATTTGCTCGACTACCAGGATCTAGACATAGCTCAAGAGAGATGGTCCTCACGAGCAAAAACTTGGCACGATGATTGTTCCTCCACAAACTGCATGACGCCGGTTTCGCAGCTGTTGGCAAGTGAGAGAGTTCACGGCGCTGACGCGGCTTGTCGTTGAGGTACCGCGCTGCGGGCGGCCAGGCGGACCACGGTTTTGGTCTGGTTTTCCGGTACACACTTTCCACTATAGACCCTTCAAAGCCGGGTCCCTAGAACTTTGCCCTGCAGCGCCCGCAGACTTATGGTCCTTTTGATTTGGTTTGATTTGGTTTGTTATAATCTTAGTAATCCTTTCTCTATAGATTATAGTTAGCTTACTATGCCTTATAGTAATCTAGTTACGTGACCCCCTGTCCTAATCTAGCGACTTATACGCGCCCGCCTAGTCGCGTCCTCGGGCCGCCTCCCCGGCTGCCTTGCGTCCTTTCTTCGTTCGTAACACCATCGTTATAGCCACGTCCTTATAAGAAAACCCGATTAAATGTAGTCGCGATACCCTTCTCCTCTTATAGAGACTATAGTTAGGATTTTAGGAAATTCTAGGTATTATAGCGGTCGTAATATAGGTTTAAAGTTAGAGTGTTATTATTCTGCGTGACGTGACTTGGTACTAGTATATAATTTGGTTGTTTTGCGTACTAAAGTGACCTATTAAGGCTTTTGGACAAGACAAGTCTTGCGAAAAAAAAACTCGACATTACGGCCTAACAGCCACTGTGGGAAAGGTGACCTGTCGGGCTGTCACCCCGGCATATGTTACCCGTCTTCGAGGGTCTATGTATAGTTAGGTGAAAATGGAATTAGGAAAACCTCTGGCAGAGCTGTGGCACCCGGCACGGCCTCACACTCCACTGCATTTAGAATCATCGCTATCATGACGGGCCAATCCGCGGAAGCTGCCCGTGAAGGTGCCCCGCGCGTGATAAAACAGGTCGCGACAGGGGGGCAGATTGTGATTCCCGAAAACGTGGATCATAGCATAGAAGAGACGAGCTAAGAGAAGGGATCCTCACAAGCTAAAAAGCTTGCAGCATGACTTATCTGGCATGCGGATAGCTGCCGGCGGGCACTCTAATTTAATGCTAAAAGGCGCCACGATATTCTAGACAGGTCTAAAGCCGCTGAAAAAAGTCTAATGCGGGGAGGCAATATTACTGCTAGGCGCCCTCAGCCTCACACCATTACCGCAGCAAGTCTTATTACTACCTGACTGTACTTACCTACTACCTGTTATATAGCCTAAAGGACTACCTATGTACGGAATACCCTCCTCCCTTTTGGCTGAGTGTTAACACCTCGTATAAAGTGGGAGTATTTTTAAACCTACCCCGTCTGAATCAGGTATAATACTATGTCGAACAAATGTGATTTATAAGCAAAGAGCATATGGTGATATAAACAACAGAAAGTTGTTATTATCCTTCCGGAATTATAGGCTTATTCAACTCGTACGTTATATTCCCTATGTCATTGTACTCTTGTGTATATAAGTCTCCTGGGAAACGCATCTTCTTCACAAACTTTTTAAGAGAACCAACCTTACCAAGTCTTTTCGGTATTCACGACTCAAAGCCCGCGCTATTTATATCAACTATTGATTAAGCATTTTACAATCATCAGTAACAGCATTAGACACGATGAAAGCCTACCTATCTATTGGAAAGGCTATATGGCTGGCCAGCTGTATTAGGATGTCGCTAGCACTCAATATGCCCTACCAGGACGGATTAACAATCAGACAAGAGTATAGTGACTGGTGCCATTTTGAGACCGAACGTACTAACTGCAGTAGGGATAAGACATCTCTTGGCCAGGGTGTACATCACGACGCCGTCACCATGTCCGGAAAAGATGAAGTCAAGCCATCCGAAGAGCTTGACCACCCGAACACACAACCGGACTGGGTACGTGGCTTGGTGTCTAATTCATCTCCAGCGCTAACGGGAAATATGTAGGCCAACGAGTCTCCCAAGGTTGAGATCAAGGTCTTCAACAATTTGGAATCGTTCACAGATCCAGAAACAAAGGTCGTGACTACATATGACTGCAGCCAATGGTACGAATATAATGGCTACCAAGGCTGGACCCGGTCCAGATTCCGATTCTGCTTCCCGACAGACACCAATCGGTTCACGGTGACCGTCTTCCGCGACACGGCTCAGTACTATTGGGGAACGGCTTGGTACAACGAGGATGATGCCTATCCTGCCTCAGTGAATTTTGAGCCGCGGCTTAAGGATGCCCACCTCGACCCGCCTCAGTGGACAGAGTACGGCACGTACGGCAATACCGACAAAGAATTCAGCTTTGGCCCCGTAGGCGGCAAGCTCAAGCCTGGAAAGTATGAAGCCGAAGTCCTCTTTTCTCAGACCGGCCCGTACTGGAATGGTGACCAGACCGACGACCCGCACTGGGAGGTTGACGAGACCGGCCCGTCGTACTGGGTTGGTGAGACGGTGCCCCAAGTTGTCAAGTTCAACATTACCGTGTCGATCGTAGGCTAAGGGAATCGTACTTGGTTGATGGAGAGGGCTCGGAGAACGCTGGATCCGAGTCGCTAGATGCTGCATGAGCTGCTTTAACACAGTCCGAAAGCTCTTGGCGGTCCTTGAGGATACAGGCTATTCAACATTACCGTACATCTACCTAGGGAGGGCTATAATGTTTTGAGACGTACCGTATCATATATGATCGGCCAAATTCAAGCAATTACTAAACCCGCTCAGTGTTCCTTATAGGCGGTCCGTCCAGTTCAGATAGTAGGTGTAGACCAACCGAGGTTTTAACACATACCTCATCTGAGAGTGGAGTTGTGCCCAAGCCACTGGCTGAGCCTGGATTCCACCCTGTAAGCTAAGTATGCATATGCAGATGTTGCCGCTTGGCTGCGAGAAAGAGAGCTGGGGTCTAAGGCACAGCGTTTATCGGCGTCAACAATCTTATGCTCTTGGGTGTGTATAATCAGTGATTGATTGTCTTGATTCGCTTCCATGCGGACGACTTCTTCGCAGAGTAAGACAAGACGATGTTCGCATCTGCCCATTGAGTGCAAGTGCATTGAAGCTCGGATGAGCTCCCTTATGAGGACGACAAGAGGGCACCTCCTTTACAAAAGATGATTCGAGTCAAAAAGTTGTACTTTCCTACCGGCTTTCCGTCGCGTTCTTTCCTTTTTAGTATCTCAGTATCTCAGTATTTGTAACGTTGCGCTCTATGCGCCACCCTCACCAAGGTACAACGAGCCATGTGTAGCATTTTGTGGAGGGACAGACAATACGTCAAAAGCTTGTCTTGATTCACAATTCTGCTGTAAATTTTCTCGTCAAATTTTACATGGAATTCATCAGGCAGGTGAGACAGGTCGGGAGTAGTGAGACCATGGGCAAGCTAGAGGCTAAATTTAGCTCGACGACATGCCCTATTGTTTAGATGGCGGAGATTATTGATCGCAGGGACTTGATGATCGCAACGAATAACGACAGCAGAAGAGACATTTAAAGATTGAGAGAAGTTCTTCTCTCTGATGAGTTTAGAGCCAGTATGACGTAATTTATCTGGTCTTACGCGGCGTGTATTACTTTGTGTAACGCGTTGTAGCTAGCGTGGTCGTACCCACTCGCAAACATAGGTAGGCAAATAGGTAAGTAGCAAGGTAGAAAGAACTAATCTGTGTACTGGCCAGAGCTCTCTCCCTTTCATCATCCTCGAATCATATCCATCATCATTGCAAAATCTTTTGTAATGGCTTTGTTTCCACTTGAAATAGAAGAGCCACTCCGGCGTCCGCGCCAGTTGACCCAAAATCACGTCCTTCTCGCCGCCGGCCTCGCCATGTCCATTGTCTACTTCTGGGGGCCGTTTGCCGTCCTCGCTGCCCACGGCAACCTTCCACCGCGGGACCTCGTCGGCCTTGCCACCGTTGTCGTATCGCTCGTCTTCTTCCTGCAGACATTTCTCATATATCGCCTCCTCTCTCAAACCGGAGCGTGCCCCGCAGTGACCGACTCCGTCGACGCCTTCTTCTACCAGACCCGGGCTGGAAGCGCCTCGCTGCTCTTCCTCTGCATCCCTTGGTGCGTCATGGGCATCTACGGGCTCATCTTGTCCCTGCCTGCGGCTGCCGACGCCATCATTCACCGAAACGACTCCGAGAACAGTCGAGAATTTGGCCGTCCGCTGGAACTTTTTTTTGGGGTCATTATGGTGACAACGCCGCTTGCGCTGCTTACGGGCGTCTGGTGGGCGTCTCGCACGGCGTTCAGGGCCCTGTACCGCGTTTTGGAGGCTGACACAGGCCGGTGTCATTATGATAGCGTGCCGTTGGGTCTCGACGAACACCGATCGGACGAGCTGCGATTCGAGAGGAATACGAGCAGAGGCAAACGCCCCGCTGGCAAGGCGACGTTACTTTTTCGTGTCCTGCCAACCCCTTCCTGGTCGGCGTAGTACATGGTTCTTAACACCAACATACAGATACCGACGACCAGGTTAACACGTACCTAGTTTGTCTTTTTATTAGCGCTGGCGCGCAACCTCCACAGAAATCCAACGTCCACTAGCTGGGAGCTCTGTGGACTTCTCCGCTTGCTATCAGTAGTCTAGTGTACATGCTTCTCTTCCTCGCCCGTCTCTTGCCGTCACAATCATCATCTCAAATGTCGCAGGCCCGGACCAGGCAGCCCATCGCGGGCGACCGTCCAAGGTCAGCAATGGCAGTATCCCTTTTTGCCGCTGCGCTTGCATGCTCTACCGCCTACTACTGGATGCCCATGAAGCTGGCCAGCAACCAAAAAAACGACCCTCTCGCCGCCATCATGCAGATCCTGGTCCTCATGCTCCACGGCTGTCTCGGCTACGGCCTGTTATCTGCGTCAAGGGCCTACCCACACATGACAGACATTGTCGACTACAATATCCTGCACACGCCTGCCGGCCACATGTTTCTGGGACTGCTGGCTTTTTGTGCCTGGGCGCTCGGTGCTGGCTCCGTCTCGCTTATGGGTCTCTTCATCGCGGGCAAGATACGCGGCACGCGGCACGATCCACCTCCGCCAGAAGTGTCGGGGATGGGGAAAACCGAGCGCCTGTTGCGGATTTTCGCGCCATTTGCACTCGTTTACGTCGCCTGCTGGCTCTTTTGTCTCGCGTCGGTGGGCGTGCTGCAGATTGCGCCGTCGCGTGCAAGGGCTAACGGGGACTTGACGTGGAGTGATTTGCTTCGCAGGCCAGCAGTGGCCGGTGCCGTCTTATTTATCGTCGCGGCTTCTCGCTTACTGGGTCGGGTGGTTGCTGACATGTCTGGGTAACTAAGGAGCGAGTATCGACCGTTTGGAGATGTGTATAAAAGATGTATTTTCGCGTTACGTGTTTCTCATTTTTCTCATCGCTCGAAGTAGAGGGGTCTAGCGCATCTTGCAGCCCATGCCATTCATGATTCCATCCTCGTTTCTTCCCCTCCACTACAACATAGTGTCGCTGTCGCTATTTTGTAGTAGAGCACTATTTACACATTATTTATCATTTTCAGGATCTTGTTCATTCACCGATTCGGCCGCCATGTTCGTTTCCGTGTCCCATCACCAAAACGCTTTGCCATGATGTATTCATCAAAGCGTCGTGTCGTCGGCTTCCTCTTGCCAGCGCCGTCCCCAGTCGATCCGATCGGATTCGACGGACCCAATGTCATGGCTTGCGGAGGAAATAACCAGCTGTGACAGACAGGTAGCGGCAATCTATGCCGCGCCATGTGTCGCACAGGGTCCCGATAACGTTTGATGACAGCTATGTCGGCGTGGTGTAGCGCCAAGAATTGGCATACTTTCGTGTAGGGCGGCCGGGCTCCCCTTTGCAGATTTTTTTGGCTTTGCAACGCATTGCCTTTCTGCTCCTACCTTATGAGCTCTCGCCGGGCTCTTCCTTGCCATGAAAGCAGTGGTTCTTGCAGCCGCGCTCCAAGTGATCTTTGGTGTAAAACCACGCCACCTCGATCAAGTCTCCCTGGGAAAGAGTGTGTGCCTAGAAAGACATGAAAAGAAACAAATCAGCCAAAAAGTTCCATCATCTTAGCCCTTTTTTCCCCCGTGGTCAACCCCTCCCCCTCCCACGCCATCGAGAAAAGCATACCTCTTGCGGCAACAACCCCACGGTGCTTCGCCCATCCTCGACCTCAATGTGTCCAGGATAGCCGTCGCCCGGGTAGAGGCACAGGCCAAAGTGCTTGTGCGCCTGGTGCTCGAGCAGCAGCGCGAGAAACTCCTTGACAAAGACTTGCAGGCGAAGGTCGTGCCAGTCGACCGCGGCCGCTTCGAGGGAGAACTCGACGGGTATGACGCGGCCGTCGGCCGTGTTGACGCGCCAGACGGCCGGCTCGCCGAGCTGGCTCGGGGCCGGGCTCTTGTTGGTGCCGCGGACGGCCGTCATGCGCTCGCCGGCGCGGAGCTGTCCGTGGCGGTGCAGCAGCGCGAGGCCAAACGTGTCCTGGACGTTGTGGCGGCGAAACAGGTCCTTCATGAGGTGTCTGGCGAGGCGGTCGCCCTGGCAGGTTCGGTAGGCGGCCGCGGCCGAGGAGACGTCGGGGAGGGAGTTGTAGGCCATGGTGGAATAGTCTACCGTTCGGGCAGGTCGGGCCTGGGTCTGCATTCCTCCGGGCGAAGAAGAGGGAGGAGGTTCGGATGGAGTAAGGAGGATGGTAATCAAGTATAGAGGTTGCTTTGCAAAGAGAGAAAGAACAGGGCAGAAGTAAACGAAGGACAAAGTTTACACGTTGGCAAAGAAAAACCGCCTAAGTTGGTAGGACAAGGCTCACAACGAATTAGAGATGGCGTGTACTGTAATTTCCCAGCCGCGTGCTGGCAAGATGAGAAGCGCCAAAGCCAACGCTTTATATTTGGCGGTCCCCCGTATGCAATTGGAAGGCCCCCCCCCCTGCGTGATTCTCTGCAGCCTTGTGAGGTTACTCAACTTGACGGTTGCAGTCGGCAGGCTACGCGGAACTGGCAGGCTGGCTAGCTCCATCTCCCTCTCCCCCCCGCGCGCGCTCTCTCATCCCCCGCTGCTGGGGTGGCGTTGCCTTTGCTCGCCTCGTTTGCAATCAAGATCGGCCTCGAGCTACCCCGACATGGTGGGGAGGGGGGTGTATGGTGATGGTAATGGGGGTTAGTTACAATGGTTGATATCTGGGAGCACACGACCAGATTCCCGGGGCTTCTCTGAAAATTACGAGGGCGTGTTGAATCTCTGCTTCAACGCTTAGACAAAAAGGCTCACCTTGGGTGGGGGCTTGTGCTACACCAAACGGTGCGCAGGAAGGGTTGGAGTGAGGCAGAAGCGACGCTGCGGTGACAACACATGAAGCCAGTATCTCCTTGCCTGATTCACTTTCGGCGATGTACTGGCCTCAATGATCCCTCAATTTTCCTTCGAGATCTCCTTGAGCTCTTGATACATGGTAGATCCCGACCTGTTCTCAAATCTGCCATGTAGATGAACAAGTCCACAAGATCTCTAGAGCAGAATACCATCTCCTCATGATGAGGGGGGGATTGGGGATTGGCGACAATGACAACGCATAGACAGGGATCTCCAAGCAATTAGCTACCCCAAAAATTCTACAAGGCGAACGCAGGGTGTGCGCGCCGAGGTGTACCGCTTACCGCGCAGCTTTGAATGGGCGAGGACTCGCAGCCACCCTCGAGCCCAGAATCCCGGGACATGATCCGGGAAAAAAGAAGCAAACAAAGCCCAAGAAAGAAATCATGCAGCCCAGTTGAAATGACGGAAGACGAGACCCAGTCCTCTGCAGAGTACAAAAGGCATGTGACGGCGACGTCCAGCGAGCGTTTGGATGCACCTCGCTATCTTGACCCCGAAGGCAATGGTTCGCCTGGTTCGCATTCCCCTTCCCATTGTCTGAGAGTATTGACGCTATTGAGGAGCTGGAGCTGGACCGAATTTTTCTTTTTTTTTTCTTTCATAACTAGGGTATCCGGGCCGCCATGACGCCATCCTTCTGAAGCCAATAACCAAAAACACATTCTTTCTTGGTGTAACCACCCCCCTCGAGCAATGTTACTTGAGGAACCTCCACACCGGTCTGGCGATTCTCTTTGTTTCGAGGAGGAGGGGGGGGGGACGAATAGTCTGAGAGCGGATGGATACGCGGCAGGCATGTTGGATCCGGTTCGTTTCCCATTTGCAGCGCCTGCCACCGGCATTGCGCGTGCGGCGTGTTCCGCGGGTCTGTGACACCCGAGACCCGGATTGTAAAAAGAAAAAAAAGAGAAAAAAAAAAGTAAAAAGAGGCAATTCTTTCAACAGTAACAAGAACCTCTACATACCGGCAGCACATGGCAAAAGCATCCGGTTGGGGGGGTGTCAGTCACTGATTCAATCAGCTCAGCGCTTCTCGCTGAAAGGGCTTCGTCGTCGCCCTGACCGTCTGCTATTTCGGTCAAGATGTTCCATTTCAGGTTCTTTTGATTTCATCAACAAACCAAGGCGGTGTCAAGGAACAGAAATCAGAGCCGAAATCCGTTTTAGAATCGAGTTCGTTGAACGTGATCACACTCGTGGGGGGGGGGGGGGGGGGCGAGTCCATGGGGTAACCAACGGCAGCTGCTCGTTGGTGCCGGCCGCATCTTTTTGTGCAAAAGAAGCCGTGAAAATCTGCACGTGTTTCCTGTGTTTGCAGCAGTAGCTCATAGACTCTGCACGTGCGTGCGCGCCTGCGTTGTGTGTTCTTTGTATGTCCCCGCTATGCCAGAGACTGGTCCTCGCATATGCATCCAACCTTTTGCCTGCGAAGGTACTCGTCTTTGCGTAATGTACAGATCAACTATTGATGATGCTGAGACATGGTCATTCTATCATGCATAGAGTGCAACCGGTCGATTTGAAAATGGCATCCAAGTGTAGCTGGAGGCTATTGGGTGCACTGCCGCGGAAAAAAAGTGCAAACGAGCGAACAAAGAGGCGTGAAGGAATGAATCTTGTGTCCCTGTCGCAAACACACACATTGGCAAACATACGTCGGAAGGGTCTGATTTTGACACGGGTCGGGAGAATTCAAGAAGTCAAATGTCGAATTAGTTGCATCTCAGACGTCATCTTAGTCGCCATCTTAAAAGACAACTCCCGTATAGGCGCGACCATCTACCACCCACTTATGAGTACCTATGAAGGGGACAAAGAATGCCCATCTAGCTAGTGAAAAAAGTAAATAGAGGCCCTCGTGGATACAAAAGTTCTGCGCCGGCGACCCCTCCATCATCGATCAATTTGTCGTGGGTGGCTGCGCCGCCACCACTTTTATAATAGCGAACTATAAAGTTGAAACTTGGTAGAAGCTGCTGGAAGAGATGCATAAAACGTGGCCGTGAGAACAATGTCCGGAAAATGAAGCTTTACAAGCCACGTTCAAGAAAAAGTTGTTACCTAGGTAGAGTTGGACGCGGTGTAGGGTAGAGTCACTAAGAGCGGCCAGTATTCGCTGCTGATGGTTGCCCGGCGGCTGATGATTAACTGCTGTTGATTGACTGGCTGTTGATTGACTGGCTGTTGATTGACTGGCTGTTGATTGACTGGATGTTGATTGACTGGATGTTGATTGACTGGATGTTGATTGACTGGATGTTGATTGACTGGATGTTGGCTAAACAGCCGCCTGGCTGAGACCCCGGCAAGGCGTCTGCCACGAAACTCACTTTCTCTGCACGTTACTTCTTCACGCTACTTCTTCCTTCCTTCTTTACTTTCAACACTTCTTCTACTCTATACATACAAATACGGTCCGTCTTTCTTGGCTCTTTGGACTTTCTTTTACACACTTCTTCCTTTACTCTTGAATCTTCTTTGACTCTCTACACCTCTTGCTTCGCTCTTTTACGCTTCATTTGTTCTTTCTAACAAAAAGTTCCTTCTTGAATAATGGCTTCGCATGAAGTTGAAGTCGAGTGGCAGTCGTTGATGGCCCTCGACCTGCCACCGGCGCCAGCGAATATTCGCCTCAGTCACTACAGAGACAAGGCGCAATTTATGGAAGGTCTGGCCACAAGATACAACGAATATGCAGACTCAGAGGAGACCCAATTTGGATGCTTTCAGCTGGCCATTTTTGCCATTGCGAGTCCTGCTACCATTGATGCCGTTCAGAATGATGATAAAAAGCTCCTCGAAGTGGGTGATTCGGCAAAAGATCTCGTCAAGTTTTGTAGGTAGTCAGCCAATGGGTCACAGAGGGGAACTCTACTAACATTGTCCAAGTCATCAACGGCTATGACCTCAAAGTAGCCGAGACGGTCAATGAGTCCAAGCAGCCGTCTGACCAGGGTAATACCCCCGCTGTTGTCGAAAGCGCCGCCGTCAAGCCCACGGCCACAGCAAATCCTGCTGAAACCACCCTATCGAGCCTCTTTGCTCGTACTTTCGGAAGTGTTCGGCGATTTGTCCCCTACCACTTCGCGTCCTCACGAACGCCACCAGAGCAGCCAACTACAAGTTCTGAACCTGCTCCAGACCCTGAACCATCGACAGGAGGCCTCAAGAGTCTGAAAAGAAAAAGAAGTCATAGCGATTCAAGTTCATCAACTCTTTCGGACACAGTTTCGGTTTCTTCAACTGTTTCCAACACAATTCATCCAGTTGCCAACATGCCAAAGACTGTACCCCCCCGACGATCGCCTCCCACAGCCTGTGGGCGAGGGGTCGTAAACTTGGTAGGTAACACGTATTGCAAGTAATTACCACATGAATAGCAAGCTAACAAATGACAATCGGGTCAACTAGCGGGATAATTGCATGTGCATCGTCACGAAAAGCAAGTGTGGCATCGAAGCCGCGCACATCTTACCCCACGCCATGAACTCGACTCAGGAAGGCATCGACCTTTTCAAATCCATGTCGGGTTTCGGCCAGTCAAGATAACTGCTGATGACAATGGCTACCGTTGGAAAGTTTATTTTGCGGTCCACTGGCTCGGGAAAACAAAAATACGACTTGCAACACCATGTTGCACAGAGGCAACGCAACTTAGATTCATGCTGGATGTCCGGGAGGAATTCTCGGCGAACAAAGCAAGATACAGCATCTTCGACGCCGATACGGGTGCTCGGATCGCAGACGGGACAGAATACTTTGTCGAAATGTGTACCCTGGATTATGCAAAAAAAATGTATGACTGCCTTGGTCTCAGCTGGGTCGTACGGAGTATACTGTTCATGGCTGGTGGGGCTGGAACCCCAGACGCCAAACCCAAAAGTGATTTTGAATACTGGGACCCCGACTTTGATATCGCGGATCCCGACGAAGCAAGAATCGACCAAAAGAGATATGAGGAATATCTTTTGCGACAATTTGGCACCAAGAATCCGAGACTCCAAGACGTGTCTGGAGACCTCGATGCCACTGAACGCGTTCGGGATCAACTTCCATCACACATGTCATAATGGCATTATCATGACCAGATTTCCTCCTTTCGCGAACTGCCCGTGGATTGACCTTGCCAGCGACTGCGCTTCTCTGCAGCGACCACGATGGTGAACACGACGCTTAAAGCTCTTCCGCCAGAGGTGCGCCGCTTTATTCACAAGGAGCTCGCTTTCACCGACCTAGCGAATGTGGCAGCGGTCTGGCCTAGAGCTAAGATCGAAGTCCAGGAGTGGACGACAAATGCGTCACTCAACCTGGACAATCTTCGACACCTGAGCGGGATGGCTCCTGTGACATTGCACGTTGCATAGGTCAGATTACAAGGTAGGTTTACTCTGCGCTTTTTTATTTAATCATATCTATCTAACACTTATGCCGCCATAGGAGTTTAGCTATCGAGTTGCCAAACCCGGTCATTCGCACGATGAAACCTGCCGCGATACGATTTGGTCTATTGTCTTTGACATGATGAATAATATGCCTAACCTGCGCGTATTCGCTTTAACGGGAGAGGATTCGTGTCTCCCCGGTAGCTTGTGCGCATGGCTAAAGCAACACACGGAAAGCAAGTTGTGGCATCGAAGCGGCGTACATCTTGCCCCACGCCATGCCGAGCGCTTTCCGTTGTTGCGTTCCCTATCTATAACAAGAGCCACGTCGGGTTCGGCCAGTCAAGATGTGTCGTAGTAAAAATGCGGATCCACACCTTCATTGATGTGAATTTGGCCTTATACGTCCATAAGATGATTATCTATGGCTGGTGGGGCTGGGAATCCTGACGCCGATCCCAGAAGTGATGGATACTATGATCCTGAAATCGATATCGTTCATCCCGACCAAGACAAAATTGACCAGAAGAGATACGAGGAATATCTGCAGTGAAGATCAAGAAGAAGCATCATAGATTCGAACTTCTAAAACAAGCTGGACCAGCCTGTCAGGTAGGGCATGATTACGAGACTAACTGGACTACCTAGGACGTGAGGGACAACTTATCAACTGGGAACTGATATATCTTTTGGGCCTTGGCGACGGAGTGGTTAACCGTCGCAGGCAGCCTTCGTGGACTCTATCCACGTAAGGTCGTTGGTTCGAATCCAGCCAGGGTCGCAACTTAACCTGTGTCGACTACCTTGCGTTATTACTCTGTACAGGAGTAGTCAGACTGCTCTTCTTCTGTGCGGACGGATGAAAGCCAGCACCTGCAGCGCTGTGGAGACGCATGGGGCAAACATATCAGGACAGTGTACGGAGTTGCTTGATCATGGAGTGGAACAAAGACATATACATTAAAGAGACATGTGTGTGTTCAACGCCCCTGCGTGTGTATGGAGCAAAGCAAGAGTAGAGTATGCGTAAATCGTGATGCTGATCACTTATTCCTTTCCTTTGTAAGTTACGGCTGACCTAAATAGGGTCTTGTTGCTGTGGCATTTAAATTGCGGGGCTGGTCATAACATAGTTCCTGTTTGGAAAGGCTGTATCCACAAGGTCACGCCGTGAAGTTAAAGTCAGGCTTGAAAAGCGGCCATGGCCCATTGGTGAAATGCAGAGTCCAACAGCATCACAAAATGATCAAATTTATTCTTTCTCTGGACTGAATCTGTATTGATAGAAAGGCTGTCGCCTAGCTGATTGCTTCACATTTGATCTCTGTTTATAAATGAAACAAGTCTGCCGCTCTTGGCAGCTAGCAGTGATTGATTTAGCGCTGGCTTCATCGCCCTCGCGCCTAAACTCTCACCTTTGACATGACCACACACAGATTAACATCACGAAAGACTTTACAAAACGGCCAGTTTAATCATTCTCAGACTCTTTTCTATTATATAAAGGCGTGATATAACGTTTTTCTTTCAAATACATTCATCTCTTACATGCCAAGCAAGGCAGGGCAAGGGACCAGCGACAGCCATGATATGTTTACTGGTAAACACAGGTAAAATTGGCCATGCCACCCCGTAAAGAAAACCTTGTTTGGAACTCTATTGGCCTATTCACCCTCACCCCTCCGAGTGTCAATGTCTTGTCAAATCAGAAGTGCCATTTCACACAAGTTTTCTCAAACACTCGTTACAGAAGTGTACCACGTTTGCCTGCTTATGTCAGTACCTAGCTGGCATGATCTGCTGCTGCAAGCAGCTGCTCAGCCTCCATTGGTTTGGTGGGGTCACGAGCTGGCGGCCCGGTAAACAAGGCCCCGTAAATAGTGTGCACCACGCAAACCCCAACAAACAGTTACACGCCCAAGACCAGGTCCGAAAATCGCTTCCCTTGATCCTTTTTCTTTTTCTCTCCTTTTCGAGCACGTCATTTTCGGGAATCTGTATAGTAGGCCTATCTCATCAGATCTGTCTCGGAACGGCACCAGCGACAAGATACGTCCTGGCGCTTGGACTAGCCTGATCTGCGCAGCCTCACCCTGCACTTTGGACTGCTGACCGCAACTGCGTCCGCTCACCTTTTTCTTGCTCGGTTAGACATGTGCTGCGCTCATTAACATATGCGCGCATAGTTTTTTTTCCAGCATCTTTTATACAAATCTCGAGCTGTATGAGCCTGTTGCCCTCGTCTACCCCACCTCAAGCACATTCCAACCCAGCACTTCCTCACCCCACGCAGCTGAGCATTCCATCTCGCCTTGCCAGATGACGTACCCGTCGGGCTTCAGCATGCCGGGGGCATTTCACAACGACGTCGGCGCGACGACAGCCTCACCGCCTCTCATCTTTCGACCTCCCGTATCCTCGCCCTCGCCGTCGGCTTCTGCCTTTCTCGAGCGCCGCCGGCGCAAACGAGGTCGCCCAGGCACGGCTGCCACTGCCGATGATGATGCGCCCGCCGTCGTGAGCCTCTTTGGCGCCGCCGCCGTGCCGCAGCACACGCCTGTCAAGGCATACGCCCTCGCCGGCACCCTCGACACGCCAGACCATGCAGAGGCGGATGTTTTGGGCGAGAGCATGTACTCGGACTCCAACTACCGGACGGCTCTTGGGTCGAAGCGCTCCCGCCACGACAACGACGACGACGACGCATCCAGCGGCGGCGCCCCGACATCGCTGTTCCGCCACGAGCCGCCCGCATCAGTACCACAGGGATGGGGCAGCGTAGCCATCAGCGCCGTCGGCGGCGTCGTCGGCCGTGTGTGGGAATTTTGCAAAGCGGGTGCCTTCAAGGGCTTCTACGCGGGCGGCGGCCGGGGCTTCGCTATGACTTTGACAGGGGCCACGGTGGAGAGACCCGACGACGACGCTCCCCTGCCACCCGCCGACGACTACTCCTGCAACTACCACTTTCACCATTACGACGACTACGAGCACCGCGTGCCGGGCCACTTTCCCGCCTCGCAGACCGACGACACCTCGTACCATTTCCGCGCCGTCGTCGACGACGCTGCGCCGCCGACCCCAGCCAACAAGGAGCAACATCACCGCTACCCCTGCCAACCTGCCAGTCCGTCCCCTAGCATCCCGGCCGCGAAGCGTCGACAGACGACGCACGCCGACGACCTAGGCCGGAACTGGGTCTTTGTCAACGACGGCGCACACAACAATAGTCGTAGCAGCAGCAGCAGCCACCGATCGTCACCCCGAAACCGCAACTACACGCCCTCGGTGACGACGGGCCGCCGCATCTCGGCCACCCCCAACAGCAGCCGCGCCTCGATGCCGTCCGCCCCCCGCTTCTCCTACCGCCCGGAGACGCCCTCTGAGCAGCAGCAGCGTCGCCCTCCCTCATCCGCCTCGTACGCCTCCCCGCGGTCCGCCTCCCCGACCAAGCCCGCCTCGATCCCCTACACCCACCACCATCCCTACACCACCGCCAGCACCGCCTCCATTGCCTCACCCTCCCAGACACACTCCTACTCGGGCTCCCAGTCCCGCGGCAGCGTTGGTGGTGCCGGCCACCGCCGCAGACGCAGCGGTACCGTCGCCAGCACCAGCGCCCATCGCCGCGCCAACAGTGCCGCGTCGGCCGCGTCGAGCCGCGGCGACTCCGGCGAGTCGCATTCGCCCCGCAAAATCGACAGCCCCCGCCTCGACGCCGAGGCCAAGCAGCTCGCCGCCCGCCGCAAGATGGAGGAACGCGACGCCGATGTCCGCATCTCGGCGTTTAACAAGCGTCTGCAAGACATGATTCGACAGGGCAAGGAGGCGCTGGGCACCACGGTTGAGATTGACGATGCGGCCGGCGACGACTGGGTCGACGAGGAGTAAAAGAGGGGGGGTAAGAAAAAGTCTGGCGTTTCTTTCGTGATTTCTTTCACAAACCCCCCCTCCCCTTTTCTTTCCTTTGTCAATATTATATCCATTATACCTCTTGTTGTTCTGCATGTGCACATGGCACATGGTTTTTGCGTCGGAAGAACAAACAGATTGCTGGCCTTGTTGAGCCTTGATGTGTTGGGACACACTTTTTGTTTTTTTTTTTTTTTACTAATGATGGCTGCTGTTTTTACTTTTGAGCGCATATAGTCAAGATTTACCGTTGGAAACCTTTGGACAGACTTTACAGGAACATGGCCAGCGCATATGAGAACCGGTGCTTGTTGAGAAGAGGCCTTCATTTTGTTGGTATAGTCGTGGAAACAAGCCTCTTTAGAGGCGCGCTGTATGGTATATTTGGTGTAAATACCTTCGCTAGCTTACGCAAATACAACATGACAATACAAGCATTGCCTCAGTCTGCTCCCGAATCGCTTCCATTCTTCCAGCGACGTAATCGTCTCAAAAGTCCCTCACATCTCGAAACAGATCATACTTGGGCTCGTACTGGACATCCCAGACCGCGCCGCGCCGCGCGACACGCTTCCGTCTCGCAAACACAAATCTCACCGCCCTCATCATCCGGTTCCCAACCCTGGCCGCCCAGTCCCACAAGCAGCTCATCCAACCGCGCGTCTCCTCTCCTGCCGGCAGCCGCCGCTGCTCCCCCAGCTTCTCCTCCTCCTCCTCCTCCTCCTCCTCCTCCGCCTCCGCCTCCGCCGCAAGGACGCGTCTACCGTCCCGCAGCGGGCTGCTGTGCCTCACCAACGGCGTCGGCCGAAAGGGCTCGACGACGGCGCCCGCGCGCAGCAACGCCAGACGGCCCAGGTGACCCGTGTCGCGTCGCAGCCGCCGCCACTCCGTCATCTCGTCGTGCGTGAGCGTGCGCGTCGTCGGTCCCGAGGAGGAGACGGGCCAGGAGGAGCCAAGGCCTAGGGACGAGGTGCTGCGAAGGTAGGGGGGTGGCGAATGGTCGACCAAGTCGTGATATTGGCAATCGGCGAGGAGGTGGTCGTCATCGTGGCTGGAGGACTCGGCAATGTCGTCGAGGAGCTTGCCTGTAAAGGGCGGGGCATTTGGAAAGTGCGTCATTGTCTGTGTGTGTGTGTGTGTGAACGCGGATGTGATTTTGATGCTTGGTTTGGTAAGGAGTGGGATATGGATGGATGAATAATAATTTACAGATGTACATGCTATGCTCGAGATTTTGGTGTTGATGATGCAGAGGTTGAGGCCGCACCTGCCCCCGTGTAAGTGAGCTTCGGACTTGGCAACAATGAAAGGTCATGTATTGCTCTGCTCCTCTCGCTACTTTTTAGATGATGAAGAGTATACAATTAGAGTATCACTATTAAATAAAAGATGGTTGGCAGTGGTAAATATTGCGTCTTGCTCATTATTGATTTACGCAAAGTTCTTCAACATGTCAAAACGGTTGAACGCATCGCGTGCACGAATCAAGGCCATACAAGTACCGCATCGCAACAGAATAATCGACCACTTGCATTCAGAATTTTTGGAACCGTCTTATGCTTTGTCGAGATTTGCTTTGCACGTCTAGGTGGCTGCTGCGTGAGTAGGCGAATGTCGCCCCTTGTCCGTCGCTTTGTGCCAGAGAGCGACCCCAAAAGTCGCGGCTGTGCGATGGACACGATCATCGGCCAAGGATCGTGCACAGGCCCCGGGGGCGGGGAAAACCCCCTCCCCCTCGGCGTCGTGGGGAGGCTTTGCACGGCATCAACGACGGTGCTTGCTCGCTAGAGCATGTGTGTGTATATTCATACTGCAGGGGTCAAAGAAATAAAGCTTTGCTGGTTTGCAGTTTACTTGGTATTCAACATAAAACTCGACCAAGCATGGACCCTAGAAAAAAGGCTGCCGTTTCTCCCGAGAAGAAGGCGCTTCATCATTTGGCAAATGCATGCAGCACCAAAAGTGCTCAACTGAGACTCGCAAAAACCGGGGACCGATTCCAGACCTCTTTGGGATCGCGAGACACAACGATTCGCTGTGGTCCCCCATTTGCCCATGTGGTTTGGTAAAATTGGGCGCCTGCCTCCCTTGCTCTCACAAGGCCAAGCCTCGCCCTCCCCGCTCCAGTGTGTGGCGGCGTTGTGTATTAAAAGTGCACACAAGCAAAACATTCCTGCTGCTTCTTTTGACAGCTTTTTTTAAAAATAGAAGCAAGACTAGTGGGCATTGGCATGGGGGAGGGAAAAAGCGGATAAATGTCTTGGGGCTTTCACTCACACCGTCCACACCTGCCGTTTTTTTAGGTACCATGCGTGTCTCGCCAAGGATACAAAAGAGAAGTCTCGATTCTTCTCTTGTTGGCTACTCAATTTGACTAGTTAATTCCATTGGAGGGAAAGAAATAAAACAGGCAGGTGTGGCTGGAAAGCTGTGAAAGAAAATGAAGAATGAAGAAAAAGAAGTCTCAGGACTTTCAGCTGCGCGCAGTCAGCCTCGGCGCAATAACCCTTTGTTGGGGCTTGTAGGATCGCAAACAGCATCCTTCATATTGCAAACGTTTGAAATGAGGCGCGTTTGGAGTCCTCTCAAAGGCCACAAACCGCCAACCCAGCCACCCACCCAACTCGAAACCAGCCAACAACCATCTATAATCTTGCATGGCCAACAGGCTCCTCTGACCACAACTAATGCGCCGCGCAACCTTTCGTCGCCCAAAATGCCCAAAACCCGTCTTTTTTTTTTTTCTTTTCTTTTTTTTTTTTTTTTTTTGATTCTGCAAGACTAGAAAACCTCCGACTGACAGAATCTGGGCGCGCGCCACAATTACTGGTCACTTTGGAAGTGGTTCGATGTCTCACCAACAAACCCCAAAATTTCCAAGACAGTTGTAATCTCCCCCCCGTCTCGCGCGCCGGCCACCGTTTTCTGGCACCAGACACACTTTTCCCCTCGAACTGTTCGTGCGCTCGGTACCTGAGAGCCTGAGAGGAGAAATGATCCAAGACATTACTGTGGTTTTCTTTCATTTCCCTTCCCCTTCTCCCCCCTTCCCCTCCGTTGGATAAGTAGGCCTGAGTTCCCTCCGATGTAGTCTTGTCAACCTGCCCTTGCTACATTGTCCGAGTCTCTCTTCGCCAATCATCTAGAGTTCGAGAAAAAGAAAACCGACCTTGCGTCTTTTCTTCAACCTCAGCACACAGCCAGCAAATATCACAATGAAGGTGAGAAGCTTTCCTCACTCCCATCCCATCCCCCTTGACGCGCGCGCGCCCCGTCGTCTAGATTGCGCCTACGACAAAACACGCCAACGAAAATTGTATACAATCGAGCAAGAAATAAAACGGCATGTTAACACTGCTCGCTTTTCAAAAGGCCTCACTCACCCTCATCCTCGCGGCTGCCCTTGGCGCGCTCGCCTCTCCCGTCGACCACGTCATCCATCGCCGCTTCACCTGCGCTGACCGTCTCGACGGCTACTGCCACGCCTCCAACGTCAACTCGTACTGCGAAAACGGCGAGTTTCGCTCCAAGGCTTACGAGACGTGCAAAAACTACTGCAGGCATGTCTTTTCTTTTTTTTTTCTCCCCGCTCCCATATCCCCAAGCGTGTGGTTCTGAGCCTGTGCTTACCATGTCCCTAGGTGCTAAAACGACAGCCTTGCGCGCGTATGTGTTTGTATGACAGAAACGGCGTTTTGGGAGAGGAAATGAGGGTAGAGGGGGTAGGTTTGGCCATTGAATCTGGCTACGACATCTTTATTCCTCTTTGTTTTGATGCCTGGTCGTTATGGGGTGCGTTTTTTCATGAGCAATTGCTACGAGATCAGCCTTTCTTTTTCTTTCTTTCTTTTCGTCTCTTTTTTGGTTCTTATGCTTGCTCGCTTTTGACTTTGCCTGCCTGTATGAAACTTGCATGTATTGTTTGATATTAACGCGTGAAAACTTTGAAACTTATCCAAAAAAAAAAAAAAATCTACAACGCCTGCCTATACGCCTTTGCTCGTGTACATGCTTTCAAATCAAATAAATCTATATATATAATCTCATCAACTCCGTAGCAGCATCCCTACGTCCTGTAATTCTGACGAAGGCGCCGTTCGTCCTCGGTCAATACGGCCCCAGCCCGCTCCCCAAGTCGGCGGATCAACATGTCCCGCTGCCAATGTGGCGGCGCCCACGTTATTACTCCGACTGTTGTTGCCACGTACATAGGCCGTTTCGTCCGAGGCATCGTCCCGCTGCGTTCCGGCACTTCGCCGCATCATGGCAATCTCTTCGCTGTCCGACGTGCTATGCATCTTGCGCTTATCGCGGTGGCCGAGGATGCGCCACTGCGAGGACCGCGTCTTGTCCGTTGTCGTCCTCTCGGAAGCGGCACCGACCATTTGCGGCGACGACATGATGCCGATACGAGGTGAATGGTGCCGACTACCACGGCGACCGCCGCCCCAGCATACAGAACGCTGGTGGAAACCGGCGGGCTCGCCCGCGCCGCAGAAGCCGAGGAGCTCTTTGGGATGCCACCACGCTCGCGGTGGGCGAAACGCCTTGATGCTGCCGTTACAGCCGTCGTTGTAGCTCGTGTGCGGCTCTCCGGAGAGCTCTTCCAAAGTGATGCCTTTTGTTTCGGGAATGAGCAGCGAGACCAAGGTCCCGAGCAGCATGAAAAGTGCAAATAGCTGCAGCAGGTGGTCGAGAGACGGTGAGCACTGATTTCCCGTACAACTTGCAGGCGCTTCGTCGGAGCTGTCTTGCTTGAGGAGCGGAATACTGATCGCTTGAGCGACAATGGCACCAATTTTGCCCATGGCCGCGGAAATGCCATGCGCAGTGGCCCGATACCGTGTCGGAAAGCACTCGGCAGGCAAGATAAAGGTCGTCGTGTTGGGACCGGCGTTGAATAGGAACTGCCCGATTATGTACAGCGCGAGCGTTGAGCCCCCATTGAGAGAGTCCAGTGCGAAGCCGAGTACGCAAAAGATAGCTGTGAGGAAAAGAAAGCCAAACACTTGAAGAGGCTTGCGGCCAACTGTATCGACAGTCAGCATGGCCGTCCAGTATCCCGGTAATGAGCCCGCGCAGGTCAAAATGATGAGTCCCAGGGCTTGATTTCGCAGCTTGTAATACAGCGATTTGCCGCTGCTGTAGCCAATGGCTTGCAGGACAACATGATTGTTCAAGCCCAGTCCGTAAAAGGCAAGATCCTTTCCAGGCGTGTTAGTAGATTTTAGTCAATCAACGAGGTAAGCTACTCACAAGAAAGAACCAAGACAGCGAGGTTCCGACAATGGCCCGCATGTTATGCGGCTTCAAGAAGAATTCTTTCGCGTCTGCCCACGACGCTTTTGGCACGGAAAGGGTTGCCGGCCGGAGCAGGGTGTTGCTAGTAGAAACCGTGTCTTTCGGCCGAGTGCTGGAAACGTAGGCGCGGATATCGGCGTCGGCCCTGTCGACGTCGTGCTGTACATCAAAAGTATAGCGAGGAGTTTCGGGAATGGTAATTCTATAGTACATGGCGAGGCATGCCGGGATGGCGCCAACACCGACAATGATTCGCCAAGAGCGGTCAGCGGCAACCCGACAAGCGGCATCGCAGGAACCGTTGGGACCGATGCCATCGTAGGCGCTTTGAAATGCGACAGTCGTGATGAGGCTGACCACTGCAGCCATGAGCTGGCCGAGGCCCTGCATGGAGAAGACGGCCGCAATCAAGCCGCCACGCCATCTCGTCGGCGCGAATCTATAAACATGAGCATTCTGGTAGCGACGGATGTAGAGCGTTTGGCTTACTCGGAAGTGATGACACTGGCCAGAGGGTAGTCGCCTCCAACTGCGATGCCCTGTCTGAAAGTTAGTCACGAGTCAGATTCGACATCCAGATAGACGCACCAATAAGACGCGCCAAAAGATCAATACACCCGGGCTGCTCATAGAAGGGCTCCCGGAAGCGAGTGCACAGCTGAATATCGTAAAGAGGACGATGCCTAGTTCGATGCCGTACATGCGACGCCGTCCATATTTGCTGGCAATCGTTAGTTGGTCGCATGTCAAGAGAAATCAAGGCTCACGTACTCGGCAAGCCACCCAAACAAAATCATTCCTATTACAGTTCCGGCGCTTGTAGAAGCCTTGAGCGCTTCACTGATTGTCGCAGGTAAACGGCCACTGTCATTGCCTTCATGGCTATAGTATGCCAAGCCCACCAGAGGAGCCACAAAGTTGATGGCAAAGATGCTATAGGAATCCAAAAGGAAGCCAGCGCCGGCAACAAAAACAGCTCGGACATCTATATTGATGGTCAGTTAGCACTAATCCCTGATTTACATGCCTTTTCTGCTCAGGCATTTGAGGTGACACATACGGCACGTTCCGAACGGAACCTTGTCAACGTCTGATAGCGCTAGCCGTCGACGCAAATTAGCGTCTGGGATGTGAGAGTAGTCGTTATAATAGTTGTGAAAGGCCCTGTTGCCACCCCGCGTGTAACTGGAATGTGCCGGCGTCTGTGCCGGCGGCGGCAGCATCTGATCGGAGGACTCGGGCATGGCGATTGTTGTCGGCGACCCCAGTCTTCCGTCGTCGCCCAGCGGGCAGGTAGCTTAGAGTGCCGCGTTTTGGCTGGGCCGCTCTGTGCAGGCGCAAGGTTCCAAGTCTCGATAAAAAGAACTTGTAATCAAGGTGTGTGATTTGATCCGAGAGGGAGAGACGGCACGAAGTTGAAGGACTGAAAATTTCGGCGCATGCCGTCTCCGTCGCGAGTATCCCTTTGTCGTGGTGGGCAACGGTTTAATGCGTGCGATTAAGACATGGATGGCCCCCGACTTGGCAGCGGGTCGAGAAGCGGAACGCGGTTTCGGCTCAATTGCCGGCGCGAGGGCAAAGCTTCAGAGACCCAAGAGAGGCTGGCATGCGAGGTGAAGATGATGGGTTTTTTTTGGTTATGTGTTCGATGTAGATATTGTGGGAGTGTTTGTCGTACAGCACGGGTGACACGGGCAGATATTTAGTTCTGTTCAGAGTTTCAGGGCAGTTTAGCGAGCCCACAACAGGCAAGGCCACCAAAGAAGACGACGGAACAACCTGCAACTCACTATAGCCCTCTGTAACACTCTACCTAGGTACCTACCTAGGTACTTAGGGCAAGACTGGACAGCATGTGCACCGTGCAGTTTGCGTACACTAAAAAGGACACAGTAGGTACGTATTTAGGCAGGTGGCAGGTCGAAAGGCATTTAGTAGGCATGCGGCAGCCGCTTCAAGACGGACAATCATGCACTTGACCACAAAACCGGCATTCGTCCAAACCGAAGATGAAGTTTGGAGGCGACGACAAAGCGGCGAGGGGTTGTGGTCTCATATTTACAGCGCGTAGCGCCCTCCACACCCTTCTTACGCCATTCCGGCCCACTGAAGACGAGAAGCCATGGCCGCCCGACGATCCTGAATGGTGTGTTTGGCCCCCTGTTGTTTAAATAGCAAAAGTTGGCTTATTACCTGCTAGGTAGGTAGCAACTAGCAATCAATTTATTGCGCCTGCCCCGTTTATACTCGACAGAGTAGCGTCGTTTCCCCCACGTGCAGCCATCCCATCCGACCCAGCCAACCAACCAGCCCTCTCAGCACCACAGCGAGCCCCTCCTAGTTCCATGGCTGTGCCTAAATAAATTTACAGCCCGACTCGGAAGTCCGACCCGTCACCTTCTATTCGAATTTCTAGAATTTCTACGAGGTCTGAATCGTCGGCACATGGCTTGGCTTGGCTGGGCGGAATTCCCGCCCCTCATCACACCTCCTGCTTACCTGTCGCCCTTGCTTGCTAGTTAGATGGCAGAAACACCAGACCTGCAATTTCAACCCCGTCTGCATTACGATATCATACAGGCCGTTTATGATTGGTTTGCGACTTGGCCAAATGACTCGCTCTCCTAAATTGCTTTGTTTCTACTCATCGGCCACCGCCGCGTGGGCCTACCACCACCCGAATGGGGCTAAATTTAGTCGTCGCGAGTAACTAAGGCAGTTATTAGGTAAACAAGTCGGTCGCTCACTGATCAAGGCCGAGCGAGGCTGCATGATGGCGCGACACAAAGCTACGACAACGGGTAGCAAACCATAAAGCTGCAAAACTATCACCAGCGTAATTATACGCGTAATTTTACGCGCAAGTATAAAGATAAATACGAAACATTTGTTCGCTTGTTTTTTTTTTTTAAATTCTCATTTCATCATGTCTCTAGTCTACCTTTTTTTTTTTCACATCTATCAAGTTTACGCATCCTGGCCTCCTTTTTATCAAATCCGAGGCCAGCCTCTCGTCAACGAAAAGGCTAAACTGCCGACTCAAGCTACAGTTTGGTCCTCGCAGGCGCCCCAATCTCTTGACTGAAAATCGCGCCGGGCTCTTCTCCAGATGATCGTTGCCTGATCTCGCGTGGCTTTTCGTCCCTACCATGCCGTAATGTCCTCGACCTCTGCCTCGCCAAACGTGCTCGACTTGGTAATCTTGCCCACCCCCACCTCTTCCGCTGCCGCACCCTCTTTGCTCATAATGTCGGGGAGAACCTCCTTGAGGAATGCCAGAATGTGCCGATTCACCTGCTCAAACTGCAGCAGGAAAGCGTCGTGGCCCTCGGGGCTCTCGATGCGCTCTAACCTGGCGTCCTTGACGTGCTCGGCAATCTCTCGCTGCTCCGCAAACGTAAACAGCCCATCGCTCTCGATACCGAGCACCAGGGTCGGCTGCTCAATCAAAGCGAGAGCCTCCTCAATCGTGTCCGCGCGGTTGCGCGAAACATCATGGGTGTCGAGTTTGCGTGTCATGGCAATGTAGCAGTTGCTGTCGAACCGCTTCACGAATTTGGTTCCTTGGTACCGCAGGTAGGATTGGGCGGAAAAGTACGTCGACGTTGGTAGATCTTCGCCACCAGTAAGACTCTCCACCTTTTTGGGGCCTGTGAACTGAGGGTCCGGTGAGTCAACCACTTGGTTGCTGTTGCTGCCGTTCGGTGACTGTTTCGAGCTGCCCGCGCTGTTCTTGCGAGATACTGATGTGCGCTTCACAACGTGACCATCATTGTGAATGTGGAAGTGAGCTTCAGAAGGAGTGGAGGGGCGTGGTCGTTCCCGAATAGTCTGTACTTTAGAAGCATCGGGGATATTACGTCCGAAACGAGATTCGAAAGAGTCGCGGCTGCGGTAGGTGAGCAACGCAGACATGCGCGCTGCGCCGAGACCAGTCGAAGGCGGATCCTCGAATGAGTAATATCCATCGTCGTACTTGGGGTCCGCGTAGATGCTCTGTCTCTGCGCCTCACCCCAGCTAATACCCCAGGCACTGTGCCGGCTAGAGGTGGCAATCGGAACGATACAACGGATATAGTTTTTACCAAAGAATGCCCACTCCAGCACAAACATGCCGCCTAGGGATCCGCCGATTACGGCCGCGACTTGCTTGACCCCAAGCTCATCCAGCAACAGTTTGTGCAGACTGAGTATTTGTTAGACTGCATGAATGTATGACTAAGGGCAGGATTTCGATGTAACCTACTGGACGTCGTCGCGAATGGTTGTGAGGGGAAACTCGGGGCCATATCTGCCGTTGGCAGCGTCTCCGTCTTTTGCCGTAACGGGGCTAGCCGAACCGTAAGGGCTGCCGAGACTATTCATGCAGACAATAAAGAACCTTGATGTGTCGAACGCTTGACCAGGACCGCCGAGTAATGGCCCCCACCAGTCGCTGACATCTGCACTGCCCGTCAGAGCATGACAAATAACCATGGCATTGTCGCCAGTCGTCGATAGCTTTCCCCGCGTCGTGTAAGCGACCGGGACGTTTCGTAGCGTTGTCCCAGATTCCAGCGAGAACTCTGGGATTATGGCGATTTGCTGATCCGGGATCAATGCGGCGAAGGGATTCTCAGGTTGGGACGACCGTCTTTCTTCCAGGTATTCAGCAAAGTTTCTCGACAGAGGGGTGTTTAAGAGAGACTAGGCTTCTTCCGAGTATGTAGGGTAGAGTAACTGACCGTATTTGGGCTTTGCCGTGCCATTGCTGGCTGTATCTTGAGCCATGTTAACCGAGGGCAGCGATGTCGCTACTCGACGGTGCGCGGGGCAGGTCAGCTTCTGTAGATGCTTTCAAGGGAGTGCTGATGTGAAATTATGTCAGAAACACACTGAAGCTGCTTCTGAAGCTGAACAGCGATCAAGTGTTATGCCTGAGCCGCAATTGAAGATGGAATAGAAAAGTATGTGCACCTCGAAGCCCTTTTGTATGGTGCAATCAAGCTTCCGATACAGGCTTCGGGCATATATGTGACTAACTTAGTAACGTTTAGTAATGCCCACCCGAATGGCCGCTAGCAATCGAATTCTCCAACTGCAAGGCACCTAAGAACAGCGGGGACCTACACGGGCACACTGGGCTGCCTGGAGGTTTCTGGGCGTGTATCTTGACAGGTAGATCGATCTTGGGAATATTTCTATACAATGTTATGCATATGGTTTTTTATTTTCGGCAGAAACTAAGAAAACCATATCGAACCGATTTCGGATAAATTTCGCAGTGATGCACCCAATTACAGACGCCGACCGCCAGCCGCTGTCGCACCGCATCACGTGCCGCCGTACTGCTGTTTGCATGGCTCGTGCACGCTCTTCAAGCTCTCCGTCGCGCATCCATTCAGGCATCACTGGCCCAGACATCGTCGGAGCTTGCTCATCAGCCTTTGCGACAGGCTCGAAGCACCGCGACGCATACTCGCACGAGTGACGCAAACCCCACGACGACGACGGCATAAAGAATAACCATCCCTACCCACGTGAACATCGTGGTTCGGTTCATTTTGCAGCCTTCTACTGCATGACTACAGCCTTGCTGTTATCTACCCGCTGTGCGACACATCGATTTTTTTATCCAAGACGGCCAGCACCGTCTTTGTCTTGTACAACCGCCGCAAATTTTTCAGCAACCAGTCACTCATTCTACGTGTCCTTCACTCCTACCCGCCCATGATCTAAACGCATAGTTTCCTTGCACTTTTGAGCCGCCATGCCTCCAAAGCGCAAGAGATCTGATAGACCCTCGGGCGGCGAAACCGGCCGGCCTTCACCGCATAGGCCTGCAGAGATGGTTATGGGTCATCATGAACGAGATGACGGCAATAATAGAGGCCGTGGCCGAACCCGTGGAGCCTCTGGCCGCCGCGACTCATCCCATGTTCACGGCCGAAACGGACCACACGGCCAACCAAATCCTCAGCCGTCGCCCACTCGCCAACGACAAGGTTCTGGCCCGCAGCATCCTTCCTCGCAGGCCTCGAGACAACGTACGGCCAGCACACCGTCGTCCCCTGTCAAGCCTGCTCCGATGCATCCTCCCTCCGAGTCCTCCACCGCTTCCGCGCGTCCACGACAACAGCGACGAGAATCCCAGACTCTCAAGCCGCCAAAGCCTTCCAACTATTATTTTGACATAATAACAGATGAGCAACTGGCAAATTGGGCGGCCGCTGGAAGAGATCATGTCGTCTCTCGCGGTGCTCAGGCGCGCGATGACATCGATGTCGTCGAGCTATCCAGCCTACTTCAGGAGTTTATTCATGCCGTCTTGGCTGGTAAGCTGTCGCCCGAGGAAGCAGGTGCTTGCGTTAAGGAAATAATCGGTGAGGAGAACACAGAAGTGATCAAGGACTCCTTGAAGTTTCTCCCTCATACCTTGTTCCTCGATTCGCTTGCCATTGTCATGGACAATGACTCTGACCTTTACCAACCAATCTTACGTCAATTCCTCATGTCTACGGGCGTTTCCACTGCGCTTATGCGACAGATTCTAGATGCGCCTATTCTGCAACAGCTTGGCCTGATTCGTGATACTTTTGCCAGACTGGGCGTTCGCCAGGCGACCAACCTCCTCTATCGCCAAGCCAACTACAATCTGCTCAGGGAGGAGTCAGAGGGCTACTCAAAACTCATTACTGAGCTCTTCACCACGAGTAGTGTTCCTCCACCCCCTCCAGAGCTTGCACAACACACCTTCGAAAGAGTCAAGGCCTTGATAGGGACTTTTGACCTGGATGTTGGGAGAGTTCTGGACGTTACTCTCGACGTTGCCGCCGCTGTCCTGATCAAGCAGTACAAGTTCTTTGTTAAGTTCTTGAGAGTCAGCTCGTGGTGGCCGCGCTCGCAGGTTAAACTCAACTCCACCGCTTACTCGGCTGGCCTTCCAACCTGGGCACACCCCGACTACTCAGATTGGGTGACCAGTCCCCAAGACGAGGAAGTCAATGCCGAAGCCAAACAATTACGCGATGTTGAGTTCTGGAATCGAGCAAGAGACATCCATCTGGCCGCGTTTTTCGAGCTGGGGGGTCGGCAGGTGCCTGAGCAAGCCATCCAAACAGCTCTAATCGCAAATGCGGAAAACAACCAGGATGGCTCCTTGGATCTTGAGCAGCAATGGATCAAAGAAACCAATACTTTGCCTCCCCCAGGCAACCGCGTTGCTGCTCAATTACTTGGATTCAAGCTTCGATTTTACAATTCGGAGCTTCGGGCAGAAGCTGATGTCCTTCCAGCCAATCTGCTGTACCTCGCCGCTCTGCTGGTCAAGGTCGGTTTCATCTCTCTCATAGACCTGTACCCACACCTCTCGCCTGCGGATGACAAGATGGAGGAAGTCAGAGAGCAGGAGCTGAAGAAAAAGGAGGAGGAAGAGCGCGCTTCCAGGGGAGGGGGAATGAATGCTCTTCTCATGGCTGGTGTATTGCCACAGGGTGATGATGATAACCCGAACGCGGTACGCAAGGAGGTTCCTAAGAAGACCGAAGCCGAGACGAAGCAGGCCGCCGAGCAGGCTCAGGAAGCTAAGCCGCAGCTACCAGAGCCCCTAGAGCAAAAAGTATCCTTTTTGACGCAACTTTTGACTATCGGTGCAATCCCGGAGTCATTATTTATCTTGGGCCGCTTCCCTTGGATACCAGAGACCTTCCCCGATGTTCTGAGCCGAATTCATCGCATCCTGAACGTTTCGGTTGACAAAGTCTACAACGCCAGCAAACCTACATCGATCACTGACATAACATGCCCTACAAAATTTGTGCCTGATTTGGATCAAACTGGTATTCCAAAGGGCACCGTCAAACTGACTCGTCTCCCTGTCAAAAAGATTTGGCGTTGGCCATTCCCCGATAAGTTCGACACCAACGAAAATCAGACATATCGCTTCTACTGGGATGAGTGGTCAGACCACATCCCCGTCTGTCAGACGGTTGATGATGTATTCACCCTTTGTAGCACATTTCTGAACATCTCTGGTGTCTGCATCGGCAAGGATGAGGTGCTGCTTTCCAAGCTTGCCAGCATTGGTAGCATGAGCCTGACCCAAGATGGCTCGGAGGAAAATTTGAAGAGATGGCATGACCTGCTGAAGAGACTTCTTCTCCCCGCTCTCAGTCACACCAAGGCCAACGCCGCGGTTGTAAATGCAATCTGGGATCTTCTCAAGCTGTACCCGACCACAACTCGCTATGCCCTCTATGCCGAGTGGTTCGAGGGACAGACTTCCCGACTTCCTGCGATGCGTACAGCATTTGCCAGAGCCATAGCAGAAACGAGAGGCACGATGAAGCGTGTCTCTTTGACGAACCTAGGCGAAATGGCAAAGCAACTGGCCAAGACCAGCTACTCCTCGCCGGGCATTGTTTTCCGAGTGGCTTTCGAGCAGCTGGAGTCATATCCCAATCTCATCGAGGCGTTTGTGGAATGCGCCAAGTACTTTACAGACTTGTCCTATGACGTCTTGGTCTGGTCGCTAATGAACTCGCTCGGCAAGTCGAGAAGCCGAACGCAGGCTGACCACGCTCTGACAACCAGCAAATGGCTCCAAGCTCTGTCCAAATTTACTGGCAGAGTATTTCGCCGATACTCTCTGCTTAACGCCATCCCCGTTCTCCTCTACGTCAACGACCAATTGTTCCACGGCAATTCGACAGATCTCATCATCCTCAAAGAGCTCATGTCTTCTATGGGCGGCATTGTGGACTTGATTGACTTTACGGACTATCAAATATTGTCCATGGCAGGCTTTCCCTCTCTACGCAAACACACTCTCATGCGCGGTGGGGACAAGAGATACGACAACATCAAGAGCTCGAAACGGCTCATCGAAGCTCTGACTGAGTCAGGGCTTGCCGCGCGTCTGCTAGTCAATCTAGCGCAGTACCGACAGGCAACGATTTTTCGGGTTCCCGAAGGTGAAGCGCACCTCAAGTTTCTTTCCTCGGTCATTGACGTTTCGCATCAAACCCTCATTCAATATCTCGACTTCTTGTGGAACAACATGGAGCAGCCCGACTTTGACAGTATCGTGCCTTCGATACCTGACTTGATGCAGACCTACGGCCTCGACGTTGGCCTGGCTTTTCTCATTGGCCGGGCTAGCTTATCACAGCGAGTTTTCCACTGGAATATGGAGGACCCTGAGGCAACCAAGGGTGCCCCCGTCCAGATTGACAAAGACGGCGACTTGGCGATGGTGGAGAAGGCTGCCGCTGATGATTCTGTACCCGAGCTGGCTGTGGCGATTGACCAGAACCAAGCTCAAATTGCCCAGATTAGTGCTTCGCTACAGCCACTCACCAATGCCGTCAAGGCAAGCGCGCGACCCGAAGTTTGGGACAAGATAACACCCGAACTCGCCACGACATTTTGGGCTCTCCAGCTTGGTGACATCTACTGTCCAGCCGACATCTACAAGACGGAGGCGGACCGCCTCAAGGCCGAGGAGTCTGCACTTCTTCGTGACCGGAGCGATATGTCACGTCGCGGTCAAGAGCTGCGCACCGAAAAACGAAAGGAGCTCACCCAAACACAAATCAATCTTCTGGAGGATCGCAAGAAGCATGTCAAGACGCAGGCCAACTGGACCAAATACCTCACGAATCTGTTTCAAGAGTCATTTCGGCCCACGGCCAAGGCAGATGCCATATCCGATGTGCTCCTTGAGCAGTGCATCTTGCCTCGCGTGCTGATTTCGCCCGCCGACACCGAGTATACTTTTCGTTTCATCAAATCGCTGCACGACAATAACGCCCCGGGTTTCAAGCTCATGTCGCTATACAACCGACTCTTTCACGCCAACCGTTTGCGAACACTCATTTTCACATGTAGCGTTCGTGAGGCCGAATATTTAGGACGCTTTCTGAAGCTCATCCTCGAGGACCTCTCCATATGGCACAAGAATGCCCCGGCGTCTGGTGGCAAGAACGTCAAGAATGCCCAGAAAGCGCTTGGTGCATACGAGACGGAAGGGATTGGTCCTCGCGACAACGGGCGCCGTGGCTTCGCCCTTACACTGGACGACCAGGGCAAGCCTTTGACATTCGTGGAGCACGCCCAATTCAGAGATTTGCTGTTTGGCTGGCACAAGAATTTGAATAGCGCACTGAAGTCTTGTCTGGGCGGTAGCGAATGGATGCACATCCGGAATGCTCTTACGGTGCTTAAGTCTGTGGTTGACTTTTTCCCAGCGATTGATTTTATGGCTTCACAATTTTCGGCACAGTTGCAGAAGATCACGCAGCAGGAAGCCGCGCAAAAAACGGCACCCGAAGACGAGCTCGGAGGGCGCGTGGACCTATCTGTTGCCGCACAGGGTGCTCTGTCGGAGCTACAGCGGAGGAAATCAAAGTGGGTTCTGGTGCAGGTTTTCCGTACCAATGCGGATGTCGGCACAAAGACGAATGACAGGGCTGCTGCCTCGGCTCTGCGTGCCACAGCATCAGACTTTAAACCCGGGGTCGCCAAGATCAACGCATCTAGAACTGGAGAAGAGGAGGATGGCGAAGTCCAGGATTCGAAGCAAAAGAAGCTTGTCGCCGCGGCAGGCGGTCCTGGGAGAGATAACTTGCCTGCCAGACCATCAAGGGGTGGTCGTGAAGCAGGAAAGGAAGAAGTGTCTACTTCGGGCCAATCGCGCTCTTCAACGCCTAAAACAGCGCCGAAAGGGGATAGAGGATACAATCTTCCAGACAGGCCTAATCTTCCCACGCGTCCGGATGTGCCTATTCCGGGTCACTACACGCCAGAACGATTTAATCAGTCGCGCGGCCACGAAAGACGCGATGGTAGAGAAGGGAGAGAGAGCAGAGAGGGTCGCAACCAGCGCGAGCCGCGTGAAGGCCGGGAAGGTCGCGAGTCACTTGATAGCCGACCGGGTCGTAACGAGCGGGACCGGCAGAGAGATGGTGCTAGTGTGGATGCCAGCAAGTCGAGAGAGCGGGAGCGACAACCGCGCAACACTAGAGGTGGAGGCGAGGACGAACCGAAAGCTCCATCGCCAGCTCCGCAAGCCGGGCAGGCAGAACCGATGATGAACCCTCAGCGTGCAGCATTGTTTGCCAAAGAAGAGAATGCCAAGCCGCCACGTAGCGGACCAGAACCGGATCGGTCCAAGTCTCGACGACCAGAACAAGCCAGCGGCACAGACAATGTAAACCCCGAAAGAGCGGCGCTGCTGGATCTACGTGATGATAAATCGTCGGGCCGTTCCAGCCGAAACGATGGTCGCGACCGTGATCGGGACCGAAGTGGGCGAAATCAGTCACCTCGACATGAAAGTCGCCACGGCGAGCAAAGCACCACCGGAACACCTAGCAACTTTGACGAGAGGCACGGGCGCATCCACGTAGCTGATCATCGACCTCCAGGTCGCAGTCGGGACCGCTCGCCAGGCATGTCTGGTTCTTTTCGCAATGATAAGGGTGCTGATCGCTCAGAGGCGTTCTACGGAGCTCCTCGGGGGCTTGAGGCAGAAAAGCGCCACCACTCGGGGTACCAAGATCCCAACTATGGCAGACTGAACCCTGTTCCCCAGGGACCAGAAACGCCGTCGGGACCTCGACCACGAGGTCGCGGTGCAGCCAGAGGGGGGCACGCTACCCCTACCGGCCCTGCGGTTCATCAAGATAGTCGCGCTACGTTGTCGGACCAAAATTTGACGCCGACGACGGAACGTCTACCACCCTCGGGTCCGGCATCAGTACGCGGCTGGCGCGCGGGGTACGAGGCCAGCACGCCAGGATCAGCACCATCTACACATGACGGCCCGACAAGAAAGCAAGGTGGATCCAATGGCGAGGCAGCTGGGGCTCCAAGCGGTATGCACCCGGACCGTCTGGCCGCGATCGACAACAAGTCAGCACAGGGGCCGCAGCCACCTCCACCGCCACCTCCAGGCCCCCCGCCGAGTCACAACCGTGGCGGAGAAGGCAACATTCCCACTGGACCCTCAGCAGCGTCGGACAGACATAGGGGTGGTCGTCGACAGCTAGCGGGTATCAATAGCGCTCTGCAGCAGGGCTCTATGGACAATATGGGTCGTGGCAGTAACAATAACAACAACAATAACAGCAGCCACGGCAGACATAACCCGTCTCGGCAGATGCTGGGAGGCAACTCGGATGCGCAGGTGCTTGCGGGTGGAACGCAGCCGTCAACGCCTGGGCAAGAACATGGGCGGTGGATGGACGCTCCCAAGGGCCCGTCTAATGGCGACGGGAGCGGTCGAGACCAGAGCCGAGGGTACCGAGACAACAATCGCGAGCGGTCGGGACGATCCGGGCGACCGCGCAGCCATGAGCGGGACGGCAAGAGCGGTGGAGGCCACGGTGAGCACCGCGATCGACGGTCCATGGGCGGCCATGGCGGCAGTAGCGAGCAACAAGGACCGCGCGGGCCGGGGGCCGGACCAGACTGGCCTGGTCATGCCGGCAATAACGTCAACCGAGGAGGCGTGGGCCGTGGAAGCGGCGGATCGAGAACGGACGATCGCGGACACCGCGAGGACCGGGGACGCAAGAGACGCAGCGAGGAGGGAGCGGGCACTGCGCCGAATGAGAGGGGAGAAAAGCGAGCGAGAAGATGAAGAGGTGAATGGCTGGACAGTGAAATTGGGCAAAATTTGATGAAAAGAATATGTAAAGGGAAGAACTAAGGCCAAAATTGTATTATTACGAAAAAAACAAGACGGCGACAGCTTGGAGCAGGAGAGGAAACAGCAGAGCAAGGGCGATTTTTTCATATACAAGAATGCTTGCGGCGTTGGTACGGGCATGTGGACTATTTACTACTAAATTCTCATTTCTTTTTTGTGTCTATGACGGCTTTTTTGCGGTGATGTGCAGGGCGTCGACAGCGTGTATCAAAGGAGATTATTTTGAAAAAGATGGTAAATGACGTACTTGGATTGGCGTATGAGTGTATAATAGAGTGTGAAAATATCTAGCATATTTTTCTCTCTTTCTCAACTTTTCAAAGAGGTGTAATTACTCACCACATGGATGGATATGTCTTGGCGGACAAACCGTTGCAGGGCAAGGTGGACAGTTCTTGATTACAATGACATGTATGATGTTGCACAGCCACGATTCGGGTTTGAGAGGGTGAAACGAGCTCTGTGTTGGTCCGACGGAAAGACGGCGGAAATAAGAGGATCTGGAAGTGTTCAACACCTTTTCGAAAATAAATCCCCCAGCCATGGTCGTTTCCCTCGGATTCCTGTGAATGGCCAGATATCGGATTGGATGAGGCGGTGCACGTCAAAGGGGACGTGGGTGTGTGGGGGGAGGGCTTATGGCAGAGTGCGTGCAACGTTATTGCCGTGGGCAAAGCCCACTAATAAGCTGAGAGCCTGGGAGCCAAGAGCTTGGCGGCCCGGTGAGAGATTTGGAGGCTTATTAATAGGTAGGGCGCAGTGGTTCAATGAAGAAGAAGAAGAGAGGGAGATGGAGATGGAATAAGAAACATGATTCGGATCTTGAAGAAACCGTTTTCACGTCTTGCACCCTTTTGGCAACACTTCTTAATACATAGGTGAGACGTCACGGAAAGACTGTATTACAAACAAGGTGGCTGTGCGTCCTCATGCGCTATGCGACCATCGCTTTGTAGTGTCAGACAAAGCAAGTGAGTAGGTGTAAAGATGAAAAGGGCAACGAACAAGGCATGGAAGTATAGAGAGTTTACATGGGCTTTTTTAGTTCTTTTCATCCTGTTGGTTTTTTTTTTTTTTTTTGAAAGCGATATTGCCTACTGGCTCACTCGTGTCGGACGAGATGAATCCAAGTTTAGACACGGGGTACAGGCGCTATACTTGTAAATGCTGCCAGCCAAGGCCCAGCTTACAGGTGTCTTACAAGTCCCCTCAGGTACACCCGCCCACCCGTCGGCCCGCTCATCGTGGGCTGGAGAACTGGCTGTAACGCGCCATGCCGACCCTGACGATGCCTTGGCCGTCCCAAAAGCCTCCCTCTAGCCCTCCCTCTCCCTCTCTGCCAACTCTTCCTACTCCCACCATCTGACCAATATACGTTTTTCTCTTTCCTTGTTTCTTTGTCTCTCGTGATCTTTTTTTTCTCTCCTCATTCACACGATACAACGCTTCTCATCGGCATTTCTCACGGCTTTTTGTTGTTTCTTTTTTTTTTTTTTCATGACATCCGTCTGGTCCGCCCCAATCATCGCCCTCCCAATCGCCAAGTCGCCCTTCCCGGCCGGCGCCCAGCTGCGCAACGACGACCCAAGCCGATCCGAATAGACCTCCTAGCATTCTTGTTTGCTCAACATTTTCTCCCCCGCCCCGATTGCAACAACAGCTCTCTTTTCTTTTCCACCTATGGCAAACGGTTCTTTGAGAGACACCGTCCATTCGATCATCAGGTGGCCGTTGCACGAAACGCGCGGCACAAAAACTCTATAGATACCTGCATAACGGCGACTCGCCCGCCACCGCCAAACTTCCTCGTCGAATTTGGCAAAAATAGCTGCAACTCTGGCTCGACGCCCGACTCCTTGTTACACGTTGCTTTGATGCGTCACCGCTTTCACCGACCCGTTGAGTAATCCCCTCTCGACTGCACCCGCCCCTCCGTCCACCGCCGACCACGACGACATACCTCTCTGCGCCCACATTGAGCTGCCTTCCTCCCCAATCTATCGGCAGCACGCAACGCGCGCCATCGCGTAAACGGCTGGCCTCGCTGCTAGCTTGTCACCTCCAACAAGATGAATCTAACGTGTAACAACACGTTGGAGCATCTGATCAGTACGTACCGCCGCCAGCCCCCTCAACCTCACCCTCGGCAAGCTAATGCGCCCCTCAGTCGAGCCCGGCTCCGAAATCGAACTTGTCGGCGGCCTCATCTTTCACGAGCTGGCCCGCATCATCGGCGCAGCATGCACACTCATCGCCGTCCTCCTCAGCATGTACCTCGCCTGGATGCACGCCCTCCACTACACCAAGCCCCGTGAGCAGCGATAGTGAGCTTCACCCGCCGCCGCCTGCCTTGCGCTCTGGAGATCCCAGAACTAATATCTTGCAGCATCATCCGTATCCTCTTCATGGTCCCCGTCTATGCCATCTCCTCCTTTCTACAGATCCAATGGTACCGTCACGCCATTTACTTCCAGGTTATTTCCGACTGCTACGAGGCCTTTGCCATTGCCTCCTTTTTCGCTCTGCTCTGTCACTATTGCGCCCCGGACCTGCACTCCCAAAAAGACTTCTTCCGCGAGATGCGGCCCATCAAGCCCTGGATCATGCCCGTCAACTGGTTTGCCGCCTGCTGCGGCGGCCAGCGCGGTCCCTGGCGCACCCCCAAAAGCGGCCTCACTTGGTTCAACATCAACTGGATCGGTGTTTATCACTACTGCTTTGTCCGCGTCGCCATGACCGTTTCCGCCGTCGTCTCTCAGTACTTTGAAAAGTACTGCGAAAGCTCCAACAACCCCGTCTTTGCTCACATTTGGGTATGCCAAGCTTGCAGCTCTCAAGTTCATACTCGTTCACCAGCGCCGACTAACCTGCCTTCTAGATCATTGTACTCAACGCTCTCGCCGTTACCGTTGCGATGTTTTGCCTGATTCAAGTCTACGTCCAGCTGAAAGAGGCTCTCAAGGAGCAGAAACTCCTCATCAAAATTGTTGCCATCAAACTCGTCGTCTTCCTATCTTTCTGGCAAGCTTCTGCCATTTCCGTAGGCACCTCGACTCTGCACATTGTTCACACCAACAAGGTCCTTGCCTATCCCGACATCAAGGTTGGTATTCCCGCTCTCTTGCTCTGTATCGAAATGGCCATCTTTGCATTGCTTCATCTGTGGGCTTTCCCGTACAAGCCCTACACCCACGAAGGCGCCACCCCGCGCTTCTACCCGAGTCCCGATTTGCAAAAAGGCGGCAACAGGGGCGTTGCCAACGAGCTCGAGCGCCCCCAAGGCGGCTTCCTGGGTTTCGCCGCCATTTGGGACGCCCTGAACATTTGGGACTTTATCAAGGCCTTCGGCCGCGGTGTCCGCTGGCTCTTTTGCGGCGTTCGCCGCCGCAAGGAAGACATAAGCTACCGCCGCCAAGACGCCCACGACATGGACAACCTCGACGAGCACAAGCGCGGTGCTCCCTCCACCTACCACGCGTACCGGCCCGGCACCGCCACCATGCAAGAGGAGGGGCAGCAAAAGCCCTTTGTCGGCGCGAGCCCCCACACTATTAACCAGAACCCCTACGGTAAGCCGCCCGCACGCCCGGCTCGCGAAGACGAGGTTGCAGTGGCCGTCGGGAGCGGCGAGGAGAGCGCCGGCCTCATGCAGCACGCCCAGACCAATCCGCACTCGCGTCCCATGGGGGGTACCGACTCTCGAAATAGCTCCCCACCGCGTACCCAAGTTCACGAGCCCTACCTGCAGGCATACGAAGGCAGCCACCGCTACAATGACAGCGCGACACCGCAGCAACATCCCCACGCGCAGCGGCCCAGCGGACAGCCGACACCCTGGCAGCAGGACCCTTTTGCCTCGCAGCAGCAACAGCAACAGTATTATCACCAAGGCGAGCAGCATGGAGTCATTGGCCAGGCCATCTGGGAGCCCCCTTATCCCCGCTAGGGTCGTTGACTTTACACAAACAATTCCATGTATGCTGTGTTAGATTTTGATTTGTTTTAGCGACTTTTTTCCACTTGACGATTTCAATTCCCCCTTTATTTGTTTCTTCTATCTTTTTCTCTTGATGACATGCATCATTACCATTTCGGGATTATTCATTTTCCATTTTATACTGCTGTTGCTTTGGCAGCAGAATTGGTTGGGCTGAGAAGGCCAGGCCAGGCCGGTTGCCTTTGTTGAGGATACCCCAAGAAGACGGACGGGCGGACGAAAATCTTTTATTGTTTTTGTGTTTTGGTTTTGTTTTGTTGTTACTTGGCCAGTCATGTAGCCAAGGCGAAATCAAGGAGACGTGGTTCGACGTAGAAGAAGAGTGAAGTACAACAATATAAACACGTTGAAATGATAATGTTTTTCCTCCAGTATCGACCGTCTTTTTTCTTTCAGTATCGACTACATTATTCTTTTGGTCATGATTTGCTGGCCCTTGGATTTTTCACCACAGGTCGTTTGCGCGACAACTACAAATCCATCTAATTATATCTAGCGTAGTAGTTTTTTTTTTTTATCTTGTAATTTTCTACATGATGAAAATTCGATCTAAGTGATATATTAGAGAATTAATCTAAACCTAGATAATTACTAGTTTAATAACTTATTATACAAATAAATGTAACTAAACTAGTCTATTAAAAAACCTACGAGACTTATATTAGTTGCATAACTAATAGTAGTCTGGTTTATATAATTTACAAGTACAAGGGAGTATGAGTAAATAAATATACTTGAAAAAAGTAGGGTGTTTATAGGTTACCTACTAGTTACTTGTACTGATCCTAAACTTTTCTCTAACTCTACCTAGTGCTAAGCAGTTGATTACCGAAAGCGGCAGCCATAAATTACACGCGACCAATAAGCGAACCTGGGCCGGCCGGCCGGCAAAGCCCAGCCCGGCGGCGTCCCATTCATTGCATGTAGCGCGTTTTTCGTAACATCTGGCTCTGAATCCCCTCTAAATGATTTGACCGGATGTTCGATGGAATTTAGTGTAGCCGGGCGAGGCAAAAGCCAATGACTGCAATAGCACAAGCCGTCGTCAACTGCCATTTCCACGTAAAAACGTCTTTGGCCCATTGCATCCAGGATCTCACAGCTTTCCTTCGCCGTTCGTTGATGCGGGCAACGTGAACAAACTTGTACGTTTGATGCTTGCAATCCGCCGCCCTGTCGTCGGTAGAAGTAAACTGGACCAAGGTGTCGTTGCGCTGCAGGCAGCATAACGTGCCTCTGCCGTTGCAGTTGTCGGGCCTGTACAGGGGATCCTCCCGAAGGCGACGAATCAGCGACTCGTGGAGGACGGCATCGTGTGGCATGTCGCGAGGGCGGCCCTTGTTGAGGGGGAAGCGGACGTTTTCCCATAGCGGTTTGATCTCGGTCCAGCGTAATTCCCAACGGCAGATGATGGGCAAATACTCTTTTTTTTGTTACACTTAGTTAGTTTCAAAATCTCTCTTCAAAAGTAGGGAAAAGCGCGCTGGTAGATAGGTATCTCTCAAGTTTTACGTACCCATGAACCTCCATAGGAGCACTTTGAAAAAGCTTGTGCCTCGGCCAAACGAGAGCGAGTCATGCACAAATCCCCCTATTGCAAACCGTTTTTCCTCGTTGAACCATGCTTCGAATCTCTCCTTGAAGCGTTTGACGTTGGGATTCCATTTCACCGCGGTCAGGGGGTTTTGTTGATCTACGAGCTCGAGCTCGTGAATCATCCATGCCAGCGGGACATCACTCATCTGCAAGTCGTCAGCGCCTACGTCAGGGCTGGGTCCCTTTGGCTTCCAGGATTTCCAAAGTCTCTTGATCTGGTGCTTCCACGAGGCCGAACGCTGCCAGAGCATCTTGTTCTCGGTCGCAGCAGCCTTGTCTTCTCCTCCACCAGCGGGCCAGCCGCCGCCCACGTCGCCGTGACACCCTGGGAACCAGACCTCCTTGATGTCTTCGCTGTCGTCATTCTTCGTATCCCGGATATCCTGGGCGAGGAGCGCAGCTTTAAACTTGACGCGGCGCTCATCGACCGCTACTGCGTGTCGGACATAGTGCGCGGTGCCAACCACTTCGATGGGGATGGGCGCCTTGCGCTCCAAGACGGCAACGGAGCTGACGCAATCCCAGATGCCGAGGAAGAAGACCTTGATGTTCTCACCCTTGCCGTCCTTGCCTTTTTCTTCTCGGCAAAAGGTGTGGCTAAAGGCCTTTAGCTCGTCAAAGGCCTCATTGGGTCCTCCGCTACTAGTAGAGTTGTCGCCATTCAGGAGTGGTTGGCTCTCGTCCTGGAGCCGCTCCTCTCGAACTTCCTCCAGTGTCCTAACATCGATGAGCTCCACGGGATCCTCGGCTGTCATGGCCGCCTTGAGGTGCTTAAGAGGGAGGAGAACTTTGTTAAGCTTCTTCCCCAGGCTGGTGCTCGTGGGCTGGTCAGCTGGATTGGCTGCTATAAGCTGGTCCACTGGGATGGATGCCTTGAGCTGGTCAATGGAGATGGATGCCTTGAGCTGGTCAACCGTCATTGTCGTGGCTGCCTTGAGCTGGTCAGCTGGCATGGCTGCCTTGAGCTGGTCCACCGTCATGGCTTCCTTGAGCTGGTCAACCGAGATGGCTGACATGAGCTGGTCAGCTGTCGTGGCTGCCTTGAGCTGGTCATCCGGGATGGCTTCCTTGAGCTGCTTGACTGTCATGGCTTCTTTGAGCTGGTCAACCGGGACGGCTTTCATGAGTTGCTCAAGAGTTGTGGCGTTTTTGAGTTGCTCTTTTTGCTCAACCGTGCGATCTTTGAGCTGCCCTGACAAGTAGCGCTGGTAAAGGAGGAATGCAAAGGGAACCATTTCCTCGTTACCCTTGCAGAGCAGGCCGACGGTATGAATCATGCGCGCCAGGAATTTGGCCGTGTAAGCGCCGCGACTGAACCCAAATATGTAGATCTTGGCTCCCTTTTTTTTTAAAAAAAAAAAAGCTCTGGGGTTAGTGACAAAACAATGCTATGAAATGATACGGGACTTTATTTTACCGATGTGTAATAACGCATTAAAAATCGATACCCGGCCATGACATGCGCGTCAAACGTCGTAGCAAATCCCTGATCGATGGTCTGTGAAATGGAACTCCGCATCTCACCAAGCCATGACTTGTTTACGGATGTCTCATTGACATCATACGTGCCGATGCCAGCTGAGAGAGGGAGATCGATGAGCGACGAAAGATGGCTCAGGCAAAAAAGGAAGACTCACCCTGGTAATAATGGTATTGTTTAGGGTAAGTTCGATCCAGCATGCTCAACAGTTTGACAACATTGGTATCTGCGTTGGATCCGCTAAAAGTGTTTCCAGTGCCATCGAAGCAGAGGATGAGCCTATGGACCTCTTTGGGCGGCTTGGAGCTCTTGGAGCCATGGCCGTCTTGCGCGGAGCTCATGGTGATGGGGGAAAAAGTAGAAGAGTTCAAAAGTCGGTAAATCTCCCCAACCAGACAGAATTTGGTTCAGATTTTCGCTCGCAGATATACTTTTTTGAGAGCCCGACAGCTCTTTTTGTTAGATAATCTGCTTTATTAGCAAAAAAGTATCACCACCCTTTAGTATTTCTGCCATTGCGATTATCCAGTCGACAGAGCGGGGGTCAGTGATTCAGCTGTGCACAGGTAAGTCATTCAGCTGCGCTGGGTGAGACTACATAGTCAGACGATTAGACGGCATACCCGGGTCAGTAATTCGGCTGCATAGCCGAGTGAGGCTGCAAAGGCGAGAACTGCACATTTGGGCGAGACTGCATAGTTGGGCGAGACTGCATAAATAGGCGAGACTGCATACATGGGCGAGACTGCATAGTCGGGTGAGACTGCATAGTATATTGGCCTGCATAGTCAGGTGAGCAGATTGATGCATATTCAGGTGAGTAGATTTATGCATAGTTTAGTGGGGTATATTGGACGGCATATTTCAGCTAAGGGATTGCCCGCCACAGTCAGATAAGTAGTAGATTGTTGCACAGTTCAAGGAGTATATTGGCCTGTATAGTCGGGTGAGTAGATTGGACGGCATATATTCAGCTGAGTAATTGCCCGCCACAGACAGGTGTGTAGAATACTGTACAGTTCAGTGAAGTATATTGGCCTGTATTCTTCCGTGAGTGATTGCACTGCTGTTAGACCTCTCTCATTCATCCAGTTCTGTCGTCTCTGTGGACCAAACCAACTGGTGTCTCGTTGACTACAACGAGCTCTCTGTTCGAGACTAGGTCAATAGTCAACAGCATCGCTTAGCTACAGTCACCATTGCTAGCATGTATGCAGATAGAAGTAGTGTGTAGATTATTGATTCCTCTTGCCAGCTGAAACTGTCGGCGACTTATATTGACGTGCATTAGGCACGTGCAACGTTGGCGCATTCAACAACGGCCGTGCCGTAATAGACGTGAAACCTGCACAGTTCGCGGAATGGATTGCTACTATTAGTTTTACTAACGATAATTATCGTCAAAGGCGGCTATAAGTCTACATTTTATACGGTTAATAATGATGTTATAAGTTGGGGTAGATGGCTGCTTTATTAATACAAGTGCTATTATATAAATAAATTGGGGCCTTTCTGGCTCCTAGCTAATGGGATTTCTGTATTTGACTGCGTCCCTTAATATACGCGTATAAACAGCTGCATAGTTGGATGAAAGTAGATTGGCCTGCATAGTCGGTTGAAGTGATTGGACTGTTATCTTCTGGCTAGCAAAGCAACTCTTCGAGCACCTGTTTCACGGGGCTTGTCAGTCGGCGTGGCCGTGATACCTGTCAGGATATCAGCTATAGGGGGAGGGGAAAAGAAAGTAGTGTGTGTGATGAAGAGAGAGAGTGAGTGATATGTGACGACTTTGTTGTGGCTTGGTGGGATGAATGGTCGTCCGTGAGGCTTTCTGGCTTGTGCTTAGCTATTGCGTGTTATTTTTTCTCCTCTATCCAGGGTATTTAAATCGTCCCGTATCAAAGTCTGGCGAATCGTTTATTCCATCTCCTTCAATGTCATCTCTCATCTACAACATCATTTACCAGCACCATGCCGTTTGACGAGAAATATCAAGCCGGTGAGTCGTACGGCGACGCACCCACCACGGCTTCTCAACCCAGCGATGTCGGCGAAATTGTCAAGGCCATTCTCAAAGACTACGTCGGTGCACGTAATGCGGCAACTCCGTCGGAGCTCACAGGCCTAGTCCAGAGTTTAAGCAGTAAAGAGCCTTCTGATGACAGGAAGGGGTGAGTTTTTCTTTACCACCATCAGAAGTGGGAGAGGATGAAACTGCTGACCTCTTCCCCCCCCCCCCCCCCCCCAGCAACACCGAGTTGATGATTGATATCCTCACCAAGCTTCCGGCAACGTCACAGGTCAGGCAGTATCTCACCAACAAGCTCATCGACTCCCTGTGGAACAACCTCCAGCACCCGCCTCTCAGCTACGTCGGCGGTGACGCCAAATATGAGGTCGTCAACAGCAAGGAGGAGGCGGCGGGTGCCAACCATGGTCCCAACACAGATGATGACATCATCACCTTTGAGTCGCCCGGCACCGGCATCCTTCTCCGCCAGGTCTTCTCGGGCGCCTCAAACGACGCCCATCAGTATCGGACGCCGGATGGCAGCTACAACAACATTGTCTCGCCCCAACTCGGCAGCGCCGGCTCGCCCTACGCCAAGTCGGTCCGGAGCTCGAAGCGTCTCCACGGGGTGAGGCCCGACGCCGGCCAGCTCTTTGATCTCCTCATGGCCCGCCAGGAGGGAGGCTTCAAGGAGAACCAGGCCGGCATCTCGTCGATGCTCTTTTACCACGCCTCCATCATCATCCACGACATCTTCCGGACCAGCCGCACCGACACCAACAAGTCGGACACGTCCTCGTACCTGGACCTGGCACCCCTCTACGGGTCGACGCTGCGCGAACAGCTTCAAGTCCGCACCCTAAGAGAGGGCAAGCTGAAGCCCGACACCTTTCACGAGAAGCGTCTCCTCGGCCAGCCTGCCGGAGTCAACGTCATGCTGGTGCTGTACAACCGCCTGCACAACTACGTGGCCGAGGTGCTCCTCAAGATCAACGAGTTGGGCCGCTTCACGCTCGACTGCGCGGCCGACGCGAGCCCCGAGGAGCGGGCCAAGGCGGCGGCGAAGCAGGACCACCACCTATTCAACACGGCCCGGCTCATCGTCTGCGGCATGTACGCCTCCATTGCGCTGGGCGACTACCTCTGCGCCATCATGAACCTCCACCACTCCGACACGGACTGGTCTCTGGATCCTCGCGCCGAGATTGGCAAGCACTACGATGGCGAGGGCGTCCCGCGCGGCGTCGGCAACATGGTCAGCGTCGAGTTCAACCTGCTCTACCGCTTCCACTCGTGCATCTCCAAAAAGGACGAGCGCTGGATCAACGACTTCTTCCTCAAGCTCTTCCCGGGCCGCCGCGTCGAGGACCTGGAAAACGTCGGGCTGGCCGAGCTCGGCAAGGCGCTGTTCGAGTTTGAGAAGAGCATCCCCGCGGAGCCGAGCGAGCGCACCTTTGACGGCCTGAAGCGCCAGGCCAACGGGCGCTTCCGGGACCAGGACCTCGTCCGCATCCTCGAGGAGGCCATGGAGGACCCCGCGGGCTCCTTTGGCCCGCACATGGTCCCCAAGGCGCTCCGGATCGTCGAGATCCAGGGCATCATCCAGGCGCGCAGGTGGGGGTGCGCCTCGCTCAACGAGTTTCGCGAGTTCTTTGGCCTCAAGCGCTACGGCAAGTTTAGCGACATTACGTCGGACGAGGAGGTTGCCCACCGCCTCGAGAAGCTGTACACGCACCCGGACATGGTCGAGATGTATCCCGGCATGATGATTGAGGACATTAAGCCGCCGCGCAACCCGGGCGCCGGCATCTGCCCGACCTACACCGTTGGGCGCGCCGTGCTTGCCGACGCCATCACGCTCGTCCGGTCCGACAGGTTTCTGACCGTCGACTTTACCGTCTCCAGCCTCACCGCCTGGGGCATGAACGAGGTGACGGGGGACCCCAAGACGCTCGGCGGCTCCATGCTGTACAAGCTCATCCAGAGGGGCGTCCCCGGCTGGTTCCCCTTTAATTCCATCGCCGTCATGCAGCCCATGTACACCAAAAAGGCCAACATTGAGATTGCAGAGGAGCTCGGCACCCTGGAGCAGTACTCGCTCGAGCCCGCCAAGCCGCCCAAGCTGCCCGTCGTCATCTCCACGGCGGCCGGCATCAAGCAGGTCCTCGGCAACCCCGACACCTTTCCCCTCGGCTGGGGCGAGGTCCTCAAGAACATCTTTTACGGCAAGCGGGACGTCGGCTGGTTCATGCTGGCCGGCACCGAGCCCCGCAACATTGACCACCGCAACAAGTCGGCCGAGGCCTTTGGCAAGCTCCCGAACCTGCAGCAGGCCATCTACCAGATGATTGAGCGCGTCGGCGCCGACCTCCTCGCCAAGGCCGACTTTACGGTGCAGGGGGGCGTCCACCAGATTGACCTCATCCGCGACGTGGCCATTCCCGTCAACACGCAGTACACGGCCGACCTGTTCTACATGGACTTAAGGACCGATGAGAACCCGGAAGGGAAGCTCTCGGTCGCGGAGCTCTACAAGTCCATGGTCAACCTGCGCATCTGGGCCACCAACAACACCGACTCGGCCGAGGCGTGGAACCGCCGCCGCCGCGCCAACGAGGGCGCCCAGGTCATCATCGACTCGACGCGCCCGCTCGTCGACGAGGTCGTCAGGAGCCGCGGCTTCGGCCTCGGCCTCTCCTCCGCCCTGCACAAGAGATTCGGCAGGCAGGCCTCTCTCAAGGAAGGGTCCCTCCGCTCCCTCGGCCTCAAGTTTGTGGAAACCCTCCTGGGCCAGGGCGCCACGGCTGAAAACGTCGTCGACCAGCTTTGGCTCCAGGCTTTTGGAGAGATTGGCGTTCTCGTTACCACTGTAAGTACAATCTAACCTTTTGTTCTCTGTCTCTCTCTCTCTCCCGGTGGGACTTTGCTGAACCAGCTATTTTTTTCAAGTTTTACGAAATCATGGAGTTCTTCCTCCGCCCAGAGAACAAATCCATCTGGACCCAAGTCGAAAACTTGGCAAAGGAAGGTAATCTGACCAAGCTCTCCACCTACGTCGCCGAGGCGCAGCGTCTCACCAGCCCCTTTCGTGTCATCCGTTACCCAAAAACGGCAACTGAAGTCGAGGGCAAGAAAGTCGACCAGAATAATGTGCTCATTGTGAACATTGTAAGTCCCCCCCCCCCCCTTCCCTTTCCTGTCATCATCATCATCATCATCAGCTCCTCCCAGAGACTCGCTGACGTGGAAATATCCAAGGCCGCCGCAGGTCGGGACCCGGCAAATGTCCCCAACGCCGACAAGTTTGACCCGACACGCAAGCAGCCAGAGCTCAGCGGCTACAGCTTCGGCCAGCATGAATGCTTGGGGAGACACATGGCCATAACATTCCTGACCGGCCTGGTCAAGCTTACCGCTGGCCTGAAGAATCTCCGCAGAGCAGCACCAGGTACGCTGGGAGATGTCAAGACCATCAGCGTCGGCGCCGAGGACAGGATTTACCTCAACGACAGCTGGTCCTACTTTGGATTCAACACCAGCAGTAAGTGCCTCTCTCTCTCTTTTTTTTTTCTCTTGTTCAATCATTTGAAGTTTACTCCAAAAGTTTTCAAATGTAGAATGCTAACTCTCGGGCAGATTGGAAGGTGCAATTTGACGGCTACAATTAGTCATTGTGTGTTAATAAAAGGCTACATTTTTTTTTCTCCAACAAAAATATAAGCTGAGCCCAATTCAAAATATCCGTAAAAAGAAAAAAATTCAGGTAACAAAATAGCACTTGAGTTTTCAACATGATAGCCAAAGCACACAGCCGTTTTATGTATTTTACTGTTCAGTCCTGCTAGAGATGGTCACTATCGCCTGCATGGTAAACTTTGTCGGTTGCGGTTCTGGGCTGGCCATTCACTCATGAGCAATGAGCGACTGAAGAAGCAGATTTGCCATCTCGCTCTGCTTGCCTACTTGCATCAGACCGTCTCGCATCATCAATTTTTTTTTTCGACATCATACCTGAAGCACAAAAGTATGCTTACGAACTTCATTGTACGATTTCAAATGCACCGTACATGAGTGGCGACTCCTATCCCAGCCCGCCGCCAGGCATATTCCTTCATCCTGGGCTATACAGTGGACAAGAGAGGCATTTCTCTTCCGGCCCGGCCACACCACCGGGGGGGATACTTAGCTAGTCCCCCAATGCTCTTGCGGCTTGAGAAAGAGCTAGTCTATGCACCGAGATGACCTCTTCTCACCTATCCCAGCCACGAGCGCGAGCGCGATCCTGGGCACGTATTTAAATGGCCAAGGAAATGACTTCCGGTGGCCTTGGCGCTGTCTACTCGCACTGTGTCGTTTCTATCTAGACACTCTTTGCCTCGGACCAACTAGGCGTTACATCAAGCTACATGCAGTAGGGTTCCAAAAGTCCATCACCACGATAGAATTGATACTAGATACACCTCTAACACTCCTTAATATCTCTACCTTGAAAAGTAATGAAAGCATAAAAAAATGGGTACATCATGAAATAGTAAAGTATTCATATTCTCAAGGAAAAATTAACTTATTGATGCACACATCAGGCCTAAATTAACCATTCTTCCGCGCTAGTTCTTGCCGCCGCCGCCGCCGCCGCCAGCTACGGGGAACGAGTACGGCCCGAATCTCGGTGAGATAAGCCGTGCACCGCATCGGGGAAGCCACGCGAACCGAGGTGTCGTTCCCCTTTGACAATATTGGCAATGTTCCCTAGGCTTGCTCAAGATGTACACAAGGGAAAAAGTAACCATCCATCTTATGTTACGACGGTGCAACAACAATCAGGCTTACAGTTTCAAGCCCCCCCCCCCCCAAAATGAATGTGCAATGTACTGTATTTCGCTATCAAATACGACACACAATTATACTTCCTCCTCATGCTTCCTGTTCAATGACCCCTTGTCTTGCCGATCCTCTTGTTCCTATGTACAACTTGAATTGCAAAACAAGAAATGAAGCGTAAAAAAAAAAAAAAAAGACAAAGACATCCATACTCATAGACCAAAAGGGTCAAGATCCCCATGTCCCTAGCCGCTAGGCGAGTCCTCTTGTTTGTAATTGTTCGAGGCTCTCAATGCAAAATCATAAAAACGAAACATTTCAAAGTACAAGCACACGCTGTGTTCAAGCGACCGATTATTCTGCTTCAACATCAATGACCTCGCAGTCGTGAGCGAATTGACCAGCGAATCGAGCCATGCCCAAGTTCCTTCCTTCTCTATCCAAGAAAAAAATGCTGTGATGCTCCCAGAGCACAACAGGGCCCTGATAAATGACGCGAGGCAGCTGCGCAAAGTCGTCCTTGCGCCGTATCCAAATCAGCGTACATGGGTTCGCTTTCTCAAAATAACATGCGACAGTCTGGCGACCACTGAGTCCAAATCATGTACATCGTCATGGCGGGGTCCTTTCTACATCATGTCCGAAACTGGTCTCGACAGTCTTTGCGAATGTGAGCCTTATTTTGGGCCAATGCAGAGGACCACCAATCGTCTGAGGAGCGACAAGGCTCACGAGTCGGGGTCTGGATTCGTCGCTCTCAACACCTTGGGCTGCTGGATACGTCTCATATAATCGTGGTCGTCACGCAGCGTGTTGATGCTCTCGGCGCTACCGTTTTGGCGCGAGTATAGGCCCTGCTTAAACGGGTCCATCCTAGGGTCAGCTTGTAGCATACTATTGCGGTGACCAGCCGAGCCCGGAGAAGCGGCGGAGCCCGCTATGCTCAGGTCCTGCTGATGAGAGCCTAGTCTGCCGCGAGAGCTACCGCGCACACTAGGATCGTCTCTGAACTCGCCATTGTCTGTCGTCTGATTGCGGCGACGCAGCAGGAACCAGATGAGCACGCCGACGAGGGCGATTGCGGCGATGGAGCCAATAACAATGCCGGCAATAGCACCACCAGCGATGCCAGAGCTGCTGGAGCTGCTAGTAGGGGAAGGTCTGTTCTCTTGACTGCTATCACCGACACTGGTTGGCATCACAATGATGGTGGTGACCTTACCGCCGACCGTCACAGTTGAGGTGACGCTACTCGAGGCTGATGTCTAGAGCAATATTTGTTAGCGTGAGGACAATAAGTAAGAGCTGGTGGAAGATATAGAGAGGCTGTGGGCAACGCCCAACATTGGAGACGTGCAGTGCAAGGTGTCGTCACTTGACGCTCAATTTGACAGCTTTTATAGAGCGACACGGCGTGCACCATGGTTTGATGCGTATGCGCAGCGAGCTTGTCATCAATTTCTCTGCGCCGTCACAAGATGTGTACATCACTTGGTGTATACAATGGACAGTCTCGATATCACGTCGTGGAAATCGGCGAGCATTGGCATTTGGCCCAAGAGGCTGACGCATTTGCTTCAAGGGATCGTTACAGGGGTCGGCATACAGATGAAGAGCTCGACTGCGTCAAGGACGTAGACGATGAGGTACTCGAGGAAGACGTCGATTCCTGGACTCTTTGATTACTACCCCTGCCAATACCAACTTGTGGTCCAGGCCTGAGAAAACACGGGAGTGATCATGATAGGGGATTACGGGCGAGCGTCTCAAATTAGACGATGGAGTGTGGACACAGAGAGGGATGATTGGGAAGAGGAAGACAGGCTAAGAGACAATTAAAGACTTACAGGTTTGGAGCTGGTGGAAGACGAGGAAGACGAAGAAGGCGAGGAAGATGAGGAAGACGTGGAAGAAGAGGAGCCGCTATCGCTGGAACCTTTGGTGCCAGATGGCTGAGGGCCGAGACTGAGATAGCCAAAGGTGTCCTTGTTCTTGCCGCCGCAGAACTCGAAAGGGTAGCCGAGACAGGGAAAGTTGCAGTCCTTGTTATCAACAACATTGCCCTTGGCAGGCTCATAGTTGGAGCACCAGCAGTTCTCGTGCGAAGTGATGGCATAAACGTAGCTGCCGCGGCAGTAATCCGAGCAGAGGCCGTTGCTTTGGAGGTTTGAAGTGTCTAGGTAAGGATGTTAGCGGCGTGGAAGGAAACGACGTTTTACGATGAGGCATGGCGATGTGAAACGTACTGCTGCTGCCAGATGCCGTGTTGTAGTCGGCGCAGATGCTGATGTCGAGAGCGTGGGCAAAGCGGGTAAAAGCCGATACGGCCAGCGCAATTCTGGCCGTTCTTGTGAAAATAGACATTGTAATAATTTTGTTGGAGAAGATTAAGTTGATGCAAAACGAGGTCGATTTCGAAGGGTGGTCAAGAGTCCTAGGCCATGACAATGGTGGTCAAAATGGGGTGATGGGGTTGCTGAAACGCACGAGCGAGCGTGGGGAGAAACAGGTCGGGGAAAGCGGCCGTATGCAAGCGCACGAGTTGTCAAAGATGCAGAAGCGAGAAGCACGCTCAGGTTTCGCAAGAAATCAGCAACAATGACCGCTGTGACGACAAGAAGACGCAGCCAAGGTCGTGATGTACAAGTCGCTCAGGGTCGGTCGGTAGTGGATCAAGGCGACGATTACACGACAGGGAGCTTGTTTTGTTATCGTGGAGGAGCGTCTAGATTGGGCAAGACACGCGGCGCGGGTGGTGATGGGCGACAAGTCGGGCAATTTCTCGTGGCGGCGAGTAGAGGAGATGAATGGGCAATCTTGCGTGTGCTGGAATGCTGAATGGTCGAGAGTGCCGGTGCACGGGGAGAGCCTTGTCTGTGGCTAGCAGTGCTACTGTTTGAGAGTAAGGTGAAGCGTCAGGCCGAGCTAAGACGCCTAAAATGCTCCCTCACGAGATTCAAAAGAGGTGAATGATGACGGTGGGAGGGCAAGTGGCAAGGCGAAAAGAAGCACGTTTGCCTGGTGCCTTTGGTGGTGGTGAGAATGGGAAGAGGAGGAGCGAGATTTTTGGTGAATGAATGGATTGATCCAGGCTTGGGAGGAAGGATGGGCAGCGGAGCCTTGCTTGGGCTGTCTGGGCTGGGCTGGACTAAATTTACTTGGTTGGCTTACTTGATTTAGCAAGTTGACAGTGGGCAGCAGGGAAAAAAGGAGAGACGACAGGAAGCGAGGAAGCGAGGAAGCTGCAGGTGAGATTGTCCCGGGCTACAGTCTACAGATTGGATAATACAGCACAAACATGGCAAGAGCTGCTGGCATGTCGAGACGCAGACAATGGACGTTTGTTGCGTTTGTCGATACCACAACAACCAGTTGCTGCCACTGACGAAATAATAAATACTATCGTGATACCTTGAATTTATTCCAGGTCACAGGCCATGGTCAAGGCCCACCACAGCGCTCAACACGCCATATTGACTACCAGTGCCTGCACGGAGTACGACAAGGTCAAACACGAGATTTAACCAGGCAACAAGCGAGCAAGAAACACTCACAAACCCGCTGCCAATATTCAAATAATCCTCTGTAATAACAAAAGTCCATCTATGTGGATCGCCCGCGACTGAACAACTGGGGCTGCCTTGATTTCTCGGCCGGACAGGCCAATATGGACATTTTCTTGTCAGCTAGGCAAGGACTTGTACCGGGTACATTGCTCGAGCAAGTGGCCCCTGTAATATTAACTGCCCCAAACTCTAATAATACCAGCATCAGTATTCGTGTTTAGAGCGCGTCTTTTTTACCCTCTTCTTATTCTTTTCTTCTTCGTTTTTAATCCTGCAGGTTTTTACATGATCACTGACTTGATCGTCACTTTCTCAATACCTAATCGAATTATACCCATCGCTGCTTGTTTACTTGTCCCATTTACTAATCATCATATCACGGTACTCAACTGAACTCTTGACGCCAGCTCGCCAACTCGGCGCCATGCGTTGGTCAATGCGGCGCCACCCCCAGCACGGGCACTGTAGCGGAACCCCCTGGTCGCGTCGGACGGGGCCGTCACTCGTGCCGAGCCATGTATGTACCTGATACTTTGCTCTCACCAAGTTCCTTTCCTTCTTATCGCCAAGCTGTGCTCGTCTGCAGCCAAATCCACCCGTCTCGCCAACGTACGACGCGATTGCCAAAAGAAAAAAGTGCGAAAAAAAATATGCGAATTCACGCGTTCATTAATGATATATCAAAAGATCATCTCGATATGCACCGCACAACCTTAATCTAGCCCAAATTGCCAAATGTAATTACACCTTTACCATGAATCCATGGCAAGCTGCCAGCCTGCTGCCAATATTTTTTTTTGTAATACTGTACCTATATTACCATTAGAATCTCTTCGACCTCGCATATGTGACTCTGCAGTGCCACCGGCTTCACGGTCATGTCTGCCTCTTCTGGCCCTTGCTCCACATGTCACCTCTGCGTCCCCCGGCCCCGTCACTCAATCAACTGGTAATTGCATCACCCATGCCCTGGTACCACACCGAGAAGCCCTCCCTTCCTTCGCCAACAGGTTTTTTACCCGCCGAGGAACAATACCGATCACAAAAAGCGGAGAGCTGGGTCAACGTGGTCCGTTGCATGCTCGGCTCTCTGCTCCTCCGAGCTCACGCTCGCCAAGTCCCTCCATTCTCTGCAGTGATTGAGAGATTCTGGGCTTCGATAGTGTGGAAGTCGTTTGCAGCGCAGGCATCGGCAATGCGAGTGAGATGCAGAGCAAATTGATAAACAATACCGTCCAGCCAGCTTGCCAGCTTCAGCCCTCCCCCTCCTTCCCCCGCTCCCGACGCGTACATGAAGCATGCTGCACAGGCCGGGGAAGATGCAGATCGTAGCATCAACATGTGCATTTCATGTGACGTTTCGGTAGTATCACGAAACTGAAGCAAATCATCCGTGTCATCATCCAGCAACTATTACTGGCTCGGCCACAGGCCGTCAACGCCTCGCTTTATTTGCCAGGCATATATACGCACACGGACCATGTGAGCCCGGATCTTGCTAATATCTAATAGATAGTCAGTGAGCGGTTCTGCCCCAAGAAAAGGTCGCAGTCGTCGTCTCGCATCCATGATCCTTCCAAGCCGCCACCACAACCACAACTCCGCCGCGCCCTTGACAAATCCGCAGCTCCGGAGCTCCCAACTAGCGCCCGCTAGCTCGTGGCAAGCCCCTGGCCCATTGCGTCACTGGTTGGCTGACCACGTCGGAAACGATGCGCTGGCCGATGCTCTACTGCCGGCGCCCGTGAAAAGTAGTTCGTTAGGTCGAATTGTACATTAATAAATGAAGCTAGCAACTTGTCTTTGTCGTCTACCATCGTTTGAGCGCGGTGCAGCAACGCAGATCGAGTCTCGACTGGTTTCTGGATGGTGTTGAGGGGAATGGCTTGGATGGCGCACTGCTAAGGGCTTTATTGTTGCATCATGCATGTGACAAGTAGCCCTCGTCGCTTGTTTATCAATTTCGTGAGGGGCCCGTGGTAGATAGCGCGACGAGGTGCTTCTGCACGATTGCCGCTGTCATGCGTGCTTCTTTGCATCTCTAATCATTATTCAACATTCAATGTAATAAACAGCGTACACCTGACCCTAACTAAGTAGACACTTAGGTGACTGACTACCTTAGTAGGTACGAATAGCTCATGCTGCGCAACGCTCAACGCAAACACCCACAAACATACCCGCCAGCTGGCGACCGTCGTCTGTCCAATTCACCAAATTTACACACCTACGAATAATAGACTAGATGCTAGATGCACCTCTACATCATCTAAACGGGAAATTGCCATACTTTACCATTCTCACCGCTCCATCATCCAAATCTCCGAGACGAGTTATGCAACAGCTCTCGCGTCTCTTTGTCGCGCCTCCATGCCCTACTCGACCGCTTGAGCCGAGCCAGGTCATCGCCAAACAGATCAACTCTATCAGATCATCGCCAATCAACACGAAATTTAATCCTCTAGAAGTTTTCGCCTCTGCACTTTTTCGGAGAAGAGAACCTGTACCTCTTTAGGCCAGTCAATTTTTGCGCCATGACACATGAAAGCCGGCGGGACGCGATGAACCAACTACCAACGACGCTTTCTATCGTCGAGCTGCCAGCTTCATGGAACCCTCCTATCGACTCCCATATCCAAAGAAGGCAAATCACAATGATAATAATAAAAATATTGCGGACCAAAACAGACTCAAAGTCGCCAAAATCGGGACTATACCAACAGCCCAAGACACTCATCACCAACCCGGCAGTGGGCCATACAAATGTCTTATTACAATGCAGTTGCCATCATGCAACTTGCATGAGCTGGCTGCAGTAATTATTTCTTGCACACAACGGGTGAAATCCCAACCAGGCTGCCGAAAGCACACCGATGTCAACGATACTATCTCGACAATCCATCCCGTCAGGCGCATTTCACGGCCTTGCATTCCACTCCCCTCTCCCCCACAGAACAATGGCATACGAGTCGTTGAGACCCTGTGCCAAGGGTTCGCGACACACACCCAAGGTCATGCCACCAGCCCAGAATCGACCTCGCTGCTGCTCAACACGAGATCTTGGCGCACTCTCCACCTCGTGATTGGGCGCCTGCTCAGCCCGCCACAGCCGCCACGCATCGGTGCCACCGCCATCGTAATCGTGCTGTGCTGCCAAATACGAGAATGGCGTGCAGGGCTGTTGTTGGTACTTTTGGCCGTTCTTGGCCTTGATTGATCATTCGACCCTCTCCGCTATCCTTGATGCACGGCACTGAGACGTTGCTGTGCAGTGATCACCTGATATCTGATGCTGATCGCCGGGGACACGGAGAGACTCGTAACTAGTATTACAGCGCGAATGATCTAAAAAACACAAGTCTGTAGCAGCGTTGCATCGGCTTCTCCGACCTTGGTGTGGTAGCATAGTGACGGTGCAGGGCGCCCGTTTGAGATTGACGTTGCCACAAAATGTCGCTGCTGGTTACCATCGGTATGCCCGTTCTATGTTTTCATATATGCGGGCTTTTCTTGAGGAGGTTCTGCCAGCTTTATATGACTAATTGTTATTCCGAGCACAGCGAGGTCGTCAGCATCTCCCCACGGTAATCTGTCACAGTCGTTGGCACGTTTACGACTTCAAGTTCAATATCTGAATATGTTCACGTCACCTCGAAACGAAAGTCATATATACACGGGAAAATGCATGCTGGTCAGAAACTCTCACCATCATTGTCATGTCCAGCTCCCTCACAGAGAACTGCGAACCTTTTTGGCAAAATCGCCATTGTTCCTGGACAGCTGCGCCTCCCAGAGCATGGCACCGCCGTAGTTGGGCAGATTCATGGCCTCGACGCCCTTGAGGGCCTTGATGAAGGTGTCGGCGTCAACATAGCCCTCATCGCCGTCGGCCCCCGAGGCCAGGCCGCCGATGAAGAGCTTGGCGCTGCCGATGCCCTTGCTCCAGTTCTTGACGGCTGCGTTGAAGCCCGGCTGCGCAATGTTGCAATTGCCGTTGTTGTAAAACTGCACCCAAACGTAGTCGAGCAGCTCGCAGACTGCCAGGGGCTCAGACTGGTCAGGAAACGGGCACTGCGGCGCCGCCGTCATGTAGTACTTTTTGCTGCCGCTTTTGGCCATGTTGGCGCGGAAGCGCTTGGTCATTGCCAGGTAGCCCGTTGAGTCGTTGGTTTCGTTGTCTATCACTGGTTAGTTTCTGATTCTATTCTCGTTTCTTCTTGTCTTGTGTCTCTCAGAGAAACATACCTAGATCAACACCGTCGAGGTCGACGTCGCCAAACGGACGCAGCTCCTTGTAATCGGTGCCGCCGAGGAACAGGTTCCAAACCTGGTCGGCCACCTTTTCGCCCTGCGCGTCGCTGCTCAGGCGTACGTCCGAATAACTAGTGGCGCCGCCCATGGATAGAATCACGAGCTTGCCGTTGGCCTGACACTTCTTGATAGCGGGTACGAGCCGCGCACCGTCCTTGAGACCCGTCGCGCCGGCCTCGCGCTGCGCAGCCGAGGGCCCGTCGAGGCCCGACATCTCCAACCCCGGATAGCCGCCGGCCTTGTCAAAGTAGGCGAGGAAGGCCAGGTTGACAATGTCGTACGTGGCATCGTTGCACACGTCCATGAGCGACAGGTTGTCGTCCTGGGCGCCCCAGTACACGGTCAGTTTGCCGCCCGCGGCGCGCGTGCGGAGGTTTCTGCTCTCGGCGGCCGGGGCGGCAGCGCTGAGAGAGGTGAGGGCGGCAATGGCCGCGATGGCAGAGGTGCTGAAGAGCATTGGATGCATGTGTAAATGTACCGTCAAGGTAGCCTTTATCGGGCTTGAGGGTATCAAGGTGTAAGTAAGATGACCAGATCTTCAAATGCCAAGGGATATATTCAAACAGAACAGCACAAAACAGGCTAGTATTTATACTACTATTGCAGTCGCAACATTGACAGACCAGGCTATGTCCGCGCTTTGGGCACTTGCACCGTGATGAACTGCTACCTACACCTAACCACCGCAGAGCAGGTCGAGGATGGGAAACCTCATCTCCGGCCTCGCTGGCACATCAGATGTACAAATCAGGAAGCTAGAGCTTTACCCCTATGATCACGGCCTATCCAATTTGGACGGACACTTATGCGCCTATGACCACGGGGCTCGCCCGTCCATTCTATAAGCGGCATGGGCAGGACGGCGCAGGAACGGGGCGGAAGCGGGGGCTTAGTCTTGACTTCATCAAGCCGCATGTGGAAATAAATATAGCGCGGCGCTTGGGGTAAGGGCACTCAAATTAGCAGCGAGTCTAGGTATCATCGGGAGGGGCCTCTTATATTGAACGGGGTGACTTTCCTATTTGGACAAGACGTTTGCAAAGAAGAAACTGGTGAAGCAAAGGACAGGATGGACTCTTGTTCGTAAAGTGAAGTGTTGGTGTTGAGAATTGCCGTACTTTACCGGATGTACCTTGCTCTCTCTTTTTAAAGCAGCTTCCTATCTCGGTCATGCCTTGGAAGTCGTGCCAGAGCTGACAACGTTACATGGCAACTCGGGTGGTAGATTAGACAGAAACAGGTCAGAATAGACAAGCAGCGCGGCATATTGTAGCCTGCGCTGTTTTTCTGTGCCATTCGTTACCTCTTCTCTGTCTGTCTGTTTTTGGTCGACAAGGTGCTTGGAAATGACATCTTTCCCCCAAATCTTCCAAGGCAATCACTTTGCCACTTGAGTTTGCTCGGATTTTTTCACAGAATCATGGTCACGGGTTGATGGCAGGAACTCTATGAGCACTACTTTTGGAGACGGCATGCCGTTACAATAAGCCAGAAAAAAAAAGCTGCACTTTTGCAGATTTTGGGCAGGGCAGGAATGGTTTGCAATTCTCAACAACTCGAATAACAACCTTGCTGTACGATTTTTCAGCTGATGACTTTGTAGATGTATCAAGGGAACCCGCCAGCGGGGTGTACTCAAGGTTGTATTGCCCGCTACGAAATGTGGTAATTTGGCCCATTGCATCACCAGAGACTACCCGGCAGCCGCACTTGATGAGGAGATTAAACACGTTCAAGGTGAACTAGGAGACGCAGGTCTGTCTCATATTAATCAAGATGCCCAAAGCATTGGTTTGCTATAGCTGGTCAAATTACGAAATATTTTCACCCTTTCCTGATCACTAATATTGCTATTGCTAGACGAGGCCCATATTGCCAGCCATGGGAGCGCCAGTGTAGCTGCATTCCAGCACACTCGTAAAGAATCAGTGGGATATTAACAATTGAAATACATTTCCTTTTTGAATTGTTGTATAGCATTGGACCAAAACTCTGATACGTGACCCAACTATATATACGCCGCCGCCTTGTGCTCGCAGCTGCGAAAGCTCGGTGATGGGCTCCCCCCCCCCCCCCCCACGTGCAGACAACGAGACGGCGCCGTTGGCCGGCTGCTCTGCAGGGACAAGGGTCTTGCTAGAACCTAAGGTGCATAATGGCAGGCTCTTGACCCGAACCTGTCACTACCAATCTCGTACAAGAAGAGAAAGATGACGCTCAAGTGCTGTTGCATAACTCGTCCTTGAAATATTGACAGCTGGCAGGCCAATAAACTTTAGAGGCGGTCGCCACGTTGAGCGCCGCCGCCGCCGCCGCCGCATCTAGCCTATTACCCAACAGTGCTATGAGTCTCATCTTGCGACGATGAGGCCGCAATCACCTATCCCTCTAAACAACCGCCGCTACTCTCCCGACCTTTTATCTCGTCCTTTTACTTCTTCCTCTTCCTCTTCTCATCTGTCCTCCTCCCCTTCGCCGCCATCATCGCCGCTCCTCCGCAAACACAGCCCCGACACGACTCTTCTCCCTCCTCATCCTCATCATCACCGCCGCCGCATCACCGCCTACTCTTGCCTCTCCTGGCTCGCCCTCGCCGCATTCATCGCGCTCTTCATCATGATGCTCCTCCGCACACTACTCTACACCGCCGTCTCCGCCGCGCCGTGCGCCGTCTCCGCCGCCTGCTACCACGGCTTCCGCAGCGCCTTTAGCTTTGACGCGGCTCACCACCCCGCGTGGATGGGCGCGCTGCGCAACGACACGCTCCTCACGAGCCTCAGCATCCCCGGCACCCACGACACCATGACGTACGCCATTGGCAGCGACGTCTTGCAGTGCCAAAACTGGAACCTGTCGATGCAGCTCGCCGCCGGCCTGCGCTACTTTGACGTGCGCGCGCGCCTGCGCGACGACCAGCTGCACATTTATCACGGCGACGGCGACACGGGCTTTGGCTACCAGGACGTGCTGCTCGAGCTTTTTGCCTTTCTCGCGCAGCACCCGTCGGAAGCTGTCGTGATGCGGCTCAAGCAAGAGGGCAAGCCGCTCGGCCAGCACAACACGCTGACGTTTGAAGAGGCCTTCAACTACTACCGCCACAACTCGAGCATCACCGCCAAGCAGGCCGCTCGCCACATGCACGACTGGGATCCCGCCGCGCCGCTGCCCGCGCTTGGCCACCTCCGCTCCAAGGTCCTGGTGCTGCAGGACTTTCCGGCCGATAACGACGGGCCCGCCAACAAGTACGGCGTCGCCTGGGACGGCAAGCAAATGGTGCTCGAGGACCGCTGGATCGTCCCCGACGTCGACCACCTGCGCGACAAGTGGAACGCCATCCGCGAGGCCCTCGAGCGCGCCGCCGGCGACGTCCAGGACAACAAGGCGCTGTACCTGTCGCACATTTCCGCCAGCGTCGGCGTGCTGCCCATCGAGGCCGCCGCCGGACCCAAGAACGGGTCCGTCGTCGGCATGAATGACGAGACGGGCCGCTGGCTCGAAAACGGCGACCAGACTGGCCGTACCGGCATCGTCATTTTCGACTTTCCCGGCAAGAGGGCCATTGAAGCCGTCTTGGCGCGCAATGCCGCCTACAACGCTTGAAGCAAAGTAGTATAATGTATGGGGAATGAATGCTCTGCGTATTTACCACGTCGAAATGAAATAGAAAGTTGTACAACCACAAATAATGTTCCCCGAGAAACGAACAAAGGAAAAAGGAAGCCATAATAATGTTGCAAATGGAGAGACAGAAAGAGAAGCCATACTAATGTTGTTCCAAGGGAGAAACAAAAAAAAAAGACCACCATGATGAATAATGTTGCTCAAATAGAGAAACCACCATTAATATATTATAATACCCTTCACACCATCACTACTCGCACTCAGTGACTGCTTACAAGTTATTTTTTTAAAGAAACTATAATACCTAGAGAATTGTAGCAAAACTATATACTTCGAATATTTCATCTTCCGCAGAAAAAAAAAAGCAGGCGTACCTTGCAGTATCTCGTTTCAAAATGTCCCATATACATTGATTTCCTTCTTTCGAAAATCTGAATCATAGATAGACATGACTTGATGTACACGTGTGACATACACCATCTTCAAAGAAAGTCGCAAATCATGGCGCTTCTAATCGAAAAAAAAAAAAAAAACCACAATGCAATCACTTATATCCCCAAAGAAATAAAAAAACAAAGGAAAAAAAAAAAGTATCAACTCAAAAAAAAACAACTCCAAGCTTAACAATACTAAAAAGAAAATATGCAAATTTCCTCATCCTCGCTCACGTCAGAGGAGATGATGGCTCCTTGCGCTCCGGACTCGCCTCACGACTCTCAATCGAGTCCACCATTTGCAGCACCCTCGACTTGGCGCGCGCCCTCTCGAGCGTCACCGCCTCGGCCGTGCCATACACCGCCATGGACGAGCGCCGGCGGTCGTCGTCGCCGTCGGTTGAGTGACTGAGTCGAGGCTCGCGCAGCAGACCATTCTCCGCGAGCGCGCCCTGCCGGCTCATGCGCAGCATCGCCTCGCGGTCCAAGTCGTCGTGCTCGCCGGAACGCTTGCCGTACGACGTGACGGGCGTGAGGCTGCGCAGCGACGGCGTTATAAATGGTGACATCTGGCTGCCGCCCGTGTGCGTCGTGTCGTCTTTTGGTCCCAGCACCACCATCTGCGGCGGGGGCAGCTGCTGGTGTGATTGCTGCCCAGACGACTCGCTTGAGAGCTGGCTCACAGAGTCCAGCACCTCGGCCGTCTGCGGCTCGCGGATACGTGGAGGGTCGAGCACCAGCGCGCTCGGTTTGGGCTTGGGCTTGGTGATGGACAGCGGCGGCGGCGGCGGCATGTCGTCGTCGTCGTCGTCGTTGTCGTCGTCGTCCTTATTGTCGTTGTCGGTGGCGTTCACCACTCGCAGCCGCTCCTTGGGCACCGTGAACATGACCTGTACGAGACGCTGCTCAATGGCGCGCTCAATGTCCCAGTCAGTCTCGCACGCGGCAGCCGTACCGCTCAGGCGGCGCTTGCTGCTGTCTAAATCCGACACGTCATGTTCGCTCTGCGGAGGGTCACTCAGATTCCAGCCGCCGCGGCCCTGCTTCCTTCGCAGGATTTCACCGCTGACGCCTGCGAGAGGAGCCTCGTAATCGGCGCTGACGCGCTCCAGGGACGGTCGACGGGGGCTCTCTTCGCGCTCCGACACCCCGGGGGAGGAGGCTGATTCAGAGCCAGAGAAGACGCGGCGTAATGAACCGAGCCATGTCCGTCGGGGTTTATTCTTCGAGGGCGATCCGGGAACGGGAATGTGATCGTACTCATCGTAGCCGCTTCCCCGGAGCAGACCAGGTGCCTCGGCTTGGAGGTTGCCAAAGCCAGACTTGGCCGTGCGGTAGCTACCGGACGAGGAGCTGGCGGCCTTCTTATGGTATACACCAGCGCCTGCGAGCAAGCTGTCCGCGGCACTGCGCGTCGACTCGGACAAGTTGGAGCCGCTTCGGGAGTCGTCGTCGTGATGCGCCGAATGGTGGTGCCAGTCCCCACGCGTCGGCGAGCCTCGGCCAGCGCGGTTGCGGGCATATTTTGTTAGAAGCGCTTCGGCACCCCCGTCCGCTTCCGACGACCACTCCTGCACCTCACGATCCGGGCGTTCGGGGCTCGGCGTGCCACGGCTCGGAATGGCAAACATGGCTTCCGCACCCGCCGCCGCCGCGCCTACACCCGCCGCCGCAGCAGCATTGTAACTCGTGCCCGGCGGGGTCTGGAACGGATCCGGGTGCGTTTCCGACGAGGGCGTCAGGAGCTCCTTTTCGCGAAAGTGGTCTTCATCTTCGTCATCTTCTAGAATCGGGTGAATCTGGCCCGGGGGCGAGGAAAAGTTGGACATTCTTCGCGCGTCGGACGACGGCAGGTAGGGCACATAGCCACCACGGAGCTGGCCGCTGACAGGTTTTCTAGGAATCGTGTTTTGCTGCTCGCCAGAGGCACCGCTCATGGACAGGCTCTCGTAGCCGCCCTGTGCCTTTTCGCTGTACGTCTGCCGGCTATTATTGTAGTTGCTGTGTTGGTTGTTGTGATTGTCGCGCGAGCCGAACCAGCCCCATTGACCATAGCCCGCTGGCGGCTCCATGACATCGTCGCGATCGTTAAAGAACTCGGCATCCCGAGCCATGGCCTGCGCGGCCTCGTCACGTCTCACCTCGTTGCGCTGTTTGCGTTGGCGGAGACAGCACAAGAGCGCAATGGCGCCGATGAGCAGCAGCAAGCCCAGGCCAAGGCCCAGACCTAGGCCTAGGCCGAGTTGTCGAGAGCGATTGCTTGAGCCTTGATCATTCGAACCGATGCTCGGGGCGTCAGGGTCGCTTGGACTTGGCGGCGGTCGCTTATATTCCTGGGTCCACGCCATCGAGGTCAGGTTCAGGAATCTCGCGGTATCGGGCGCTGCTCTCTTGCTCGCTGACGCGCTGTCGCTCGCGTTAATCGTCCACCCACCATAGACCATCATGATGTTCCCCGGCAGCAGAGCAGCACCGTGGCCGTATATAGCATCGCCCTCAGGCTGCGCATCCGGCACCGCCCACATCCACGAGTTGTATGTTTGGCTCATCTTCAGGATCGCCAACTGAGGCTCTGCCGCCGTGCTCACGTCGCCCACCCAGCCGCCCATGACTACGACCTCGCTTCCGTCCTGGCTGAGAATAGCCGTGTGGCCGGATCGGCTCGTGACCTCGGGCACGTCGACGTCGTCGCCCCGTCTGCTCTTGCTGCCGCTGCGGATTAGTTCTGCATTGGCCGTCTTGCCGACGGGCTGCTTGATGTCGATGTACGACCACGCCTGCTCGGGCAAGCTCCACACCGCTGCGGTGCTCATGTTGATGAATGCCGTCTGCGTGTGCCCGCCGAGCAGGATATATGTCATCTTCTGCGTCACGGTGCCTGAGATGTTGGTAATCGAGGGCGGCTGGGGCGTGAGCGTGAATCCGGCAAACGGCGAGCGTGGACCGGCCGTCGATGCAATAAAGGCATCGTAGTCCGTCTGCGCATCGCTGCTGCCTGGTGCTAGGCTCAGCATCGTCTTGGTGTAGTTGGCGTTGGCCTGCCAGTTCTTGGCATCAGTACCCGGCGTCTCGCACATGCCGCCGTAGCTGTACAAGGTCGGCTGGTCCATGACGGGCGCGAGCTTGGCGGTGAAGGCCAGTGTGCCGCCGAGGAAGAAGGGAGCGCCGCCGGGGCTCGTGTTCTTGGCCGTGTTGCGGGTGGTACGCTTCGTCCAGGCACCACCGCCCTCGGTCGTGGCGCTGTCTTTGCTGTCATCAAAAGACCAGACGGATCCTGCGTCACCGCCGCAGACGCCGGTGTAGACCAGCACGGAGCCATTGGCGGTGCGAACGGCGCCAAAGGCCGTCGCGGGGTCGGCGTCGCGCAAGAAGGGCAGCTGGCTGGAGAGCACCTTGGGATTGAGGTCGGCGTTGAGCTTGTTGTTGTAGTCGAAGGAGAGAAATTGTACGCTGCCGTCGTCGGCCTGCTTGAACATGTACGTCTGGCCGGCGCCGTGGCAGGACGACTTGCTGAAGCAGGCCGGCGTGAAAATCTGCGTCGGCACATAGGGAAACTGGTGCACCGCCACGGTCGTCGATGCCGAGAGCAGCGCGAGCAGGACTACCGAGAGTGGCCGCCGTCTGGACCGTCGCACAGCGCGGGGACGCTGATGCGATGTGGTCATCGGTGATGTGCTCGGGTTTATAGTGCGAATGTATGGTCAAGGAGTAACGGGATTGGTCGTATTTCGGTCGACGTCGCTTCTTTAAATCATGATGCCTGCGCTTTTTCTTGGTTGAGAGTTTGCAATCTGTCTTTGGTCGAGCTCGTCGGGCCCGATATAGCAAACCACGTATGTGTGACTGCTGAGAAGCAAGCTGTGCGACCAGCCTGTCAAAGTAAACAAAAAAAAAAGGGACCATACACGATGGTACGACTTGTCAACGTCAGCGCAGTCCAGGCTGCTAAAAGAAAGAAATCAAAAGAATAAAGGGCCAGAATTGTCAAGAACAGACGACAAGTCAAGGGTGAAAGTCAAGACTGGGTTATGCCCTGTGCAAAGCAGACTGAGAAGCACAAACGATGTCTCGCCGGTCCGGTGTCTATATTCAGACCAAGAAAGCGGGGGTCCTGGTAACAAGTAGCAACGAAGAGGGAGGGCTGGTCAGCTAAGCGAGGGATAGAGTGCCACTTGGACTTGTGTACGGATTATGATGCAAATGGACGAATAGAATCAAATGATTCATTTGATCGACCACCGCAGTCAAGGTTTCTGCTGGTTACGCCAGCCAAAGTAGTGGTAAAACGGGGCGCCGCATCCCAAGATGAGCATATCCACTGGTCTGGTGTCTGGTCTAGCCACCATATAATCCAAGTGGACACGCGATGTCGGTGGTTCGAGAACGGTCCTATTGTCTCCCAATGCGTGTGTCTTCGACTTCTTCGAGCAGCGTGGTGGGCGGGATGGTGGGCAGGATGGTGGTGCTTTGTTTTTTTCTGCGGTGGTTGCCCGGGGGATGCCGCATCACGAGGGTGGTGTGGAGTTGCGTCCCGAACACACTACCAGTAAGCGATTTCGGTTTTTCCCGCGGCGATCAAAGTCTATATGATTTCGAAAGAACACGAACAAGATGCTTTCACTCTACGGTACTCTGCTGAGAGTGCGCTATGGCATTTTTTCTTTTTGCGAGCAAGCTGGCGCACCTCTAGCTCGGTAGTGTAAGCCAAAATCTCGATGAAGAAACGTGCTCCCCGGCGTGTCCAAGTTGGCGTAGAACTGGATTCACAAAAAACAAGGTTCACGTTGTAATATGCTTGACTCAATCTTCAGCGGCTACTACTCATGCAAAACGAGCCGGAGTGGCACTCGACCAAAGAATGCGGACAGACCATCACGACGGAAGTCTACACTGAAACCGATCAATTGCATCCGAATATATGCTTTGAGCGAGTGAGTGCCTTCTAATTATCCGGCTAGACAGGTCTGGGTGCCGGGTGACGCGACGCTGTGTTGACGCATTTCCAGATAATTTGTATTCAGATTAGTTGATATGACGAAAGCGGCCATAACGGTAGCTCCTTAGCGCCAGTTTTTCTTCAACCTGCGACCAACAGACGGCAACCTCATGTTACAAAACGTGGAATGCGTTTGAAGCACACAATTGTGACGTGAGAGGCGAATAAACAAGCAAAAATGCTCATAGAACAGATAGCAACCCAGGTCTCGACACGGCACGATTGTCAAGGAGTCATCGGCAAGCAACAGTCATCCCAACTTGTCTTCATTGTAGAGTTGCTCCAAGCGTCCGCAGCGCAAAGCTGTAGCCCTTTGATGTCTGATCGGCGTTTCAAGACTCCATTTCGGCGTTATTGATACATGTGTTCGGCGTCTGATTTCGAAACCACTGGGCTATCGCCGATAAAGAGTCAGAATGAGCCCCGGCTCCGGCAACACTTGCACCAAAATTTGTGATTCATACCGGAGCGGCGCCTGTCCGCGGGTCTTCTGTCTCCACTCCGGAGGGCGCGCCAACAGAGTCACCACGTCGGAGCCGGGACTGGGGTGGTATAAAACGGCCATGGTGTGCTATTGCGTGATTCTACAACACATCCTTTACAATCGCATCTGACTTTACACAGCGCAAAATGCCTCTACATATGCGCGTGGCCACCGAGGCCGATACAGACGCCATTGGCCGCGTGGCTACGGCCGCCTTTGACCCTGCCACAGATGCCATTGCGCGCAACCTCTTTCCCGCACGGCTGCAGCCGGCCGTGCCCAAGCCCGAGAATGCCGCGATTGCGTGGCGACAGACGCGCAAGGGTATCAAGATGAACACGGAGCGCATCACGCTGATGGTCGTGACGGACGAGCAGCTCGACGGCAAGATTGTCGGCTTCTCCATGTGGGAAGAGCCACTGGCCGAGGGACAGGCGGGCGAGTCCGCGTCCAAGGAACTCGTTCCGTGCGAGACACTGGATGAAGAGGCATACAAGGAGCTGCGAAGAGTGAGTGAAGAGGCCACGTTGGGTTTTCTCGGCAAGGATGGCGCAAAGCACATGTGGTGTGAGTATCGACGGGGCCGTTTGCAGGTTGTGCATGCGTCGACTGACAGGAAGCAGATCTCGACTACCTGGGAGTCGATCCAGGCCAACAGCGCAGAGGAATCGGAAAGATGCTGCTCGATTGGGGCCTAGAAAAGGCCCGAGAGCAAGACAAGGACGTGTACCTGATTGCGACACCCGCGGGTCGTCCACTATATCAAGCAGTGGGATTCGAAGATTTGGGCTCTTTTATGTTGTTCGATACACCGCATCACGGCATGATAAAGAGGCGGCCGGGGTATAGACGAATCTCGAACGAATAGACGGGATCAATTGCATGCATATGCGCTTGAAGAAACATGGACGTACAAGTATGACAAGCTAGACTTGGACATTGTGATGACTATCATCTTCATAAAGTTCATCTCGATGCAACACGACTGAGATTGATTATTAACCGTACGTGAATTGCTTGACGATAGCTCGCGCAAAGTTGTACGGAAAACCCATTCGTCACGCGGCAAAACGCTGCGCAGAGTGTTTCGTGGCTGAGTGACAGTTTATTTCCTAATCTCTCAAAACGCCTGAATAATGAAACCTGGAATCGGCAAGCCTATCGTCTTCTTACAATCACAACGAGAGGCTGGGAAACACAACGGCGAGATCGACGCGATAGGGCGAGAAGCACTACTAGTAAGCTGATGCATGACTGCCATGAGAAATGGTCGTGGGTGTATCTGATAGAAACGGTCATAGTGCAACGGATAAAGCCCATTCGCAAAGTCGAGCAGGTGGTGATGGTGATGTCATGATCAACCGGAGTTGAGTGGTGTTTCCACCTTGGACAAGGTTTGGAGCCTTTGCACGCCAAACACGCCAAGTCTGAGAGCGAGCATACGAGAGAGCCTGGCCACCCATCGGCAGGTACTGGTACGTCGCAAATGAGAGTTCAAGCATAAATCGTAAATTACCGTTATGGCTCGCGGCTCGCAATCCATATTATTCGAGCTATTATTTGTCTTCAGACGTGTTGCACTCGATATTGTCACGGTTGTCATCGTGTGCTTGCCAAGGTGCTCCTGGGCATACAGGGACGGATCGACCGCCGGAAAGAGACTTGCTCTCCACCCTGCCGAATTTGCGCCACGCAGATTTTTCGGCTACAGGATTCCTTGAGGCGCGGTAGATGGTCCGAGGCTTCTGGGGTTGGACGTGCCCACGAGCCATGACGATTACAATGCATGTCTACGAGTGAGTGACAATGTCGACTAGCCTGGCTGGCTGGATTGGGCAACCAAGCTGGATGGGCTGGTTGTTTATGGCGAGTTGAGGGTGAAAACGGTTGGGTGTAGTCGGGCACCGATATGTGTTTCAACTGTAGTGACGGCGGTGTACAGAAAGTGTGAAAGTGTGTTGATGGTTATATGTACAGAGTATTTGGTGGTCATTAAGACAATGGATTATGGTGTTGATGGCGGCTTGAGGCGAACGGCGACAGGGGTAAGGGAATGACGCAGGCATGAAGGGTGATGTCTTGCAATTGGGACCACAAATCCACAGCATCCAAATAATCGGGTCTTGTTGAACCGAGGGTTGTGAGGGTTGGCATGCCAGCATGGTCCGGATGGAGGCATGGCGTATGGCTACATGGCTGCATGGCTGATGGGTGGAAGGGATCAAAGGGATGTCTGATTGTGTGGGCGTTGATGAATGGATGGATGGTGGCGTCTAGGGTGTTGTTGAAGGGAGTGTGGTGGGGGTTGAAAAGGTGAGGCCAGAGGACAGAGTGAAGAATATCAACAGATGAAGCTGAGCAAACGGACGAATTGACTTTTGGGAGTCTGGCAGTTGGCAACTGGCAACCGGCAACTGGCAAGCTCTTTCGGTTGCCAGTCCAGGGGCCAGGTGGAGGACCTTGCCAGCTGTGTCGATGTGGCAGTGAATGTGGCGCTGCAGAGTCAAGACCAGCTGGGCAGGGATGTGGGAGCCAAGACACTGTCTAGGTAGGATACAAGTACTTGACAGCTTGAGTACATACCTGCAGTGTGGCTACACAAGCACCAGAGTCATAAAGTAATGGAACCAGATTGGCTCCTGTGCTACGGAGTACCAGTACCCTTCTTTGCATTGAACGGCTCCGTCATCATCAACTGCAAACTGCTCTGTGAGTCCATTATCTTGCGAGGTGGGGCGAAGAAAATTGGCAAGCAGTGGGGAGTTCATCGTGGCCCAGATAGTGCCAGTGCTCATAAAATACAGGGGGAATGAGGAGCTTGGAGAACTGGAATCCCGAAGGATGGCGGCCATCTGTGAGCGGGCGCGGTTAGAGGCAAAGAGTAAAGAGTACTAGAGTAAATTTTTTAAAATTGCATGTCCATATGTTAGTGGAGACGCAGAGCATCCGTGTGAAAGCGAGGAATTGGAAAAATTGAAAATCAAAATGTCGATGTAGAGATGAAGGATGGTAAGAAGCAGCCAAGTATTGAGAATATTGCAGATAAAAAGCCAGTGACATGGGACAGGCACGCATCGTGCGAAAGCCATGACGCCGTTTTTGGGTTGCCAGTCCTCGTTGCTGGGCTGGTGTGGCTGGGCATGCCGTGCTCATGGGTTGGAGTGGTGGCCTCTCACCTCTGTACAAATTAGTGGGGGTCTGTCTGGCTACTGTATGATTGTGTGATCAACGACGTGAATAGTACGGATTATCAGCAGGCAAGTTGAATATTCACAGAAAAGCGAGATGACACTGAGCCGGCTTACGAAGTACTTGTTTTATTTTTCCGTCTCGACTAGATTCTTCTGCAACAAAATGCAGTATAGAGACTGCTTGGCTGCTTCGGCACTTTGTGCCACAATATCGGTCCTGCAAGCCTCCTGCAAGTTCCAGCGCGTCAGGCTCATCTGGCTCTCACATGCCCTGACAACACAGAGGGCAGCGCTGCTTCAGCTCTCCTTGTCTCAATTGACCCACTTGGACCCAGCTTCAGATCGGCATCCACCTCTGAGCGGTCACCCGGCGCCCCACCGGCTGTCCACCCGTACGTTTGCAAGTCGAGGTACCGAGTCGTCGTCTACCAGCGTCAAGCTGCACCATGGTTGTCTTATCCAAGACAACTTGACTTACAATTACGTCGTTGACACTGTCCTCCCCCAATGTACCTCCTGCTAGGGCACCCTCTTGACGTGTCTGCAGCCTTGGCTCCCTGGCCCTCCTCGTAGACCATAATAATAATAAAGCTTCCTTTTGCTGGCCCAGCTTCTTATTAATTTCCCTTGCGCTCATTACTTCCTCAGTGCCTTGAAACAATCAGCGATTGTTTAAACTTGCCGCAGTCGCTGCCTCGTGCATCGCATAGTGTCTCGCCTTCCTCCGGTTTGCAGTATTTACGACTCGTCAACAATTAACAAAGCGTCCCATCGCTCACGGTCCTGGCAACACCAAGGTCACACACCATCGAGATTGGCCATAAACTCAAATCTCCCCCGTACACGAACGCTGGTGTTTCGCCCTGCGCTACCAAGATACTGCTAGCAGCATAGACAAAACCCCTACGGCTCGCCCACACGCACCGCTCGAGCGTCTTGTCTTTTTTTTTTTCTATACTACGTCAATTGCGATACCCCGTCCTGCTACTGCGCATCGCCAGCCTCATCCCCTCCCTACACGCAAACGCGAACCAACCTTAGCAGTCGTCTAGTCGCTGCACGAAGCAGTCGACAACTCTCCTGCTATGGGCGCTTTCATCAGCTGGATCAACGATGCTCTCGCCAAAGATCCCAACCAGGGATCGAGCCAGTCAACTACGTCGTCTTCGCTTTCGGGTTCGTCACTATGCCGCTATTCGCTGCCTCATCTCACCAGCTAATAACCTGCATTCAGGCATGATTTCGACGCTGGTGCCTGTCTTGGTTGTCTCAGCAGTCTACTTCGTCATTTGGCTCGTTGCCAGACGTTCTCAGACGCGCTTCTACGAGCCGAGAGCATATCTCGGCTCACTGCGCCCATAGTAAGTATAATTGGCTTTTTCCGTGCTTCAAGCGCAAATGCGAACGATTCTAACCCGGCCAGTGAACGGTCGCCTGCTCTGCCCAAGGGCTGGTTCAATTGGATTGGTCCTTTCTGGAAAATCCCTGACGAGACAGCTCTGCGCCATCAGAGCCTCGACGCCTACCTCTTCATTCGCTACCTCAAAGTCTGCACCATCATCGCCTTTGTCAGTCTGTGCATCACCTGGCCCATTCTCTTCCCCGTCAACGCGACTGGTGGTGGTGGCCAGGCCGAACTCGACATTCTCTCCTTTAGCAATGTCGACTCCTCCACCCACAAGAACTACTACTACGCTCACTGCTTTGTTGGCTGGGTTGTCTATGGCTTTGTCATGTACATGATTACCCGCGAGCTCATCTTCTACATCAACATCCGCAACGCCTTCTTCAACCATCCCAACTATGCTCGTCGCATCTCGGCTCGCACCGTCCTCTTCACCAATGTTCCCCAGGACTACCTCGATGAGGCCCGTCTCGAGGCCATGTACCCTGGCGCTATTCGTCGCCTTTGGATTGCCGGCGATATCAAGGAGCTCGATGAAGCCGTAACCAAGCGTGACGAGACCGCTCTCAAGCTCGAAAAGGGCGAGGTCAGCCTTATCAAGGCCGTCAACAAGGCCCGCGCCAAGGAACTCAAGAAGAATGGTGGCAATGCCGAGGAGCAGGCTGCCGTCACCCACGACGCCGAAACCGGTAACATTGCTTCTCGCTGGATTCCCGACAAGAAGCGCCCCTCTCACCGTCTTGGATTTCTCGGTCTCCTCGGCAAAAAGGTCGACACCATTGAATGGGGCCGCTCCGAGCTCAGAGAAAGCATCCCCAAGATCCAGGCCGCCCAGAATCAGTACCTCGCTGGCAACTACACCAAGGTGCCCGCCGTCTTCATCGAGTTCAACACCCAGCGCCAAGCACAGGATGCCTACCAGAGTGTCAGCCACCACACTGCCCTCCACATGGAACCCAAGGCCATTGGCGTCCAACCCCAGGATGTCATCTGGAAGAACCTTGGTCTGCCATGGTGGCAGCTGGTCATCCGCCGCTATGCCGTCTACGCCGCCGTCACCGCTCTTATCGTCTTCTGGGCAATTCCTGTTGCTATCATCGGTGTAATTTCTTCCGTCAACACCATCAAGTCTCTCCCCGGCCTGACCTGGATTGGATCTATCCCCCCCGTCATTCTCGGTGTTGTCTCCAACCTGCTGCCCTCTGTTGCTCTCGCCATCCTCATGTCTTTTGTCCCCGTCTTCATGCGTGGATTCTCTCACCTCGCTGGCGCAAAGACCAACACTGAGGCTGAGCTCTTCACCCAGCAATCGTACTTTATCTTCCAGGTCATTCAAGTCTTCCTCATTCGCACCATGACCAATGCTTTCGCCGATTCCATCGTTCAGATCGCCCAGAACACCTCGCAGATTCTTCCTGCTCTTGCTACCAACATCCCCAAGGCCTCCAATTTCTACATCTCGTACTTTATCGTTCAGGGTCTGACCATTGCCATTGGCACGCTCACCCAGGTCGTCGGGCTCTTTGTCTTCAGACTCCTTTACAAGTACCTCTCCGGCACCCCCCGTGCTCTCTTCGAGAAGTGGACCACCCTTGCTGGTGTTCTCTGGGGCAGCGTCCTTCCTGTCTACACCAACATTGTCGTCATCGGTATAACCTATTCGGTCATCGCCCCCCTCATGCTGTTTTGGTCCACTCTTGGTCTCTTCCTTTTCTACCTCGCCTACCGCTACAACCTGATCTTTGTCAGCCAGACCACTGTCGACACTAAGGGTCTCATTTACCCTCGCGCCCTCAAGCAGCTCTTTGTTGGTGTCTACCTCGGCGAGGTTTGCATCTTTGCTTTGTTCGTCCTTGCAAAGACCCCAGGGCCCGCTGTCTTGATGGGTGTCTTCGTCTTCTTCACCATCCTGTACAACATTACTCTCCTCAAGACCTTTGCCCCTCTGCTGCATGGTATCCCCACCAGTCTGGAGGTCGAGTCCCAGCTCGCATCCGGACACCTTGGCAGTGCTGCCACAGGTGATGCCTATGATTACAAGAAGGCCAATGCTGCTGAAAACGGAGCTCACGCTGCCTCCGCCAGCAACGGCGCCAACGGCACCCATGCCAACGGCAACTCGGCCACTGCGCCTACCGCTGCCAAGCCCAAGGGCAACATCTTCCAGCGGTTCCTTAAGCCTTGGATTTACTCTGACTACCACGTTCTCCAGAGGCTCATCCCTGCAAACGACTACGACGTCGCCAACGAGATCTCCCCCGAGTCCGAGGCCCAGGCCTATCTTCCTCCTGCCGTGTACAAGCAGGCCCCCGACCTGTGGATCCCCGAGGATGCTGCCGGTGTCTCCAAGCAGGAGATTGCTCAGACATCCAAGGTCATCCCTATCTCCGACGCAGGCTGCACCCTCGACGAAAAGAACAACATGCACTGGGACGAGGACAATGCACGCCCTCCTATTTACACTGAGAAGCCCGAGTACTAAAGGAGAAGTTGGGGGATGTGTGTGTGTGTGTGTGTGTGTGTGTGTGTGTATTCTT